AGTTAGGTGTGAATGTTTAGCTGATCACCTTCATTAACATTTGAAGGCCTGCCTGAGCCTGGGAAAATCTGTTGCTGGGAGGTGTTAATCTGTGCCTGGTTTTTTCCTCTCTGTTGTTTAGCTGTTATAATTTTAGAGTTTTTTAATACTGGTAGCCAGATTTTGTTCATTTTCATGGTCTCTTCCTTTCTGTTGAAATTGTCCACATGCTTGTGGATTTCAATGGCTTTTCTGTGTAGTCTGACATGGTGGTTGTTGGTGTGGTCCAGCATTTCTGTGTTCTCAAATAATATGCTGTGTCCAGGCTGGTTCATCAGGTGCTCTGCTATGGCTGACTTCTCTGGTTGAAGTAGTCTGCAGTGCCTTTCATGTTCCTTGATGCGTGTCTGGGCGCTGCGTTTGGTGGTCCCTATGTAGACTTGTCCACAGCTGCATGGTATACGGTAGACTCCTGCAGAGGTGAGAGGATCCCTCTTGTCCTTTGCTGAACGTAGCATTTGTTGGATTTTCTTGGTGGGTTTGTAGATTGTTTGTAAGTTGTGTTTCCTCATCAGCTTCCCTATGCGATCAGTGGTTCCCTTGATGTATGGCAGGAACACTTTTCCTCTGGGTGGATCTTCATCTTTACTCTCGTGGCTTGTTCTTGGTCTTGCAGCTCTTCTGATGTCTGAGGTGGAGTATCCATTGGCCTGGAGAGCCCAGTTGAGGTGGTTCAGTTCATCTTGGAGGAGGTGGGGTTCGCAGATTCTTTTTGCACGGTCTGCCAAGGCTTTAATGGTGCTTCTTTTTTGACTTGGGTGATGGTTGGAGTTTTTTTATGTAGATATCTATCTGTGTGTGTGGGTTTACTCTCCACACACACAGATAGATATCTACATAAAAACTCCAACCATCAGCGAATTGTAGCTTGGTGACACACAGACTTTTGTGAAGAAAATCCTTTACTACTTCTGGTTTTTCTCGGTCCAAGGTGATGGCCAAGTTTTCAAAGAAGAATGTATTATGTAGGTGCTGCAGTGAACATATGGTACTCCAGGCAAGAAATAACGGACCTTAGTTTGTGCATTGGATACAAAAGATCTCACATAAAATACCCACAAAAATGAAATTAAAAAAGCATGCATAATGTCACACAACTAGGACTTATATTTTAATAATTTAATATATTTTTCTAGTATAAATTTAAAATATTGTAAGTTAAATACATAAACTGATATGCAGCTCAATAATATTTGTCTCTGAAACTACATATTTTTGTATCATAGTTGCTTATGTGCCTTTTGTGCTGGTACAGCTTTATTTAATACTAGATACATTGCAGCTAATAACACACTGCAATAAATAATTATTTTAGAATGTGTGGTGTATTTTTGCCTGTGGTGTATACTTCCTGTAAATACTGCATTGTACAGTATTTTGAAAAATATCAAAATGTGACATACTGTAATTATTTTTGTGCTTCATCTTATATAACTAAAAATGTAATATTCATTTGTGGGATTAACATAACTCAAAAACCACTCGACTAATTGACACCAAATTTGGACACAATACACATAACAACCCAATGTATGTCCTTCACTAAAAAAAATGATGTTGTCATTTGGGAGTTTAGTTGCTGGGATATATAGTTCACCTACAATCAAAGAGCATTCTGAACTCCACCAACGATAGAATTGGGCCAAATATGGCACACAGGTCTCCCATGACCATCAGAAAACACTAGAAGGTTTGGTGGGTATTGACTTTGAGTTTGACAGTTGTAGTTCACCTACATCCAGAGAGCACTGTGGACTCAAACAATGATGGATCTGGACCAAACTTGGCAAAAATATTCCATATGGCCAAATATGAACACAGATGGAGTTTTGGGGAAATAGACCTTGACATTTGGGAGTTGTAGTTACTGGGATTTATAGTTCACCTACAACCAAAGAGCATTCTGAATCCCACAAATGACAGAATTGGGGCAAATTTCCCACACAGAACCCCCATGACTAACAGAAAATACTTAAGGCCATCCAGTCCAACTGTCTTCACCAGGGCAAGAAAATGTAATCAAAGCCCTCCTGACAAAGAGTCATCCAGTCATAAATATAGATAGATATATATGATTCACACACACAGAGAGATATAGTATCATAGATTTGAAAGGGACCCCTAAAGAAGGACAATTATATGTTCCATATTCCAAAGTAGGCAAACCAGACCATCTACACATCAACACTGACAAAGAAACAACAAAATATTACATATATTAGAAACCCACACTTTCACATTACTTTATTTTCCAGATCACCAGACTGGGCCACAGCAACGCGTGGCAGGGGACGGCTAGTATATATATAAACCTTATTCTTAGTTAAGGACATACGGTGATGGACGATCTGTGGCTGTCCAGATGTTGTTGTGCAAACTGTATCACTCTTCATTATTGGCTATGTTGATTTGGACTGATGGCAGCTACAGTCCAACAACAAGTGGAGGGACACAAATTGGCCACTCTGGCACAAAAAAATCATCATTCTGAACTCCTTCAAAGACCTTTTGATTTTCAGTTTGGTTTTCAGAAACTGAATGCTGGTTAAGGGCTGACCAGGCCTATCCCTTTTGATACTAATGTTGGAGAGTGGTTTTTGGTCAATGTGGTCCCTGCTCAAAAACAGATTGGGATTGGAACCACTTTTTTAAAGGGAAAGAGATATTGTGTGTAATGTTTGAGCACAGATTGAGTTTTCCTCATCCAAAATCCTGTTTTGAAGTTCAACCATTCTTTGGTGGTGGCTGTGCAACTCTTAGTTACTGATTAGCTCTGTTGAGCAAAGATGTACACCACAAAGCATTGCTACAACCATCTATCACAACAGATTTGCAGGATTTTTCGGAGGCAGCGGTGATGGAATCATTCCAGAAGTTGACTATCTGTAGATAGCATATAACAGGGTTGGGATGCTTTGTAAACAAGCATCATGGTATCCCTACTGTACAGAAGTTGATTGTAAATGATAAGATTATAACTGTATTGGTGTTTGCACTGGTTGCCCTAATGCTGGAGCGGCCTAGCTGTGAGGAGTGTGTTACCATGGAAACGATGCTGTAGAGAAGTGGGAGGAGCTTAGAGAGGAGAGTTTTGAAAAGCGACAGTTAAAGTCAGTCAGGGTTTAGGCTCAGAGGAATGAAGAGTCAGGTTTTAGGCTCAGGGAAATGAAGTGTTGAGAGAGAGAGAGTGGGAAGTAGAGAAGCAGTGTTTGTGAATAGTCAGAGGTTTCTTCAGTTTAGGAAGGCTGAAGGGGAAACCTTATTAGTTTCATTAGTTAGAGAAGACTAATAGAAGCTTGTTTAGATCACTAGTTAAAAGTGAACTAGAGATCTGAGGTTTGATCACGGAAGGATCAAACAGGAAGACTATTCACCTCAGGAAACATTGTTTAATAAAGTGCTTCACCACAGCAAAAGTTATTTATAAGTTGTAACATCAGAAGTCTGTACTGTATCGCAACCAAGTTATATGTAACGTTCTCCAAGTATCTTCCAAGTTTATCACCAAACTGCAACCATACGCTTTGTTTCAAAATAAACTTGTTCTCTTTGATTTTAAGACTGCCTCATCTCCATTGATTCGGCGTTCAGTGTGCCCAATCTCCCAAAATTACCTCACATTACAAATTGGTGGCTCCATTAAGAATAATAAATAATAAATCGTAACTTCTCTCTCCTGAAAACCCCTTTTCTTTGAATTGGGGCAAGCCCTTCGCACCTACCAATGTCCTGATCCTCAAACACTCTCTGTTTCGTACGAAAAGCCGCTGCACTCACAGAACTAAGTTGGTGATTTATTTCGGTGTTGATGTTGACTTTTGTGGAGAGGTAGCTGCCAATGTAGCAGAAATTGTCAACATTTTCTAATGTTTCACCATTAAGCTGTTTTTTTCTGGCATTGCAGAGGGTTTGAATAATGCCTGCTAATGGAGCATGTTGGTTTTATCGATGCCCAGTGAGAGGCCAAGGTTTTTGTATGCTTCTGCAAAGGTGTTTAGAGTGGCTTGTTGTTCTTCTGAATGAGCACAGACTACATTATCATCAGCATATTGGAGTTCTATAACAGAAGTTGCTGTGACCCTGGTTTTGGCTTGGTTTACAGCATTGTACATAATGGGACTGGAGCATTAATGGATTTTGGTATCCACAAAGGTCCTGGAATCAAAGTCCAGGAGATACCAAGAACCACTTTCCTGCTTCTTGGCTTCAAATTGTATCAACAAACAATTTAAGATATTACACATTTGTGGATTTTGTTGTATTTTGTTAAAGAAATAATGCACAGGAACACATGTATGGTACTTCATTAACTGAGGTATACCTGTACTTCCCCATGTCCTTTTTGATATACAAAGCAATGACAGTCTTCAAAAGACCACGTGAAAAACAGTTCTCAGTCTAACCCCTTTGAAGTGGGTTTGAACTGTTTCAAGGCAGTTTTGGACTCCAGGTCAGGGCTCACATGCATTTGTGTGTTTCACTTCTCTTTGACTCCTCTATATCTCTAGCATTAAGTTTGGCATCTGTCTAGGAAGATCCGTACCTATGTCTCCTCCACTTCCTCTTTCACCTTCTGGAGAACAATGGCAGCTTCTGAACACTATGACCTAACAATAGGCCCACTGATATCTAGAACTAAGTTCTACCAGTGAGGTGGCTCTATCATCAAAGACTTCAGGCTCATTGGGTTGAATGGTCCTCAGTACAAGAAAATATTAAAGAACAACTTCAGTTGGGTGAAGAGAAAGAGGCATGCCGAGAGAACAGTGTAACTCCCCCAAAAACAGCTGTATGCTGATGTGTACCAATGCAGCCACGTATACCCACAGCCACATCTTCAATTCCTAGGATTCCACCATCACAAGAACGACGTAGACTATCTACCTATACGTATGGACCACGTTTCTTTGGGCCTTTAGAATCACTAAGCAAGCTACCCCAAAGCACCCCAGGGCCTTATGGATATCCTGCAGGTCACCCCCATCAGCCGAAGACGGTTTGGATGCCTGCCCCTCCTCCTTTGCCCAACTGTCCTCCCGGATTGGAATATTTAAGCCAGATTGATCGGCTGCTGCTTCATCAAAGGATTGAGATTGTAGAAATATTAACTGCCTTTGAAACGTGTAACCGCTACGAAATAAAAAATGACACTGGTCATCTAATGTACTACGCACTGGAGGAGAACAACTTCTGTACCCTGTTTTGGTGGGGAACAGCTCGGCCATTTACCATCAGAATCTTCAACAACTTGGGTCAAGAAATCATCCAGTTGACACGGCCACTTCGGTGCTCCAGGTGTTGTTTTCCTTGCTGTTTGCAAAAGCTCGAAGTCCAGGCTCCACCTGGCACTCCCATTGGGTATGTTATACAAAACTGGGACCTCTGCCTGCCTAAATTTACTCTCCAGAATGAAGCCCACGTGGATATACTTAAAATTGTTGGGCCTTTCCTTGTATGCAGCTGTGGGGCAGATATTCTATTTGACCTGATGTCACTGGATGAGGAATCGAATGTTGGCAGAATCTCTAAGCTGTGGGGTGGCCTCGTGAAGGAAATGTTTACAGATGCTGATGACATTGGGGTCCAGTTTCCCCTGGACCTTGACATTAAAATGAAAGCCGTCACGCTTGCAGCCGCCTTCCTCATAGATTTCATGTATTTTGAACACAGTCACGAGAATCGTCAGCGAATTGTAGCTTGGTGACACACAGACTTTTGTGAAGAAAATCCTTTACTACTTCTGGTTTTTCTCGGTCCAAGGTGATGGCCAAGTTTTCAAAGAAGAATGTATTATGTAGGTGCTGTAGTGAACATATGGTACTCCAGGCAAGAAATAACGGACCTTAGTTTGTACATTGGATACAAAAGATCTCACATAAAATACTCACAAAAATGAAATTAAAAAAGCATGCATAATGTCACACAACTGGGACTTATATTTTATAATTTAATATATTTTTCTAGTATAAATTTAAAATATTGTAAGTAAAATACATAAACTGATATGAAGGTCAATGGTATATGTCTCTAAAACTACATATTTTTGTATCATAGTTGCTTATGTGCCTTTTGTGCTGGTACAGCTTTATTTAATACTAGATACATTGCAGCTAATAACAAACTGCAATAAATAATTATTTTAGAATGTGTGGTGTAATTTTGCCTGTGGTGTATACTTCCTGTAAATACTGCATTATATTTTGAAAATATCAAAATGTTACATACTGTAATTATTGTTTTGTGTTTCTCATATATATATATATATATATATATATATATATATATGTATGTATGTATTACACACACACACCCCTTATTCTTAGTTAAGGACATACGGTGATGGCCAATCTGTGGCTGTCCAGATGATGTTGTGCAAACTGTATCACTCTTCATTACTGGCTATGTTGATTTGGACTGATGGCAGCTACAGTCCAAAAACAACTGGAGGGACACAAATTGGCCACTCTGGCACAAAGAATCATCATTCTGAACTCCTTCAAAGACCTTTTGATTTTCAGTTAGGTTTTCAGAAACTGAATGCTGGTTAAGGGCTGACCAGGCCTATTCTTTTTGATACTAATGTTGGAGAGTAGTTTTTGGTCAAAGTAGTCCCTGGTCCAAGTGGTCTCTGGTCCAACTGGGCCCTGGTCAAAAACAGATTGGGACTGGAACCACTTTTTTAAAGGGAAAGATATATTTGTAGTGTTTGAGTACAGATTGAGTTATCCTCATCCAAAATCCTGTTTTGAAGTTCAACCATTCTTTGGTGGTGGTTGTGCTACTCTTAGTTACTGATTAGCTCTGTTGAGCAAAGATGTACAACACAAAGCATTGCTACAGCCATCTATCACAACTTCCTGGATTTGTTTTGAATAGGAGGGAGATTCTTGAGTCTGTTTTTACCATCTTAATACCTTCCTCATTCTGAAAGAGCCCTTGGTCTTAAAATGCATTCACAGATTTAGGCATGTGCAGGGCATAGGAAGTATTTATCATTTATTTATTTATTTCGGACATTTATATCCCGTCCTATCTCGACCTTGGCAAAGGGACTCAGGGCAGCTAACAAACTGGCACCCCATGATGATGCCGAGAGCCAAAAACATAAATATACAATTTAAATAACAATATAGCAATGAAACAGTATAAAACAGTATAAAAACAATCAAACAGTCAACATATTGTCGAAGACTTTCATGACCGGAATCACTGGGTTGTTGTAGGTTTTTTCGGGCTATATGGCCATGTTCTAGAGGCATTCTCTCCTGATGTTTCGCCTGCATCTATGGCAAGCATCCTCACTACCTCTGAGGATGCTTGCCATAGATGCAGGCAAAACGTCAGAAGAGAATGCCTCTAGAACATGGCCATATAGCCCGAAAAAACCTACAACAACCCAGAAACAGTCAACAGTCACCGGTTTAAGTCATCGTCCAAGGAGTAGTCAGTCGGTTCCATAAAAGCCGTCACGTCAGCAGGTCAACCTAATCTACAAAGGCCTGATCCCATAGTCAAGATTTATGAAACTTCAAGAGGGATGCAGCAGATCTAATTTCACTTGGGAGGGAGTTCCACAGCCGAGGGGTCACCACAGAAAAGGCCCAAAAAGTTATTTTTTAAGGTAATGATTTCACTTGTTATAAGATTCAAGAGGTAACTTGCTGTTCTCAGTTTTTGGTTGGGGCCTCTTTAAAGCACGAGCTGGGAAGGTTGGAGCCCCGAAAATCAGGCCATTATTTGGGGTGGGAGCTTCCCACCTTCCCAGACTTTAAGGAGGCTTCCATTCTTCTCACCTGGCACCTGCTGTTCCTACTCTAGAGTAAGAGGTGCTCGACTGTAGGCACTCACAGGTGCGCTCACTTTCCAAGCCTGCCTCACATGCCATGCACGCACGCTCCTTGGAAAGAGAGTGTGTGTGTGGCATGGCGTGAAGGTGGACCCGGAAAGCGCAAACGCCTGCCACTGCCTGCAGCCAAGCACCTTTTACTGTATAGAGGTGCTCCGCTGCAGACGAGCTCCAGGCCTGTGTGCACACCCTGCCACACACCACTCACTTTCCAAGGCAAGGAGGCAATTTCAGCAGGCTTTCATGTTGAACAGATTTTGTGCGGGGAGGGGGTTTTCTGTTTTGTGCTCCCAAAGAAATGGGAGAGAAATCGTAGGAATGAATTCTACGCACAACTCCACAAAATATATCTAAAAGTAACCATGAAATGTAATTACAGTAGAAAGGTTGCCCTTTGTAACTGCATATTGTGTCATTACACTATAGTTGCCAAAAAATAAATTGTTACAAGTAATTATAGAAACAGGCGTCCCTAGTGGCGCAGTGGGTTCAAGCGCTGAGCTGCTGAACTTGTTGAATGAAAGTTTGCAGGTTTGAATCCAGGGAGCGGCATGAGCTTCCACTGTCAGCCCCAGCTTCTGCCAACCTAGCAGTTCGAAAACATGCAAATGTGAGTAGATCAATAGGTACTGCTCCGGCGGGAAGGTAACGGCGCTCCATGCAATCATGCCGACCATATGACCTAGGAGGTGTCTACGGACTATGCCGGCTCTTCAGCTTAGAAATGGAGATGAGCACCACACCCCAGAGTCAGACACAACTGAACTTAATGTCAGGGGAAAACCTTTACCTTTTTAATTATAGAAAAGGGGAAGACTTGGAACAGGAACCTCTGCTTTAGAACAATAAAAGGATATCGTATTTGGTGAGTAAGAAAGCAATTGGAGAGGGGGAAGACCACAGTAAACAGATTCAAACAGGGTCTGGAGAACAAGCCCTATAAGGAGCAGCTTAAGGAGCTGGGCATGTTTAGCCTGAAGAAGAGAAGGATGAGAGGAGATATGATAGCCATGTATAAATATGTGAGAGAAAGCCACAGGGAGGAGGGAGCAAGTTTGTTTTCTGCTTCCTTGAAGACTAGGACGCGGAACAATGGCTTCAAACTACAAGAGAGGAGATTGCATCTGAACACGAGGAAGAACTTCCTGTGAGAGCCGTTCAGCAGTGGAACTCTCTGCCCCGGAGTGTGGTGGAGGCTCCTTCTTTGGAAGCTTTTAAACAGAGGCTGGATGGCTATCTGTCAGGGGTGATTTGAATGCAATATTCCTGCTTCTTGGCAGGGGGTTGGACTGGATGGCCCATGAGGTCTCTTCCAACTCTTTGATTCTATGATTCTATGATCAATGAAAGAAGCTGCAACTGTGAATTTGGAAAGCCTGGCCAGAGTAGTTGATTTGAGAACTTGGAAGTTTCTCATTCATAAAGTCAATACAAGTTGAAGTTGATTTGATGGCAATTAGCAACAACTGATATGCATTTTTCTTTTTCTTTTTGCAACCAAAAAAGCAAGACAATTAATCTATAAAACTTAATTAGGATTAGTATAATCTAGCACATACATACATGCCTGGAGATAAATCACTCTGGATACAGTGATGCATATTTCCAAATCACTCTTGATACAGTGAGACGGTTTACAAAAGTGAAAATGATTGCACTGCTCAATCTAGTATAAATTGAAAATTCATAGTCTAGCTTCTCACCATTTCAGTCAAAGGACCAAACGAGATAGTTTGCCCCTTAGGCTTGAGTGACTGTGAATCTCTCTACTCTACATAGACCTGCAATACACACAAAAGCCCCTATATTAGCTGTAAATGGAACAACCCTTTGCTAAACTATCTGACAAAATCTTTGTTAAGCAAAAAACTTTATATCAAGTTGCCCAGACCTGGTAAAGCCATCTTCCCCGCTACAGAAGTAAACCAGCTGTTTCTCCATCTGCAGAATTAGACTTTCACTGTAGAAGATTGTAACTGTCCAGTGCCTGTTAATGATGCTTCCTGCAGCTGAAGAGCAAAGGGAACTTTGATGGAACAGAAGGGGAGATGCTGAAAAGCTTGCTTGTTTCTTTTTGAAAACGGGCTGTGCAATAGGAAATGCAGCCAGAGAATGAGGTCATGTTTCCTGCCAAGTCTAGCCTAGCCTCACATTGCAAGCATTCCTTTAGAAGCGTCTTTTGAAGATGAAGATTAGCCCAGTGAAGAGCTGTTGCTTATTAAGATATCAACGGCTATAAATATAGGAGACATCTATGTTGCATGGTTTATGGCAAAGAATGGTTCGGAGCACAGTACGCAATCCCAAAAGCAATGGAAAGTAATGAAGATTTGGTTGTGTTGGAGTTCAGCCTGTGATGGTGTTTCAGGATCAGGGTGCTTTGGATGTGGAGAATGATGTAAATGAGGTTCAAGATGGCAATGGTTTGGTCAGTGATATTGATGAGAATGACAGAGAGACACCTGTTCAAAGTGTAGTTTCCCATGAGAATGTTCCTACAGGGCATAGGGATGATGGTTTACTCCCTGAATTGCTCCCAGAGAGTTCCCAGGATTTGGGGCTTGAAAACAACTCGGCACCTGCAGAAACTAATGAGCATATAGATAGGCGGGCGGAAATTAGTCAAAATAGACAGGTTGGGCAATGCCTTCGGCATTCTGCCAGGCTTCAAAAGAAAAAGATAAGGGCCGTTCAAGGAAAGTGAAACAAATTTCTGAGTGCTTTGAAAGGTTTAAAAGTTCCAAGCATGGAAAATACAGTCAGATGAAGCATTGTTTAGAATCATGCTAAGTTCTTGTCCTCGGCTTATAGAAGCCTTGCTTGGAAGATTAATGCTTAAGGATTTCTTGTTTCCTGGTTTGGTTTTTTGTTTCTTGTGATTACCTGCTCATGCCTTGGATCAACGTTTCCTGGTTCTTTGGATTTTGTTAGAGAAGTGTAGACTTTGTTTTTGGACTTTACCTTGGACTTTACCTTGGACTAATTTTGTTCCTGCTTATCTTCTTTGTTGTTGTTGTTCATTCGTTCAGTCGTCTCTGACTCTTCGTGACCTCATGGACCAGCCCACGCCAGAGCTCCCTGTCGGCCGTCACCACCCCCAGCTCCTTCAAGGTCAGTCCAGTCACTTCAAGGATGCCATCCATCCATCTTGCCCTTGGTCGACCCCTCTTCCTTTTTCCTTCCACTTTCCCCAGCATAATTGTCTTCTCTAGGCTTTGCTGTCTCCTCATGATGTGGCCAAAGTACTTCAACTTTGTCTCTAGTATCCTTCCCTCCAGTGAGCAGTCGGGCTTTATTTCCTGGAGGATGGACTGGTTGGATCTTCTCGCAGTCCAAGGCACTCTCAGAACTTTCCTCCAACACCACAGCTCGAAAGCATTGATCTTCCTTCGCTCAGCCTTCCCTAAGGTCCAGCTCTCACATCCGTAGGTTACTACAGGGAATACCATGGCTTTGACTAGGCGGATCTTCGTTGCCAGTGTGATGTCCCTACTCTTCACTATTTTATCGAGATTGGACATTGCTCTCCTCCCAAGAAGTAAGCGTCTTCTGATTTCCTGGCCACAGTCTTACCTAATTGGATTTACTCATTCCTTTAAAGTGCCTTTTTTACTTTGCTGCTTTTATTTATCTTCAATAAAAGGATTGTTTTCCTATTCAACGTGTGGTGTTTTAAAATCAGAGGGTTATTCCTGTCCTGGAGTGCAACAAGCTGGGCCTGAGGGATAGTATCGGACACACAAGAAGCTATGTCATTTAAATCAGGCCTCTTCAACCTGTCGCCCTCCAAGTGTTTGGGCCTCCAACTCCCAGAAGCCCTGGTCACCTTGTTCCATAGTCAGGAATTATGGGAGCTGGAGTCCAAAATACCTGGAGGGCCACAGGTTGAAAAGGCCAGGTTTAGAGCTTGGAAATGTAAGTTGTTTGGTGACAGCTTTCAGAATTTCCTAACCATTGGTCAAAACAGTGGGAATATTGTAGGATGATAAAGAAAGAACAACACTCAAAAATGGGAATTCCAGACAAGAAACAATCAGGGCCAGCTAATCACTTCCCTACAAAGGATTCCCCCAAGCAGGAAGCAGCAAAACCTTGAAGCTGAAAGGCTATTCAATGCTAATCAAGGTGATCAATTTCTAATTCCCAAGCTATTATGCAACACTTAAGCAGGTTGGTACTACGCAAATAATCAATTCTGCTGGTCTTCTAAATATTTCCCCCCTCTGTACTTTGCATCCACGCATGCTATGAACCAATTCCACATAACGGAAGAAGAAGAATCCTCAAACTGTAGAAAGAGAATATCAAGTCACTAGAAAAATGCTTTCTGTTATGAGGATATGTGTTGCTAGCTCAACTAAATCAATAAGAATTTGGCAAGTCAACAGTTATGTATGTTTCAATGATTTAATGTAGCTACCATACTTGGAACAACTGAATTTTGAACATAATTGGTCATTTGAATGCATCCCTAGGGAGCAAATTAAAGTTATTTAAACCATTAATTTTGTTCGACTGTAGTGAAGGTGTTGACTCATAGGTATTAGGAAAACATTGGCTAGCTATAACAATTGCATTAAAGTGAAACCATACATCAATGGTTTGAAGACTTCAAGAAATACTAAATAAAAATTGGCTAGGATCCATGTGCTGGACATGAGAAAAGCCACCCACAGGATGGTAAAAACATCCGGGTGTCCCCTGGGCAACGTCCTTGCAGATGGCCAATTCTCTCACACCAGAAGTGACTTGCAGTTTCTCAAGTTGCTCCTGACACACACACACAAACACAGCCATATAACCCAGAATGTCAAGGCTGATAATCCACAATATCTGCTTTGATCTGGGTTATTTGAGTCCACACTGACATATAATTCAGTTCAATGTAAATTTTATATATCTGTCTGGAAGGGGACTGGGTTTCATAGCTGAGTGGTAATTCGAACCCCAATCCCCAGAGTGATAGTCTCAAACCACTGCACTATGTCAATTTGTCCTTGACCTCATAGGTAAAGGTTTCCCCTGACATTAAGTCTGTTCGTGTCCAATTCTGAGGGGTGGTGCTCATCTCCATTTCTAAGCCGAAGATCTGGCATTGTCCAAAGACACCTCCAAAGTCATGTGGCCTTCCTGCTGGAGCGGTACCTATTGATCTATTCACATTTGCATGTTTTCAAACTGCTAGGTTGGCAGAAGCTGGGGCTAAGAGCAGGAACTCAACCTGCTCCCTGGATTCAAAACACCAACCTTTTGGTCAACAAGTTCAGAGAAGGGGAAAAATCCTATTCAGTATTCCCTTCTTCCCTTTTCTTGAATTAAATGCAAACTACTTTTGTACTTTGAGTTCCATTTACATCAATTTAAAAAAGATATCTCATGATGCACTGTATATGAAAACACAGGCATTCCAGAATAAAAATTTAAAAATTCAAAACACTTCTCATTTATTTATTTATTTATTTGATGCACTTGTTAACCGCCATTCTCAGCCCTTACGGGCGACTCATGGCGGTGTACAATACACATAAAAGACAGGTTACAAAAGCTAATATCCACAACAGGTATCCAAGCATTTTGGATAATGGGTACTCCACTCTGATTATATCTATATATCTATATCACGTGTGTGTGTGTGTGTGTGTGTGTGTGTGTATAATTTTCACCATAAGCTGCTTTGAGTCTCTTTGTAGAGAGCAAAAGTGGGTATAAAAAACAACAATATTGGAACTTGTCATAAATACCATCTGCCTGTGACAAAGAACTGGTGGGATCACAAGCCTGAAAAGGCTACAGAAAATGAACATGCCAAACTCCTCTGGGACTTCCGAATTCAGACTGACAGAGTTTTGGGTTGTTGTAGGTTTTTTCGGGCTATATGGCCATGGTCTATAGGCATTCTCTCCTGACGTTTCGCCTGCATCTATGGCAAGCATCCTCAGAGGTAGTGAGGTCTGTTGGAACTAGGAAAATGGGTTTATATATCTGTGGAATGACCAGGGTGGGACAAAGGACTCTTGTCTGCTGGAGCTAGGTGAGAATGTTTCAGCTGACCACCTTGATTAGCATTTGATTGCATGGCAGTGCCTGGAGCAATCTTTTGTTGAAAGGTGATTCGATGTCCTTGTTTGTTTCCTCTCTGTTGTTGTGCTGTTGTAATTTTAGAGTTTTTTAATACTGGTAGCCAGATTTTGTTCATTTTCATGGTTTCCTCCTTTCTGTTGAAATTGTCCACATGCTTGTGTATTTCAATGGCTTCTCTGTGTAGTCTGACATGGTGGTTGTGAGAGTGGTCCAGCATTTCTGTGTTCTCAAATAATATGCTGTGTCCAGGTTGGTTCATCAGGTGCTCTGCTATGGCTGACTTCTCTGGTTGAAGTAGTCTGCAGTGCCTTTCATGTTCCTTGATGCGTGCCTGGGCAATGCTGCGTTTGGTGGTCCCTCTGTAGACTTGTCCACAGCTGCATGGTACACGGTAGACTCCTGCAGAAGTGAGAGGATCCCTCTTGTCCTTTGCTGAACGTAGCATTTGTTGGATTTTCTTGGTGGATCTGTAGATAGTTTGTATGTTGTGTTTCCTCATCAGCTTCCCTATGCGGTCAGTGGTTCCCTTGATGTATGGCAAGAACACTTTTCCTCTGGGTGGATCTTTGTCTTGACTCTAGTGGCTTGTTCTCGGTCTCGCAGCTCTTCTGATGTCTGAAGTGGAGCATCCATTGGCCTGTAGAGCCCAGTTGAGGTGGTTCAGTTCATCAGTTCACAGATTCTTTTTGCACAGTCTGCCAAGGCTTTAATGTATGGATCGTCGATGTTCCAATCCCAGGTGACAGCAGGATTGACGAGAAGCATCTGGAAAAGATGACACAATATGAAGATTTAAAGATCGAACTACAATTAAAGAGCATTCTGAAACCCACAAACGACAGAAATGGGGCAAACTTCCCACACAGAACCCCCATGACCAACAGAAAATACTTAAGGCCATCCAGTCCAACTCTCTTCACCAGGGCAAGAAAATGTAATCAGAGCCCTCCTGACAAAGAGCCATCCAGTCATAATAGATAGATAGATATGATTCACACACAGAGACATATAGTATCATAGATTTGAAAGGGACCCCTAAAGAAGGCCAGTTATATGTTGCATGTTCCAGAGTAGGCAAACCAGACAATCTCCACATCAACACTGACAAAGAAACAGCAAGAAATATTTAAAGGCATTACATATATTAGAAACCAACACTTTTTCGTTACTTTATTTTCCAGATCACCAGACTGGGCCACAGCAACGTGTGGCAGGGGACCGCTAGTTTCATATATATATTCATGTCAGGAATGAAAAACTGTAGTTATGATACGGACCTCTTATGATATTTTGGAAACACTTTAGAAATGATTCACTCCCAACCCCCCCCCCCCACACACACACAATTTAGTAATGAGTATTGATTGTTTTCCCCACTGATGGCACAGGTCTATACCGATGGACAGAACACTGAGTTCCTTGGTGCTCAGCCATGGGTTTTTTGGGCCACTTAGAGAGGCCAAAGTACTCACCCGTTCTCCAAAGGGCCAAAGCCGGGACAGCTAGTAAATAATAATAATAATAATAATAATAATAATAATAATAGCAGAACCGCCTTCTTTCACCTGCGGCAGGCTAGACGGCTGGCCCCCTCCCTGTCCAGGGACGACCTAGCTGCGGTGATCCAGGCTACGATCATCTCAAGACTGGACTACTGTAACGCCCTCTACATTGGCCTTCCTCTGTAGGTGATCCGGAAGCTCAAGCTGGTACAAAATGCATCTGCTCGGCTTCTTGCGGGAATTCCGATGAGATGCCACATAACACCAATCTTACTACAGCTGCATTGGCTACCAAGTGAGCACCGGATCACTTTCAAAGGGATGGTACTCACCTTTAAGGCCTTGCATGGTCTGGGGCCGATGTACCTGAGGGACCGCCTCACCCCCTACCAACCCCAGAGATCCCTCCGTTCTGAGGACCAAGATTATTGGAAATTCCCAGTGTCAAGACCTTGCGTCTAACAGCAACCAGACGCAGAGCCTTCACAGCAGTGGCACCATCACTCTGGAATACTCTGCCACCTGAAGTCCGTGCCTTGCGGGACTTACCAGCTTTCCGCAGGGCATGTAAGACATACCTGTTTCGACAGGCTTTTAATGTTTGATATTGTTGTTTTTTAAATTGTTTTAAATTGCTTTTAAATTTTGTTAGATTTTAGCTATTCTTGTAAGCCGCTCCGAGCCCTAAGGGAGTGGCGGCATATAAGTTCAAATAATAAAATAAAATAAATAAAATAATATCCATTTATTTGCTTTAACTAGCCTGCCAATCCTTTGGGAGCCAGAATATATTTTTGCAAAAACATAAATTACATCAGTTGCTTCTTATAATTTTTTTTCTGCCTTAACTTACCCAGCACATTCAAAGAGGAAAAAGATTTTTCTTTTTTTTTTAAAAAAAAAAGTTATATTGCATTGTTTTGCACATCTTATTGGGAGCCGGAAGTGTTGAGATATCACCTTTTTTGCAACCTCTATAGCTCCCTGTTGCCCCTCCCTTCTGCGCATGCTCAGTTTCCGAGACCGCCTTTGCTCTCCCGACGCTTCCTCGCCCAGCGCCTTCGTTGCCTTTATCACGTGACAACGGGGTGACCAATCATCCGAAGCCGGAAGATGGCGGCGCGTCGCGGGGAGATGACGGCAGGAGTAGGCGCCGGGGCGCTCGAGGCGGGGCCAGCGGGAGACGGCGATGGGGCTCGCTGAGGAAGAGGACGCGGGGCGGAGGCGGCGCTGCTGCTGCCTCGGCTGCTGACGAGGCGGGGGAGCGAGAGAGCGAGCGAGCGAGCAGGGACCCGGGTAAGGAAAGGCGTAGGCTTAGGGGTCGCCTGGGAAACAGCTAGGCCTCTCTCCGCGCTCCAGCAGGGCCCGGGCCTCCCTCTCTCTCTCCCTCCCTCCAAGGGGAAGGCCTGCTCGCCCGCCCGCCTCTCTGAGGGCCTGCAGGGGACTGGAGCCAGCTCGGGGCCCCAATGCTGACGATAATGGCAACAAACCACGTTCAGGGCCCTTCTTCCACACACTTTTGAAGGAGTTAAATGATAAAACGACTAAAATGATAAAAGGTCTGGAGAACAAGCCCTATGAGGAGCGGCTTAATGAGCTGGGCATGTTTAGCCTGAAGAAGAGAAGGCTGAGAGGGGATATGATAGCCATGTATAAATATGTGAGGAAGTCATAGGGAGGAGGGAGCAAGCTTGTTTTCTGCTTCCCTGGAGACTAGGACGCGGAACAATGGCTTCAAACTACAAGAAAGGAGATTCCATCTGAACATGAGGAAGAACTTCCCGACTGTGAGAGCTGTTCAGCAGTGGAACTCTCTGCCCCGGAGTGTGGTGGAGGCTCCTTCTTTGGAAGCTTTTAAACAGAGGCTGGATGGCCATCTGTCAGGGGTGATTTGAATGCAATATTCCTGCTTCTTGGCAGGGGGTTGGACTGGATGGCCCATGAGGTCTCTTCCAACTCTATGATTCTATGATTCTAGTTAGTTGCTGTACTAAATGGTCAGTGCAGATGAGGCCTGTCATGGCAGTCAAACAGGCATCAGTCTGTATTAATTCTAGCATGCAGGTCAGACAAGGGCCAACTTGGGCCCTCCAGGTGTTTTGGACTTCAACTCCCACAATTCCTAACAGCCTTGGGTGCCATGAATGACTTTTCAATAACTTTGAAGCATAGGTTCTTATCAAAATAAGATAAGATAATAAATTTCCTCTAAAAGACTTGTCCATAGTTGTATTATTATATCCATGCACATATACAATTTAAGAAAGGAAGTATGCTGAAGCTAAATTGGTAGGTGACCCTACCTAAATCAGCTCAAGTAATCTGGACTCATTCACAGTGCAGGGCAACTCTGTTGGGAGATCAGCAAACATCTCTGCCAACTGTTCAAAATTTCCAGTGTGAGAGGGTACATCAGATTACAGAAAAACATTTAGACAACGAATGACATTAGACATACAGATTGTGCCGTCACGCTTGGGGGCTATTAGTCTTTTCAGTAACTTTGAAGCATAGGTACCCTCTCACACTGGAAATTGCAATAAAAAGAACCTATTGTCGAAGGCTTTCATGGCTGGAATCACTAGGTTCTTGTGGGTTCTTTCGGGCTATAGGGCCATGTTCTAGAGGCATTTCTCCTGACGTTTCGCCTGCATCTATGGCAAGCATCCTCAGAGGTAGTGAGGTCTGTTGGAAATAGGACAATGGGTTTATATATCTGTGGAATGGCTGGGGTGGGGCAAAGAGCTCTTCCCTGCTAGAGCTAGGTGTGAATGTTTCAACTGACCACCTTCATTAGCATTTGAAGGCCTGCCTGAGCCTGGGAAAATCTTTTGTTGAGAGGTGTTAAGATGTGCCTGGTTGTTTCCTCTCTGCTGTTTTGCTGTAATTACTCTAAAATTACAACAGGCTCAGGCAGGCCTTCAAATGCTAATGAAGGTGGTCAGTTGAAACATTGTATTGTCGAAGGCTTTCATGGCTGGAATCACTAGGTTCCTGTAGGTTTTTTCGGGCTATAGGGCCATGTTCTAGAGGCATTTCTCCTGATGTTTCGCCTGCATCTATGGCAAGCATCCTCAGAGGTATCCTCACTACCTCTGAGGATGCTTGCCATAGATGCAGGCAAAACGTCAGGAGAAATGCCTCTAGAACATGGCCCTATAGCCCGAAAAAACCTACAAGAACCTAGTTGAAACATTCACACCTAGCTCCAGCAGAGAAAAGCTCTTTGCCCCACCCCAGCCATTCCACAGATATATAAACCCATTGTCCTAATTCCAACAGACCTCACTACCTCTGAGGATGCTTGCCATAGATGCAGGCGAAACGTCAGGAGAAATGCCTCTAGAACATGGCCCTATAGCCCGAAAGAACCCACAAGAACCTAGTGATTCCAGCCATGAAAGCCTTCGACAATAGGTTCTTTTTATTGCAATTTCCAGTGTGAGAGGGTACATCAGATTACAGAAAAACATTTAGACAAAGAATGACATTAGACATACAGATTGTGCCGTCGTGCTTGGGGGGTATTAGTCTTAATGAAGGAGGAATGGACGTGGCACCATTCCCCCAAGGGATTCCTTCTTGCCCTCCTATAGGAAACTGGAACTCCCAAAAACCCAAAACACTGTAAATAGCTCAAGTTAAGTTTTATTTATCACAAAGTCATTTCTTCAAAGCAATGAGCTGGAAAAGTTTAGAGGGGTGAAGAAAAACATACATTACAGTCTCAATTAGTCCTGGGTCCAAGTGGTTTGAAGCTGAGAAGCCTCACCAAGTTTCCTCCTTCCTCAGTGGCTGTGAATGCCAGAGCAAACCACAACCCCAGTTCAGATGGCCTATGTCTTGAAGATTCAGGATCTTCCTTTGGTGCCAAAAGAACTGGCTTGAGGGCGCCTGGGTCTCCTCATTAATTGTCCAGGACGATCTGGACATAAAGCGTGAGTCCCAAGGGTAAAAAACCTCAGAACTGGTGCTAAGAGGTAACTTAAATCAGGGTCCTTTAGAGTCAGGCCTTTTACTCACGTCCATCTGGTACAAACTCTGATGGCAGAATTAAGAAAAAGGAAGTTCTCCCCTCTTGCAGGAAGAGGTGGAGCCAAACAGTACTGATTGACAGCTACAAGCAACCAATCCATACAACTATACATAAGCAGGGTAAAAAGGGGCAGGATTAAGCATGATACAACAGTTTAAATCTTACAACTAACAGTTCTATACATAGGTGGCGCCACTTGCACCGTCACACAAATTCTATTCCAACACCTTGCCTTCTGCAAGGACCCCTCATCCCTGAACCCACTTTTATTTACAACTCATCATCCGAAGATGAACTGACCACCGCCCCATCATTATCCCCCGCAGCTGCTTCCAGCTCTTCACGTGAGCCACCTTGTCTTCCCCTCCAATTCCTCCATCTCCTGTCAAGACTTAGATCCCCCCAAGATTCGGTTGGATCCCCTGATTGCCAGTCTTCACCCCCAGGGAACCCCATAAAGGTATCACTAGTTGTTGGATCCCCACAATTAGCTTGCACTTGTCTTATCTTAGTCCAGTCCAAGGTGTCTCCTTCTTCTCCTTCACTCATTGACCCATCATCCCCAGAGAATCCTTCAAACGACTCCTTATCTGTAGGCACTGTAAATATGACCGCATCTCAGTATATGAACCCACACGATCCCTCTGTTCATCTGGAGAGGCCCTGCTCATGATTCCACCTGCGTCGCAAGCGCGTTTGGTGGGGACGAGGGACAAGGCCTTCTCTGTGGTGGCCCCCCGACTCTGGAACTCTCTCCCCAATGACATCAGACAAGCCACAATGTTGGCAGTCTTTAGGAAGAGCTTGAAGACCTGGCTGTTCCAGTGTGCCTTTCCAGAATAGGAAACTCCCAGCATCATGTCCCAAACGCACTTTATTAGAGATTTAAGATTGTCTGCACATCGCACCTACTCTAAAATCCTTACATTTCACCTGTCATGCCCAGCACTTTTAATTTTATTCATTGCATTTGGCCCAGCCCTAGTTTTTAAATGTGTCATGATGTTATCGTTTAATGTTTACTGTTATTGCTTTAATGTTTATTGGTTTGCTTTTTGAGTTTTATTGTTGTTTTTGTTATGTGTTTGTTTTATTGAGGGCCTTGGCCTTTGTAAGCCCCACCGAGTCCTTTGGGAGATGTTAGCAGGGTACAAATAAAGATAATAATAATAAGTCCCAGAAGTTTCTTAAAAATGACATAATGGAGCACAATTTCTAACAGTTCCAATGTGGAGAAAAAATTGAAGATCTAAATAACTTTATCAACAGAAGGCATGCTTATAAAGTTTGCAGATGACACCAAATTAGGAGGGATAGCTAATACTCCAGAGGACAGGATCAGAATTCAAAAGGACTTTAACACATTAAAGAGCTGATTGGCCGCAATGATCAAAATGAATTTCAACTAGGACAAATGTAAGATACTACACTTAGGCAGAAAAAATGCAATGCAGAGATACAAAATGGGTGACACCTAGTTTGACAACAATCCATGTGAGAAAGATCTTGGAGTCTTTGTGAATAACAATTTGAACATGAGCCAACAGTGTGATGAAAAAAGCCAATGGGATTTTGGGCTGCATCAAAAGGAGTCTTGATGTCTAGATCGAGAGAAGTCATGGTGCCTCTGTATTCTGCTTTGGCCAGATCTCACCTGGAATACTGTGTTGAATTCAGGGCACCACAGTTCAAAAGAGATATTGACAAGCTGGGATATGTCCAGAGGAGGGCAACTAAAATGATCAAAGGTCTGGAGACCATGCCATGTACGAAGTGTCTTAAAGAACTGGGTATTTTTAGCTTACAGAAGAGAAGACTGAGAGGAGACATGATAGCCATGTGTAAAAGGATGCCTTAAGGAAGAGGGAGCAAGCTTATTTTCTGGTGCCCTGGAAACTAGGATTCAGAGCAATGGCTTTAAATTACATGAAAGGAGATTCCACCTGAACATGAGGAAGAACCTCCTGACCATGAGAGTTATTCAGCAGTGGAACTCTGCCTCGTGGTGTGGTGGCAGCTCCTTCCTTGGAGGCTTTTAAACAGAGACTGGATGGCTATCTATCGGGGGTACTTTGTGCTTTTCCTGCATGGCATGGGGCTGGTCTGGGTGACCCATGTTGTCTCTTCTGATTCTATTATTCTACTAAGCTGATTTCAGTAAACTTAGTGGGCTACTGGGTGTGTTCAGGGATACTGAAAGAGAAGAGAGTTCTTAACAGAAATAATTTTCTTAAAAATGAGATATTGGAGGTAAAATTTCTAGCAATTCCAATTTGGAGAAGAAATGGAAGATCTAAAGAACTGTATCAATGGAAGGCTTATCAAATTTTTAGATGACACCATATATGGGAGGGATAGCTAATACTCCAGAGGATGGGGATCAGAATCTAAAATGTCCATAACAGATTAGAGAGCTGGACCAAAATTAATAACATGAATTTCAACATGGAGAAATGTATGGTACTACTGTTAGGCAATAAAAATGAAACACAGAGATATAAGATGGGTTACGTCTGGCTTGAAAGCAATGCATGTGAAAGAGATTTTGGAGTATTAGTAGAGCACAGGTTGAAGATGAGGCAGTAGGGTGACGTGACAGCTAAAAAAGCAAATATGATTCTGGGCTTTCATCAATAGCAATATAATTAATTAACTAATTATATTTATATCCCACACTTCTCACCGAAGGGGACTCAGGGCAGCTCACAACAAAGACACAATTCAATGTCTTGAACACATATCAACATAAAAACAACATATACATTAAAATCACATAATCAAAACAATGTGTAAATTGAGGGAAGTGCCGCTATTCTGCTTTAGTTAAACCTGGAATATTGTGTCCATTTTTGGACACCACAATTCAAGGAGGATATTGACAAGTTGGAATGTGGCCAGAAGGAGATGACCAACATGATCAAAGGTCGGGGATCCACAAATTCCTGCATGGGCTGCGTGTGTTTAGCTTAGAGAAAAGAAGACTGAGAGGGAGCATGATAGCCATTTTAAAATATTTGAAGGGATGTCATCTTGAAAGTAAAGCAATCTTGTTATCTGCTGCTCTGGAGACTAGGACATGGGGCAGTAGATTTAAGGTGTAGAAAAAGATATTCTATCTAAACATTAGGAAGAACAATTAATTTAGGCTCTGTATTCTGATTTGCAAGGGAGAAAGTATACTTTATGAATGACAGCTCAAAATATCATTTGGTGGCTTCTCACTTTGTTTTTAATTTCAAGAGACTCGTGTGTAAAGGGGCTGGTGGTAGCAAATGTACATGCTGAATTATATAGAATCATAGAGATGTATGGGACTTCAGGTGTAATCTCGTCCAACATTTTCCATACCAGAATATACAACTGAAGCACTCTCAGAAGATGATCATCTAACCTTTATATAGACACCTAAATTAGGAAAGACCATAATTCATTCTAAAGCATTATTTCACACTCACCAGCTGTTCCACTTAAGAAACATCTACCGTCTAAGCCCTTCCTGATGTTTATATGGTAACTCTTTTCTTGCAAGTTAACCCATTGGTTGTTATCTAGTCTGCAGCAGTATAAAACAAGCTTGCTCTATCTTCTACCTACACTTTTTAGATATTTACGTAAATATGGGTATCATATCACCTCTCTGTCTTCTTTTTTCTGTGCTAACCATAGTCAGCTCCCGAAAGCATCTTGTCTGGCCTTGGTTTCTGTAACTTTTATATGTATTTCTTTTCAATCTTAATGGGGTTTCAAATTAGGGTTTTGAAATTTTTTTGCTTGTGTTATCTAGCTATAGCCAGTCCAACTCTAATTAATGTTTGTGTCCAGATCAAAGTGGGGCTCTTGTCCTTCAAGAGTTCAGGGGACAATGATCCCATGAGGATTTGCTATGATCCCAGCCTGTAGTCCTTAGACCTGCTCCTAGTCAGTGCAAATAGTACAGAGTTAAATGAATTCATGATCTAGCTCACTATAAGGTAAACCACTTTGAGTCCCCCTAGGGGTGAGAAAAGAGGTATATAAATGCTATAAATAATAATAATAATAATAATAATAATAAATAGATATTCATCTTTCCTTTAATCTGACAAAATATGTACAGCCTCAAATGATAAGACCAGTTTCTTACATATGTGGTGTATATATTCCAAAAATATAGGAAAACTTATCATAGGTCTACATTGAGTGCCCTGAAAGCAGGTGTGATTTTGTTTTGTATTTCATTTCTTGTTTTTTGTTTCATATTTATTTTGATACTTTAAAAATGGCTTTAGTGCAGAGTTCATTGTGTTGCCTCTTTTTATGAGAATTCACATCTACATTAATAATTTGCTTTCAGACATATTTTGATTAAATGAAGATGGCATGATTACCTCACCGAAAACTGTTAGTGATTGGGACTTCATAAGTATGGCATGTCTTTAGTTAAGGCTGTAAATCCTACACTGCAAACCTGAATGAAATTGCCATTGAAACCAAAGATATAGCTTTGTTTTCGCATAAGAAGGCATAAAGGAATCCATCAGCATCTTTGAGAGCAATTGGGAAGAAGAAATTTCTAGCATTTGTTAATGAAGTATTGAATTCAGTGAGACTTCTGTAGAACTGTGCATAGTATTTCATTCATAGGATTTCACAATCTCTTTTTACTTCTAAAATCTTTTCACAGTTATGGTTTATTTGACATACTATCATTTTGTTGTCCTAAAAATAAAAGCAAGATTATTTCCATGGTAGTAACACATTTTCTTTCTGTCTGTAGCTGAGAAGATAAAGGGAGAGACACTCTCAAGATGAGCAGAAAGCCTCCGAATCGTCCTGGGATCACATTTGAGATTGGTGCTCGCTTGGAAGCACTGGATTATCTGCAAAAATGGTATGGACGATGATGTGTATGTTTGATTTAAGTAAAGAATGATTTTGCACAATCTATGACACACCGAACAAACATGCAGACATCTTCACTGTTTCTTCATAAGGCAGCTTGAGGCAAGGTCATCTTTTTGAAAGAGACATTAAAGTAATAGAAGGATTTGACCAGAACATAAATGCCAGGTTTACTTGTCTGATGATTGTGTTTTAAGTGCATGGATGTATTCTGGTGCCTCATAAATATGATTTATATATCTTGTGGGTATTCCATTAATAGCAGGACAGGCTTTTTCCTTTTTTATGCAGGGCACTATAGAGAATAAGCATATTTTATTAGATATACAAAAAGATATTCGATAGCATTGTGTCAGGGATCATTAGGCTGATAGATATAGGAATCTTAGAGTTGCTGTGAAGGAAGCATGATAGAAGTCATAAGGCTACACTTGAAAAATACTTGGGTGCTTTCTACCTTCTATGGATGTATGACCATAGTCTTCACCAGGAGAAATGATTTTTCCCAACCTAGATCCTTCAAGATGTTTTGGACTGCACTTTCCATTGTCCCAGATCACTGTCTGTTTGGACTGTGGGTTCAACTAATCCAAAGTATCAGGGGAGAGCAATTTGGGGACAGCTACCCTTTTGTGAGTCCTCTTTATTAGCTTTCAAAATAGGCCTTATTTTACTATAGGAAGTAAGATTTACAGCTGTCAAAAAAAGGCTTTTACAGTGATGGACTCAAGGTTTGGAAATGCTCTCCATTCATATTTTTGTTATGTTTTCTTTCTTATCTGCTGTTACGACACGTTCCGGTTTTTTCCTCCTTTTGGATTAATGTTTATGTAACAGGTTGATTAATTTGGGTTGTACAGAAGGTGAAAACCTTTTAAGGCTAATTTGGTGTTATATTTTAGTTGTATGGTTGTGATTACATATTAGATACTGTGATTCTGGTAGATTTGTAACCTGCTTTGAGTACCGCATAATTGCTCCTTTAAATATGGGGACCTGAATTAATTCCTTTGAATTGTGCTTCATTTTCAGTATGCTGGCCAATTGCAATTGTGTTTTGTCTCATATGGTGTGTAAGCTAAAATACTTGGTATGGAGCAAAACAAAACACAAGGCAGTTTATGGGATTGTCATCCCATGGGATGATCAATCAATGACATCTGGGATATCTAGTTTTAATATATTTGGGTTCAGTGAAGATGTCACGGTCATCTTGTTCAGCAATCAGCCTGAAGGCAAGGACAGTCTGATGGCATGCATGACAACTCCCTGAAATGATGTTGTTCATGGTAAATAGAGAAAAAGTAATTTTGATAGACCAACACTCTGGCTTTTAGAATCATAGAATCATAGAGTTGGAAGAGACTGAATGGGCCATCTAATTCAACCCTCTTCCATGCAGGAAAAGCACATTCAGAATATCCCTGACAGATGGCTATCCAGCCTTTGTTTAAAAGTCTCCAAAGAAGGAGCCTCTACTACACTCCGAGGCAGTGAGTTCCACTGCTAAATAGCTATTTTTCTTGGAAAAGAATGATAATAATCTGAAGGAGCATATATATAGAATGACATTTGTGCTTTTGCATTCCCCCTTTCTTCTAAAATGTGTGAAACTTCTCTAGTGATGGGCTGCTAATGCAGAAGTGGCACAAATTGAGTGCTTGTTTATGTTTTTCTCGTAACTACTGTAGCTACAATTATTACTGTAACTACAATTATCAGGTAACATAAACTACGCTGGATGATTATAATGCACCCCTTAAAAAGAAAATGAGGGCCAAGTTTGACATCTTGCTTTACAAGTTGTATTCAGTTTGTGTGCTTGTTTACACTTTTCTCTTGAATTTATCTAAAGGATTTTTATTATGTTTCTTTCTTTGATGTCCAAGGAAGCTGTATGTGTGATGCATGCATTTTAATTGAATGTCATATTAGTAAGTTATTCTTCAGACACCCTTGTTTGAGGCCCTTCCCATGCGTATGAAATTGTTCAAGTGGTTGCATGTAGGGAGAGAGTTTTATCTGTGCCTCGTTCCTGCTTCTTTCCTTCTCTTTCACTTGCATCTCGCTGAGTTTCTCCTAGCACCCAGACCCCATCTGTGAAATTGATGCTTCTGTTTGATGTTTTGTTTCATGTGTAATATGATAGGTTGCATTTTTCATTTAATTTTAGGTGTTGTATATGTTGGGTTGTCAATTCTCGTTAATAGGTTCAGGCATTGAATGTTTGCCTTTTATGTTTGGACTCTGCCCTGAGTCCCTCCGGGGAGATAGGGCAGAATATAAATAAAGATGATGATGATGATGATGATGATGATGATGATGATGATGATCTGTCCTAGTCACTTAGATTGGTGCAGATTTGGATCACTCCCGCAGTATCTACAAGGAGCAGGAATCTCAAAATATTCCCAAAATACTCTAGTAATGGCAAACTAAGACAGCAGAGAGGTGTTTTATTATGAATGGATGAAATCTGGCCAAAGCTGGAAGTGATTTGTGCAATGAATTAGAAATAGCAATGGTCTCTTCCATTCCTGAGTGCAGGATAGTGTGCAATGTTGGGATTAAATGTTTGCTTAATTATGTGTAGTGGTATCTGGAAAGTAAGGTTACAAGATTTTTTTTAAATACAAAAAATGAATACATTTTAATAAAACGTAGATGGATTATAGCATAGGTATTGCATTTTTTTCCACACAATCACAATTCAGTTCAGTACATTTTGTCATCCATGCGACAAGTTTTTTGATGCCTATGTCATAGAAATCTCCCGTCCCCTTTTTCATCCAGTTCGTCACTTCGATTTTCACCCTGTTGTCGTGGGAAAAGTGTTTTCCACCCAGGTGTTCCTTCGGTTTAGTGAACAAATGATAGTCACTGGGTGTGAGATTGGGGCTGTGAGAGGGGTGGCTTAAAATATCCCAACCAAATGAAGTCAACATCTATTGTGTTGCATGAGCGGTGTGCATGAAGGAGATAGGTTAACGGAATGAGGACACTCATCTCTAACCTTCACCACAATGCCGGTCAGTGAGCTACTAACGACTGGCACTGCTCATTTGCTTCACTTGGCTTCCTGCTACACAACAGTGATACCAACTTCCCCCATGAAAATTCCTCATGAGATCTACATGCCTTGTAATCTTACTTTCCAGATAACCCTTGTATATATGCTGGCTCATTGCACATGACATGATGTTAAGTTAGACTGTAACATATAGTTTTGTATCTCAAGTTGGACATGATTTCAAGTCCTGTCTCTTGTAGTTCTTCACCTAGTGGTTTGAGAACAAAACATTTAAATATATAGGGTTTTGGATCCATTCAGCCTAATTCTTATGTTCTCAAGGGCCTCGCTGGATGATCTTAAGGTCCTTGGTGGTTCATAGAGGGAGATACGTTTGAACAGGTAAACTGGGCCGGAATGGTTTAGAGCTTTATAGGTTAATACCAGCAATTTGAATTGTGCCCGGAAGCTAATAGGCAGCCAGTGGAGCTGAATATACGAGTGTGTGTCCTAATGGTCTTATATTTTTATCTATGTATTTTCAAAATATCTTGTGTTTACAATCTTGTGCTAGGTTAGGCTTGTAAATAGATATTCATCTGATTGCATATATATGGTAGAAGTGAGCACTGGATAGCAAGACAGAGATGCTTTTGAAAAGTTAGAAAACTACTTGCTATTCCCTTATACTTGTAAGGCATGCATGTCCAAAATAATGAACATTTGGCTGGTTACCAGTTAAAATGAATTAATAACTCCTGTGTTCTGGTGTATACATTTGTTTCTGCCATATGTATCTGTTTTTAATTAAATTCTGATTATATTTTTATCATTGTCTACTATTTCATATTTTACTGCTCATAAGAGTCTCAACTAGCTTATATAGATTTTAAGTGCCGTCTTTAGTCTTAGAAGTTTAATGAGGAATAAAAAACAAAGGTATCAACATTTAAAGATATATTAAAATACAATTGAAAAATACATTTGATTGTGTCCAGTTTTTATATCTATAACAAAGAACTTGAATTAACAGCATTTACTTAACAATTTTCAGATGTTATGCATTTTAAGAGATTACTTATAGAAATGTTAGCTTATCTTTTTGTATTAGATGGTTAGACAAAGTATTAGATGCATAGACAAAGTGCAAGCATGATTTGCATACCAAAAGATAGAGAGCTGGTTCACATATACATGATCAGGATGATCAGGAGTGTATGGTTGATGATGTTGTCGTTATTCAACAAAACTTGGTTATTTGAACAGGCGTTTGAATAGGCAGTGCAATGAATATAGGAACGGAACAATGGATGACGAGTTTGGATGATGTTTTCAGTTATGAGACGCCAGTGAATGGTTATTGTGTTAATTGCTTAATCTGTTATTGTGTTAATTGTTTTTAAATATCCTGTTGTTGTTAGCATTGAATTTTTGCTGCTATTGTTGTTAACCGCTGTGTTAACCAAAGTGAGCACTGGATAGCAAGACAGAGATGCTTTTGAAAAGTTAGAAAACTACTTGCTATTCCCTTATACTTGTAAGGCATGCATGGCCAAAATAATGAACATTTGGCTGGTTACCAGTTAAAATGAATTAATAACTCCTGTTAAAATGAATTAATAACGCCTAAGGGCTGAGAACAGCGGTATACAAATAAAGTAAATAAATAAATAAATAAAATATTTTTTCTATATTTTTGCTGTAATATTCCAGTTTCTGTCAGATACTCAGACCAAGTTTATGAGTTCCAATAGACCTTCTGGCATCCTTCAGCTTATCACTGTGTTTGATCACTGTGGCAGAAGCAAATAATATCAATGTGTAAATACAACACCCATTATTGCACCAAAGCAATGGATACCTGTGCTCATGAGCTGCAGAAAAGCCAAACTACTTGTGCTATCTTCCATTAAGCACATGGTTTGCCCCACAATGGCCTCCAACACTGCAGCCTTAAAACAGATGAAGTTTATAGTGAAGTCTGCATAGTCGTTGAGCTGCCCTTTTCCTTCTTAGCATCACCACTGTAGAAGACTTATTATTTATTTATTTTGAATATTTGTACCCCGCCCTTCTCAACCCCCGGAGTGGGAACTGAGGGCGGCTTCCAGTCGGCAGCAATTTGATGCCTCAATATATACATAATAAAACAAACAGTCAATAATTATTGACTTCCTATGTGGATTTATCATAGTTGTTCCCACCTTGGGAACTTTGTCTCCTGATTTAGCCATGATGAGAGGTTGTGATGAGTTAGCTTGGACAACATTCAGTGCACATAGGAAGAAAGAGGCAAAATGAGTGCAGTGCAGAAGACACAAAGTTCATTTATATATCCATTTAATAAGCAAAATATGTATGTCCTGGCTGAATCACCATGGCATTTTTTCCTGCCAGAGTTCTACTGTTTCTCATTCATATTATGTCCATTTATGACTAATGTTTTCAACATATACAAACGTGAACTGCATATGTCTCTTCATTATCAGCAGTGTTATAATCACTGTATGTTAACACTTAATTTAATTGGGTTCTTCACAGATGTTTAGAGTGGACAAGAGGTGATAAGCTGTATGTGTCATCCAATTTTTTTTCAGAAGATCTATTTAGCTAGAGTTCTAAAAGTGATATGTAAATCTATAATTCTATATTACTCGTGGAAGTACACAAATATTCTGGATATACATGTTTCAAACTGTTCTGGTGACATTTTTATGGTTGCAATTTACTATGTGTGCCTGAGATAGATGATGGAGACCTTCATGACTGAATATATGAGGCTTAAATGCAAATAATGCTAACAGTTCACAAGAAAGCCAAAAGGACAGTCAAAGTCATTTCTTCCCCCTCCTTTTGCATATCAACCCCCCTGAAACAACATCTTCCACTTTTTGTGAAGGTATCCGTCACGTATCGAAAAGATAGACTATGAGGAGGGGAAGATGCTTGTCCACTTTGAGCGCTGGAGTCATCGTTATGATGAATGGATTTACTGGGACAGCAATCGGTTGCGCCCTCTTGAAAGGCCATCTCTAAGGAAAGAGGGTTTGAAAGATGATGATGAATTCATTGTAAGTATTCAAGCACACTGTATCATCTTATGAATGTTTTCATATTGAAGTCCTGAGTCATAATTATAAACAGGCAGGGAAGCAGAATCCATACAGACACATAAATCATAAGTGCTTAATAACAATGGTCAGATTTTGAATCTTGATTCTTTGTATGTTCTTAAGTGCTCAATATTTATAGTCTAGTATATACTTAATAGCTCAATATTTAGAAAATGTATGAATATATAGTTCACTATGTTCTTAAACTTTCTCATAAAACAGGATTTTAAACCTGGAGAAGAGGTTCTAGCTCGCTGGACAGACTGTCGATACTATCCTGCAAAGATTGAAGCAATTAACAAAGAAGGTTTGTATAACTCTGTGGTAGATAAGATCTGTCCTTTGGGTCACACTGAAGGTTCATATGATGTAGTATTATTTTCCCAACAGTATCCATGTACCTTTGAGAAGCTTCAGAGAAATGAAAACTGGATTTGTTATGATCTGTGGGCGATATATCAGTATTTTCAGAATCTGAAAATGTATTATAGTGGTAACACAAAGCTGTGGAACAGGAAATTGTCCAGATCTCATGTCTGCTGGGAAGTTACTAAGGACATTAGGGAAGGCACAATTCTTTAGCCACAAATCCCAGAGTCAAGGAGCAATACCACTTTACAAATACTTGGGGGCAATGTTTATTGTAAAGATTACTGAAATAATGCATGGAAGTGTTATGGAGATAGCAGAAATCTTAAAAGATTTGGCCATGTTAGGGGACAGTAATGTGACTTAGTTATATTCGCAACTGCATCTCCCCCTATGAACTGGCGCGGATCCTAAGATCTGCTGGGGAGGCCCTTCTCTCACTCCAGCCACCGTCACAAGCATGGTTGGTGGGGATGAGAGAGAGGGCCTTCTCGGTGGTGGCCTCTGGCTCTGGAACTCCCTCCCCAGGGAGATTAGGCTAGCACTGTCCAGATGTTTCAGTGTGCCTTTCCAAATGGTTAAGTCCTGTTTATGACTGCCCAGATCTAATTGACTATCAGATTGAACTCAGCATTTTACCCTCAACCCTGGCCCTATAATCTGTTTTTGCACAAGCCCGTGCCCAGCCTCCACCTTCTCTAATTTTGATATGCCCATTCTCTTCCTGGTTCTGGTTGTTGAGGTTGTTTTTTATTTATTTTATGATGTTTTTATACTTTACTATTTAATTAAGTTGTTATATGTCTATTGCATTTCCAAATGTGTTTTTACTTGATTAACTTTGTTATTATTGGGCTTGGTCCCACTTGTAAGCTGCCCTGAGTCCCTTTGGGGAGATGGTGGCGGGATATAAAAATAAAGTTATTATTTATTGATTGATTTATTGATTTATTGCATTTCTATACTGCTCTTCTCATCCCTGGGGGGGACTCAGAGCAGTGTACAATGTGACTAAATAGCAAAATTTCAATGCTGAACATACATATAAAAGCAATACATAACATAACTAAATCAGTAACATATAAATATGAATTAAAACCATTAAAAACCATTAAAAATTATACAAAGACACATCATAACATGAACATAAAACATATAAACATTGCACCAGTCCCATGGTTATTATTTAGCTTCTTCAATAGTACTCACTCACAAAACGCTTTCATGGCCAGGTTTTAATAATAATAATAATCATCATCATCATCATCTTTATTTATACCCTGCCACCATCTCTCCAATGGGGATTCAGGGCGGCTAACATGAGGCCAAGCCCTTCTGAATACTAGGATGGAGGGGGCTGATCTAATCTCACTGGGGAGGTAGTTCCACAGTTGAGGGCCCCCACCGAGAAGGCCCTGTCTCTCGTCCTGACCATTCGCGCCTGCAAAGGTGGCAGGACCAAGAGCAGGACCTCCCTGGCAGATCTTTTCACTCAAACTGGTTCATAAAGGGAGATACTTTTGGAGTGGTAAGCTGGACTGGAACTGTATTGGGATTTATAGGTGAAAGCCAGCACTTTCAGTTGTTCCCAATAACAGACTGGCAGCCTGGTAGGAAGACTAGGCATTCATTTGGGATTAGTTATTTAATGTATTCTGTTTATAAGTTCTTCACTGTTTGATCTTTATAAAAATGCATCTTAATGCTTGCTAATCTCTTAAGTGATTTTAAAATTGATGAGAATAGAATCTAGAGTGTTTTATTAACAGAAGTAATGAGTCAATGTAATTAGGAACATTTTTGACAGACATAGGATTATATGATGTGTAGAAATGGCATTCTACAAAAATCTAATATTGAGATTTTCTCTTGCTGCATTCTAGGAACGTTCACTGTACAGTTCTATGACGGAGTGATTCGTTGTCTTAAAAGAATGCATGTCAAATCCATGCCGGAAGATGCCAAAGGGCAGGCAAGTGAATCCATTAATTTTTCCTAACTAATTTGCCCACAGTAATTTTAGCCATCTTGTTATTTATGGCCCTGAGCCCAGATTGCATTGAAAGTGATGAAGCAAACCCTTATCCTTCTTTAAATACCTTGGGAATCTGGTATTTGGACCAAAGGGGATATTTCCTTGCTTGTAATTTTTTAAGAGAGGCCAGTTTTGATAATTTGTTTTTTCACATGCATTTCTTCACACAGCATTTTTACTTCGCAACCATTTATCACTCAGGTTTTGAGGTGAGAAAGGCATTTTCTCACTGTATGTAATGCTTTCTCTCCAAGAAGGAATGAGGGAAGAAAGTTTTACATCCAGACACTATTAATAACTGTTCACACAAGTAGAAAATAGTGCTACTACTATTAGCATAATCACCATTTATTTATATAGTGCCCTTGAGGTACATGGTGCTTTATATGTAAAATAACCCAAACAGTGTGTCCTTCCATAGGAGTACAAAAATTGTTTGAGACCTGTAACATCTGTTGCAAATCGAACTAGATCACGGGTTGCTGAGGTTTGCTGCTTCTCTTGTTTTGGGCTATTATTTCCAAATTCTCTGGCCACTATGGTCAATGGTCCGTGTTTCTGGGCTATGGAAATTCAGATTATTTACACCAGGGGTGTAAATAATCCTCAAACTAAGGCCTGGGGCCAGATACGGCCCTCCAAGGTCATTTACCCGGCTGTCACTCAAGTTCAACCTAAGTCTGAAACTACTTGAAAGCACACAACAACAACAACAATCCTATCTCATCACCCAAAGGCAGGCCCACACTTCCCACTGAAATACTAATAAGTTTATATTTGTTAAAATAGTTCTTCATTTTAATTATTGTATTATTTTAAAGTGTTTTTGCACTACAAATAAGATATGTGCACTGTGCATAGGAATTCATTCATGTTTATTTCAAATTATAATCTGGCCCTCCAACAGTTTGAGGGACTCTGACCGGGCCCTCTGTTTAAAAAGTTTGAGGACCCCTGATTTACACAATAGGGCAAAACTGGGAAGCATAGAAATAATGGTTTTCTGTATTTGCAGTGACAATGGCTAAGCAAATTCTTGTGTCATCCGAACATAGATACTTTTGTCGTCTTTGATATCTTTCTCTTCTCTGGCATCTATAGAAATGTTCTTTTCTATGTAAAATCATAAAACAAACGATTTTCCCATTTGGTTGGGAAAGAAACAAGTGGAAAGATATAGCTCAGATTCAGATGATATAAAAATATGAAGGGAAGTTCTGTAATTTATTTATGCACTTTAGCTGTTTTGAATTATCAGGAAAACTTTGGTAGCAGATAAGCAAGGGCTCATATTGATCACTGACTTATTGGGATCCTGAACCTGTCCAGCTTGAGGGTGGTTCCTATCTTCCTATTTAAATTCTGTTTGGATGTTTAAAATCTATGTGAAAATAAGTATCTTCCATGTACTGTAGACTGTAAAAAGCTTACAAAAGAAAGTGGAACTTGTTTGTTTAATTTTGAACAGTTACACAATATACATTATAGATGGACAGACAATAAAAATGGTTTCTTTTTGCTCAAGGAAGCTTTCCTCAAAATGAATAATTAAAAGTTAGCTATGGTATTTGTACTTTCTTGGTGGCATTTTTAAAAGAATGCAGAGAAGCATCTTATTATTTCTGCCAAGTGCATCTTCTAAGAAATGACATTTTGTGTGAAATGAACCCTCATGTGATGTAAATCATAAAGAGTGAGCTAGTGTGGTGTAGTTGTTTGAGCATTGGACTGCAATGCTAGACACCAGAGGTCAAATCTCTGCTTAGCCATGGAAATCCACTAGATAACTTTGAGCGATAACCTTGAGCAAGCCTCTTCTGAATAAATCTTGCTAGGAAAACTCTATGGTAGGGTGCTCATAATACAGAGTTGATTTGAATAACAACAGGAACTGTACTTTAAAATAAAACAGGTTTTTCTAACAAACACAGAATTATAATTACATAAGCTATTTTTTTGCATTAAAATTTGTTTTGCACGTGAGATGTAAGGGTGTAAGTAGAGCCTTGCTGAATCAAAATTTCTTTCCCTGGGTAGACTTCTATTGTTTCCAACTATGGCCAGCTAGATGCCATAAAATAGTCATGTGTGCAGTTGTGCCTTCTTGTTCATAATATATTGCTTTCAATTTTAAAGGATTGCACACCTACCATTAACTGAAGCTATTCATATCCTCTTCTTCATGAATGTGCCAAATCTCTTGTGAAATTTGTCCAAATTGTTGTCTATCACCATCATATTGAGAAACTCTTTTGTATAGTTTGCTGATGCATTTTTGAGTAGCCACTTATTTACATATCAAAAGTATTGATAGACTTGGACATTGTATATTTTTTTTAAAGCTGCAACGAACACAAAACACTTCATTTAATTGTCCATGAAAATGGATAAAAAGGCTAATTTTCAATGCAAGTGGTTGGGTCATGTAAAATTTTTGTATAGCAGCTTCCAGATGTGATACTATTTCTGACCTTGAAGAGACAATGTTAAGCTTCATAGAGAGTATCCAAAGGACAAGTGGATACTGGTGATCATTGCAATGGCTTCTCTTTCCATGACAGAACAAAATAGCAGAAAGATACCGTCCACAGGCAGCATTGCCGTTATAGCTAAAGGACAACCCACTCCTAGTGGTTCTTTTCAGCCCTGCTAAAAGAAAAGAAACTGTATACTGACATAGGAGACATGGTATTCTTACAGATATTGACTTCTAAGATACCATAGCCATGAGATAATTGTCACCCAAAGATGAATAGCGCAGCATTAACAGGCTAGAATAGTATCATCTTGGTTATGAATGCTTTCCAACACATACTACATGGTCGATAAGTACTAATACATGCCCACCCGTTAGTGGGGAATGGACTTTAGATGATATTCATTCAGGCAGGACAGAAGTTGCCTACAAAACAAGATAGAAGCCAAAGTAGAATCCTTATCATCACAGAGCATGCAGAAAGAACTCAGCTGCAGAGCAGGCTGGCTAAGCAGACAACATGTGCAAAGGAGAATAGATCCTGAGCCAACAGACATTGGACACCAGAACAGCCATAGTTGGAATGCTATTGAGAGACCCCAGCTGATCACAAACTGACAAGGCTCTTTTGAGTTCATAACCAAAGTACTAAGAACATGAACATCCTACCAAAAGGACTACTATTGGTACATTCCAGCCGCTACACTGCTGGGATGGACTCTTTGTAATCTCAAAGTGAAAGAATTACAGCAGTTCTAAGAACATCTTACTGACTCAAAGTAGTATGGAGCCTGGAAAGTATAGCCATGTCAGTCACCCTGGGCATCTAAAGTATAAGAAAATCTTTACAGTTGATGGTGTTGTACTCCAGGCCTGGAACAACCTCTGGACTTAACCACCACACTCGCATCCAAGTTAGATCAGCAAAGCAGTTTATTTAAGGTTATATAAAAGCACTTAAGCCAGAATAGTAAAAAAATTCAAAGTCTATATGTATAAAATAGTCCATGAGGTTTAAGGTACAAGAGTAATCCAAAATCTCAGAGCAACAGGACATCCAGCACAGAAATGCAAGAAAACTAAAAAATACAAGGCAGCATAAAATCCAATACAAAAATCCAGGAGCCATCCTTCAAACTTGGAAGCATGAAACAGGAGCAAAGACATGAAACTAGAATTCCCTCAGAAAGGTGAACTAGGACTTGGCAAGAGCTGTTGCTTTAATTATTAACGTTGAATGGACTGGCTGGAAAATCCCCTTGGTCTCTCTAATAAACACATGAAATCATGCCTCCTCCCATGACTTCCTGATACAGGTCTGTTCCCTAACAAGTGCTGTGATTTTTGTAGATTCTGTTGAGCAGCATGAAGTTTACGAAAACGGAGTCTCCTATCAACCAGCTCATTATCTTGCAACTCATTATTCTCTCCACCTGGGATTTCAATCTCTGAACTTGTTTTCCTAGAGAACGACTCTTCTGCAATATATCGGCACCTCTCTGGAATGTGACCTTCATTAACTGCAGGAGACACAAGCTGATCATTTTCAGGACTTAAAATCTGTTGACTTGCAGGCCCAGAGTTCCCATGATCCAATTCCCCATTTATATTGATATCAGCCACAACCATGGACTGAACTACAACAAATGGGACCCTGCCTGGTTACAACTGGATGTCTGATTCTCGAGTAGCCAAACCTTCCCATTCACCTCCAAACATATGTGGACAAGATGGTAGACAAGTGTTCGGCTTCCACAGAAGCTCAACCAATGGAATATATGAGGTCCTGTGGAGAATGTTTACTAAAGGCCAAAGAGAAGAAGGTAAACCTACAGCAGCAAATATTGGATTCTCCACCATAATTCTAGGTGCCACCTACACACCTCATCTTCACACTTTGGGTAGCATCAAGAAAATTTTCAGCAGAGCTTCCTTCATCTCCTGCCACAGTCCCAAGATTTCTCATGTAAGATTTCCTCAAGAAACTGAAATCCTAAAGAAAACCATAGTTTGGACTACTGAATATGACATTGTTCAGATTCTTATCATGGAAGGTTTTCCTGATATCATTAATCTTTCCATACGGGGACTCTGAGCTGAACATCCTTTCCATTAGGAAGGAACTCTGGCTGCATCAGGACACAGGGGTCTCTGGAGAGATTGATGTTCATTTCCTGTACAAAGGGAATCCATAGGACTTATGAATTCTCCCCCTCCCTCCCTTTAATTGAGCCAATTGCAGGAAAAGGAATAGCAAATCCTAGGCATGATGTAGTCATGCTGTACATTTAGCATGATGAAATATTATCTCAGAACAAAATGTTCATATGATTTGGGCCCAGCACTGGCCAAATGGAAAGCCAACATCTCTACTTGCTCTGGAGCCTCTGCTTTTGCTATTCTGGCAGAGGTAATGTAACTCATTTCACCTACAGCAAGGTCACCTTGGCATCATCCCATACTGAATAGATATTTGCAAGGCTGCCGCTGGACTTAGCTGCTCCCCTCCTCATCCGTTTACCCTTGTGTGTCCTTTGGTTTAGATTGTAAGCCTGAGGGTAGGTGCTGTTGAATTAACTGTTTGTGTGCCACTCTGGAAATCTTGTGCCTAAAGGGCCAGGATATAAATGCTTGACATAAAAAACTAAATGTAAGGATACCTTCTAGTGGTATGACAAGGCTGCCACAACCAGCAGTCTCATTCCATTTAGCTGGACAATGAAAATGAAGTGTTGTCGCAGTATTTTAAGTATGTGTATCTCCAACAATGTGGTGTTGCATCTGAGGAAGTTGAACTAGTCTTCAGTAGGTTAAGCCTCCAACTTCATTCTCTCAGTTCGTCTTTTAAGATGCTACAAGATCCTCTCAGCAGTGCCCAAATATAAATCAAGGAACATGAAAGGCACTGAAGACTACTTCAACCAGAGAAGTCAGCCATAGCAGAGCACCTGATGAACCAACCTGGACATAGCATATTATTTGAGAACACAGAAATGCTGGACCACTCTAACAACCACCATGTCAGGCTACACAGAGAAGCCATTGAAATCCACAAGCAAGTGGACAATTTCAACAGAAAGGAAGAAACCATGAAAATGAACAAAATCTGGCTACCAGTATTAAAAAACTCTAAAATCATAACAGTAAATAAAGAACAACACTCAAAAACGAGAATTCCAGACAAGAAACAATCAGGGCCAGCTAATCACCTCCCAACAAAGGATTCCCCAGGCAGTAAGAAGCCAGACCTTGAATCCAACAATTAAATGCTAATCAAGGTGGCCAATTGCAACATTCACACCTACCCTCAACAGACAAGAGTTCTTTCTCCCATCCTGAACATTCCACAGATATATAAACTCAATTTTCCTAGTTCCAACAGACCTCACAACCTCTGAGGATGCCTGCCATAGATGCAGGGGAAACGTCAGGAGAGAATGCTTCTAGAACATGGCCATATAGCCCAATTAGCATGGCAGCAACAAATATAATAATAATAATAATAATAATAATAATAATAATAATAATAAATAATAATAATAATAATACATTTTGTTGTACCCCGCTACCATCTCCCCAAGGGACTCGGTGCAGCTTCCATGAGGCCGAGCCCAACACAACAATACAAGCAATAATCACAACAATACAAGCAATTAAATAAAACATAGATGATAAAACATATAACATTATCAATAAGACAACATACAATTAAAACTGTGCTACAAGATCCCTTTTCAATGTGTTATGTGTGATACAGAAATGTTTCTTGGAACATAAGTGGTGTGTTATAATATTGTATTCTTGTAAATTTATGTAATTTCAGAACCATATTAAATTTATTTAGTTTATTCATTCATTTTTCTGACTGCCCTCCCCCATTTACTTTAAAGCAAGTTGTTAATGGTATAGCATTATTTATACACATTCATGACCAAATTAGTATTCTATAGCAAAAGAATGCAATATCAACTATTCCTGTTATTTTAGCATTTGTAATAAATTCTGCTTAATTTAGCAGTGGTACCTTCCCTTTTGCATGACTGATCTATTCGTACCAAAATACTTAGTTTTACGTGTTTGGGTTTGTTTTGTTTTTTTTACCATGTCTGTGAGAGGACGCAAGGCAAAATATCTGTATCCATGTTTGTTTTTGTTAGATTTTGCAAGGCGCTGTTTAAAAAAGGGTTTTATTGTTGGATTTGGATTAAGATAAGTGAGGGAGGAAGGACTACCGTAGAAAACTATACTGAATTGAGTCTTCTAGTGGTGAGGTATTTATGATGACTTGTCTTACGTTTCCATATTTGTGTTTTATCTTCAATATAATTAGGCGTGCGAGAGGCAGCAGATAGCACCGGAGCTGAGATTAGTGACGGATAACAAGCCTGATGAAGTGAGTTTTGAGGGATTTGAAAGAGAGGGAGGGCTCTTGCACACAGGAAGCAGAAGCTGAGGAGAAGCCATGAAAACGTGATGGGGCGCGAAACAGCAGAAGAGGTGGCAATAGCTGGAAAATGAGAACTGTGAGAGAGGTGGGGCAGAACTGTGTAGATCCCCAGAAGGTGAGAGCAAGCAGTTCAATATTGATTTGGGTGAGCTGTAGATGGATAGTGTTTCAGGTACAGGTAACATTTCAGGTGAGAATAAACACTTACGTTATACTGGACTAAAATCTGAATATGGAACTCAAAGAGTTTTGGGTGTATTAGGAATAAAAAGATACTAGGAACCTATAAAATAGTGAAGCCTTAGTGTTTTGCCTTCCTACTTGTAAGGATGAGAGGTCTGAAATGTATATCTAGCAAAATTGCTTTAAGTAGCAAAAAGTAATATGTAGCAGCTGAGGATCTGGGCTTATTTCTAACTGTTGCTATATTTAGTTGATGCATTTTTCAGCACTTTGGCTCAGGGTCGCATTTTTCAGTCACTCTGTAGATCCTTTGTAAATAGCCAAACATAGAATCTCTTGGCTCGCTGTTTCAGTCATTCTAGGAGTGTAGAATGCAGACCTTTGAGAATAGAAAGAAAATCAAAACACCTAATGATATCAAAGTGGGGTTTCTTTTGTGTCAGAAGCAGCTTGAGAAACTACAAGTCGCTTCTGGCGTGAGAGAATTTGCCGTCTGCAGGGACGTTGCCCAGGGGATGCTCAGATGTGTTCTTTCATGTCCCCACATGGGAAGCTGGAGCTGACAGATGGGAGCTCACTCCATTCCCCAGATTTGAACTGCCGACCTTCAGGTAGCAGTTCACCTGGCACAAGGGTTTAACCCATTGCGCCACCGCGGCTCCAATCAAAGTGGTAATGGTTTGATATTAATAGAAATACCAGTTTTGTGTGAGTTTGGAGAAGGATCTTCAGCTATGTAAACAAAAAGATTATGGCTGAAGTGGTTAAAATTCCAGGTTTTCAGAGAGGAAGATCAAGAGGATCAGGTTGTCCAAGTTCCATACATACATATTTTGGTAGAAACTGTGAAAACTTCCCTATGTTGGATAGTAATTGGTTCCTCAAATCTGGTTTATGATTTCTTGTCATTTGTAGTAGGAGTACTTATGACTTTCAAACAAAGTACTGTATTGTGAATTCATTCTCCAGTTTAGTTGCTTTGTCTGTCATAGTCTTTGGTGTGTACGCTTATAGAATTCGATGTATGTATGACAAACACTTGTTGCAGAGAAATGTAAAGTTATAAGTGTCAGAGGATTGACATGAACTCCTTTACAGTTCCTACAAGTGAATTGGGAATCCTTTTCAAACTTTGATCTTGGGTGCATTGGAGGAAATTATGGTATGAGCAGATGACAAGTAATGTGATTGTGGCACAAATATGTTCTATACAGACTGTTCTCTCTTTCTCTCAGTGACAAGTCTGCAGGTTTGAAATAGCTTTGAGAGAAATATCTGTGAGAGAAAGCTCAGATGATGTAATATTTTGTATTTCGTGTGTTTTAACGCAAGCAGTCTAGCATGGAGTACACTATGATGATTTCACATAAACCTATCAGAACCACATGGCACCACTGAATTTCGTAATAACCCGTGTCTAAGAGCTAATTAAAATGAGTTGCCGTACATCTTCCTTGGGACTGACCATAAAGGGAGGTGGCCACTTAGGACTTTTTAATAGTTGGTTCTCAAAATAGGTAAACCACCTTAGGGATTTCCTTCACCAGTATGCTCTAGAACGGTTCATTCCATTTCACAATTGTCTTAAACCCGTTCTCAACTAATAGCTGTCTTATCTATAATGCATACATGTATCAGACCTCATTTCCCTCATTTCATTGCATGTGCATTCTTTTTTGAAGTGCTTTAAATTAAGACTTGTGGACCCCCTGGTGGCGTAGTGGGTTAAACTGCTGAGCTGCTGAACTTGCTGACAGAAAGGTTGGTGGTTTGAATCCAGGGAGCGGGGTGAGGCCCAGATTCTGCCAACCTAGCAGTTTGAAAACATGCAAATGTGAGTAGATTGATAGGTACCACTTCTGCAGTTAGGTAATGGCACTCCATGCAGTCATGCTGGCCACATGACCTAGGAGGTGTCTCTGGACAACACTGGCTCTTTGGCTTAGAAATGGAGATAAGCAACCCCCCCCCCCCCCCCCCCTCCAGAGTTAGACACGACCAGACTAAATGTCAGGGGAAACCTTTACCTTTTAAATTAAGACTTGAAGGTCCTTTGGTTTTGGTGGTGTGAGACAATGTGTTGTGAAATACTAAAAACAGATTAATGAAATTTAACATATTGCCACCCGGCCTTTGTAGTTGCTGTATTTTCTCAGTTTGGGGTTTAAAGACACACTTTTATTGTTTGAGGCATTATTTTTAAATGTGTATCCTTCGAGATATGGAACAAAGACCTTTGGTATAGCATCTTCAGGCAGCCCTCAAGTTACGAACAAGACAGATTCTATAGGTTTGTTTTTAACTTGAATTTGTTTGTAAGTCGGAACAAGTCTCTTTGAAGTGTAACTCTAGCGCTCTCTCTCTCTCTCTCTATATATATATATATATATATATATATACATCTTTTAGCTTTGGATAGTATGGGGAAGAGTTAATACTCCTGTGGTGTCTATTTTTCTGCCTGTGCCCCTGTTCAGAAGATTTCACTTCCTTTTCTATGATAACTGGATTTTGAAAAATTTGGCTTGTTGTGGATTGGTGATAAAGCTTCAGTGGAGACACCTTTTCTCCATGATAACTCTTTCTGGAGTGAATTTCCCTTCCAAGGGGTAGACTTTTATCTCTTCCTGTTGTCTCACCCCTGTTCTTAACTAGGACGGATTTGTAATTTGGATGTTTCTGGGATTGCCTGTAGTATGGACTCTTAGAGTACTGTTTCCCCAAATTCTGGTTTTCCAGGAGTTTTGGATTTCAGCTCCTAGTATCCCTAATTATTGGCAATTTATGGAAGTTGGAAGTTCAAAACACCTGGAGGATTATAGCTTGGGAATCACTGATCTAGAGAGTTCTCTAGCCCAACCGAGACATCTATAGCCACATAAATCAGTCATTTCTAGAAGCAATATCTGAGGAATTTTCTGAATAGGGGTAGTTTGTGATTAAGAATCTGGAGAGAGATGTCTAATATAGATCTCGAAATGCAGAGTACACCAATATACCAACCTAACGCTACCGTCTTTGATCTTTCCGAGATCTTTCTTTTGAAGAGTTTTTTCCATGTCCGGATTTTATTTTTATCTAGTTGATTTTGATTTTTCCCATTTCTTTCTTAAGGACTGGATAGCTTTGGTCAAAGCTGCAGCAGTGGCGGCAGCAAAAAACAAAGCAGGAGTTAAACCACGGACCAGTGCAAACAGCAATAAAGACAAAGAGGATCGAAAGTGGTTTAAAGTACCTTCAAGGAAGGAAGAAACCTCAACCTCAACCATTGTCCAGGAAGTTCAGAAGAAGGAAGAACAATCTACATCCAGTGAGACATTTGGTACAACAAACTTTTATGTTTCAGGAAAATGTGTTTGTATTTGTGAAACAGTAGTTGTGAATGTAAGAAATTACTTATTTGAGATGCGTGGTTTCTCAACAGATCCTGTTTTTATGGGGGTTTTTTGGATCATCAATAGGTGGATAAATCAGCACAAAACTAATGTTTTATGAGATGCTATCAAACTTTCATTTAAAGCTTGGGAAGTCATGAATAGAGATATACCACAGTTAACAAATAAATAAGGAGCCCCTGCGGCGCAATGGGTTAAACCCTTGTGCCACCAGGACTGCTGACCAAAAGTTCGGAAGTTCGAATCTGGGGAGCAGTATGAGCTCCTGTCTGTCAGCTCCAGCTTCTCATGAAGGGACACGAGAGAAGCCTCCCACAGGATGGTAAAATATCCGGGTGTCTCTTGGGCAATATCCTTGCAGACAGCTAATTCTCTCACACCAGAAACAACTTTCAGTTTCTCAAGTCACTCCTGACACGGAAAAAAACCCCAAAACCAACAAATCAATCTGTTTCTAGGGAACTAATGGGAAATTAAACAAACATTTTTGTAAACCTTGTATAAGTAAACGTGTGTGTGTGTAAAATGCATTTTGTGAAAACATTTTCCAAAATGCATCCTAGGATGATTTTCTTCGTTTAACAGCCCCAATTTTTCTTAGGATTTCTATTTTCATGGCGGCACATATGGAACTATGCTTTTTGCAATATGCCAGCCTAGCTGGTGAGGCAAGCTAATCAGCTTTCCTTTTTTGTTTTGTTCTTCAAACATGCTCCGCAAGTGATTCTGGAGGAAGTGTTCTCTCTTGCCTGTTGTACATAAGCACACACAGCTGCAGTATGATCACTAAAAGTAGAATCACATTCTTTCTCAAGTTAAGCTTCATTGAATTATTTACTGTAGACACACTGATGCTACCCAACACTGTCAGTAGTTCTCTTTCATTCTCCTCTTAATACCAATGCTGCCTAAAGAAATAAACAAGAAATCTAGCTAGACAGAAGTGTGGTCTGGTTCCCATAAAAATGCTTTGTAAAAAGGAGCTTCATTGTTAACTGAGGCATAGCTGTATGTATCATTGAGTGGTTGGGAAACTCTGATTGATTGTGGTCGTATTTTCAATCAATAATCTTTTAGAGCTATGCTTTCCAACCTTTGTATCGTGACATGTTAGTGCGTTAGAATCATAATTGGAAGAGACCTTATGGGCCATCCAGTCCAACCCCATTCTGCCAAGAAGCAGGAAATTCGCATTCAAAGCACTCCTGACAGATGCTTATCCAGCCTCTTTTAAAAGCCTCCCAAGAAGGAGCCTCCATCACATTCCAGAGCAGAGTTCCATTGCTGAACAGCTCTCACAGTCAGGAAGTTCTTCTAATGTTCAGTTGGAATCTTCTTTCCTGTAGTTTGAAGCCATTGCTCCAGGGCAACAGAAAACAAGCTTGCTCCCTCCTCCCTATGACATCCCCTCACATATTTATATATGGCCCTCATCATGCCTCCTCTCAGGCTTCTCTCCTTCAGGCTAAACATGCCCAGCTCTTTAAGCTGCTCCTCATAGGACTTGTTCTCCAGGCTCTTGATCATTTGAGTCACTTTCTCCTGGACACATTCCAACTTGTCAACCTCACCTTTCAATTGCAGAGACCAGAATTGGACACAGTGTGTTTCCAGGTGAGGTCTGACCAAGGCAGAATAGAGGGGTAGCGTGACTTCCCTTGCAGGTTGTAGAATTGCTTGCAGGCTGTAGAAAACATGGCATTTCCAGTGTTATTCTTGCAACAGCATAAAATGGCTTCACATGTGTGTGCATAGAAGATATTGAAAGCCAAGCCTTCCTTAATCAGTTGTTCTCTTGAGAGTATTAGTCTCAAAGTTCCATCTTTCCCATTGCTTGGACATTAACCAAGCTGCCTGAGAAGGACAAAACTGGTTGTATAAAACTAATTTAAGCTTTGCAATAGATGATTTGCTTTTAAACATGTTTCTTCAGTATTCATTTAATGCATTTTTTCTTCTTTTACCAATACAGGATTCCCTCTAGTGGACGTCCCAAAGATTGCCTTTGTACAGGCGGAGAATGCATTAGCACACAAGAGAAAAAACAACCTAGGCAACTCATTTCAGGCAAAGAGGGCTCGTCTTAACAAGATCACTGGTAAGCTCTCATTTAAGAGTGCCATTGTGATGGCTTTTATGTTGGTAGATTACACATATTCATATTTCTGCCATAAGTTTTTCTGCTGTTGTTTTGTATGCATGGTTGTGGGTTCTCTGTATTTAGAGTATTGTTGAAGAGTTGTGAAAAACATTTTGCATATGTATTGGTCATCATATTGATGGTTTTTTATGCCTTACTCTTTACATTGGATGCGAGAAGGTTGGAAGATTGCACTGCGCCATTTTTTTCCTTTGAGAGTCGAGGCAGGGTAATATACCAGTTCCCAAATGCTGCCATTTGGGCAACTGGTACCAATGTTACACCACTTCTGGTTGTTTTGAGAGCTTTTGTGGCTGTTGTAGGGTTAGGCAGCCCATTATCAGTATTTTAACAAGGAATATTTTATGGAAAATAATGATTAGTAAAACACTTATTTTGGAACCGACAAACCTGTTTTATTCAAATCTTGAAACTGGTTATCAGCACAAGGGGAGGTGAGGATGAAAGCAAGGTTTAAAAACTTTTAATGTTTTGGGTTATTCTGACACTAGTAACCATATTTTCCCAGTTCAAACAAAATTGGAAATGGTGGTGAATTCAAGATTTTCTGGTTTGCTTGTGCCACTGAAGTAAATAGCATAAGATGTGATCATATTTCAGCTGGCATCACAAGTACAGCCACTGAATACGTACAACACTAATCAAATTGGATAGTTTCAGAGGTATATGCATTTCTGTTAACTGTTCATTGGAAGCAAAAGTATATAAGACTGAGTTTAAATTATTGCTCTTGTTGTATGTCCTGAATACACAGCATGCCTCCTTCACAGATTATAAGGTAAAGAAATCCCTCTGTGAAAATCAAAGGTTTCTAGCACTGAGTTTTTGTTGTGGTTTGCATCCTTCTTTGGCCCTGGGTGCTCCTGAACTTGTTTAGGGCTCTTAAATAGCGAATGTGGATACCAGGCCCATCCATTCCTTCAATTCTTGTCATCAGTATATCCAGTTAGTCTTCTTTTTTGGATGAAGTTATCATGCCCCTACTGATTTCTCACCCATAAATTCTCTTGTCACCAGAGCTCTCACACAAAATTCTATATACCATATGTCAAACTCAAATTGGCATAGAACTTTTCATCCTAATGCAATACATTGTGTAGGAGAAAATAAAATTACCCCAGTGGCAAAATGCAACAAATGTATTGGGTAATTTTTGTCCCAGCTCTTGTTTATACGTTTAAAAAAAAAAACCCTGCATGTGACAGGTAGCTTTGCACATTCTGTACAAACACATGTCCACTGTTAGGGAAAATGTTGACTGTAACTGATATATCATTTTAGTACTGATTCAAGTAAGTAGAGACTGACTGGATCTTGATAATAAATGCAGTCAGAAAAACAACAGAGAGGTTTCTTTATATACTACCTTCGAAAAGAGATATTGAATGACGCGAAGTCCAATTACAGAGTTACAAAGAGGTGTAGAGAAAGAATTTAAAATTAAAAGATCAAGCAAGCAAGAAATGGTCTTGCCTTTTTTGACTAAGAAAAACAATTCATACATGTCAACCCAATAAAGCCATATGTTTCAACTGGTCTACTTGTTGTATTACAACAGAAGGCAGGAAACAGTGACGCTGGATCTCTTGTGCAGAAACTGTCGAAGCATTTTACGAGTGAATCGGTTCTAGTCATGGTCCCGGTTACCGTTTCAACCGTTGAATTTGTGTATTTGTAACATTTTTTTTATTCAAAAGACACAAAACGGTACACCCCCACCCCCGGTATGGAAATATCAGTGAAACGAAAGGAAAGTGGGAATAGTAACCATTCAGTCAGCTAATTTTCAGTGCTTGGCTGTACAAGGAAAGTGTGTGGCGAGCAGGCCCAAAGTGCCAGGGCCTGCAACCAAGTTCTGAGCGCTAGCCCTAAAACTGTGACTGTGGGAAGCCTACCCATTACCACCAATGGGCCAAAACTATTCATTTTTTCGGACCTTGGACAAAAAAGCTCGTTTGTAAAAGTGCCCGTTTTTGGGAGAAGCACTTGAAAATGAAAATGGGGCGTTATGAATGAAACAGAAAGAGATTGTGATTCGATACAAATGGACAAGACTAATTGGTTCACACATTTGATTCTTTAGCATCATTCAAACACAAGTGACATTAGGATCTGTTCCCCCCCCCCCCCCCAGTAGGTTTTCTTTTGTCCTTTTAAAATGAAATGCTCGTTCATGTGTTAGGGCACAACAGAAACGGAGCATACTTTTTTATATTGATTTAAAGAAAAAATGAAGGCAGCACAAAGTTTTAGCATACTAATTCCAAAGTATGAAAGCCTCTTGATGACATTGAGCTGAAGGCACACATGGACATCCTGCTTCTTGCAGGTATATCATGGTCAACATGGAGGAACTGCAGCATCTAGTTACAGTACTGCGATTTCAGAGCAGTGTTTGATCTAAAACTATTTTGTGCACCTTCTAGATACTTAAAGGTCAAGTGAGGGATCTAATAAATTTCAATAACTGGTGAAATTTTGTAGTAAGTGCCCATTGTGGCAGGATATGCCAGTTACTTTGTAAAATGTGGCATAAACATGTGATGGTGCTGTGATGCTAAGGCAACATATTGTCTGAAGCTACCAGTCAACTTGGTCCACCATAGCAAGTCCATTTTGGTTACAATATGATGCGCACACTAGTTGAATTGTATTTCTACACTGGGTGAAATGTGGTGGGAGATAATATTTTGTGTCAGCATAGAACCAAAGTCCTAATGTACTTTCCCCCAGGATAAGTCATAAATCCGACTCCTTTCTATTACGTCTAGCTTAGAACAGAGGATAGAAAAAAATGTGCACCATAACCACCCTCCAAGGACGATCGTATCATATGAGTGACATAACTCGCTTTTTGGTAGTTGCTTGTATAAGAAATGGCTCTACATTAGGGGGCATCTAACTTTGCAAAAACTATCTTGCTATTGCGGTATGAAATTGAATAAGCTCTGTTTATCAGGCCCTTTTTAGGCTGAAAAAGCCCCCCTCGGCTTATACTCTAGTCAAAATTATTAATTATTTTATTCTGTTATTATTATTATTATTACTATTATTATTACTATTACATTTACATTTATTACTTTACTCTATTTATTGTTTTTATTATTACATTTACATTATTTTACTCTATTATTTTATTACATTTATTATTTTACTCTCTTTATTATTATTGCATTTATTATTTTATTCTATTATTGTTATTATTACATTTAAATCTTTTACATTATTATTATTACATTTATTATTTCACTCTCTTTATTATTATTGGAAGATATGTAAGCACATTTACATTTGAAGAAGGTTAGAATAATAGTTTAATCAGAGTTAGGCAGTCTTATCTTAAATTACAGTTTTATGTAAATATTAAAAAAACATGTAACCTACTAATGCCTCAGTTAATGTAATTTTATTGGTATCTATTTTTATTTTGAAATCTACTAGTAGCTGCTGCATTTCTCACCCTCAGCTTATTCTCAAGTCAATACATTTTCCCAGTTTTCTGTGGTAAAATTAGTTGCTTCGGCTTATATTTGGGTCGGCTTATACTCAGTATATACGGGTATATAAAAACAGCAGAATGTCTTCAGAGTTTATGTCCATTTCCACATATTCAATTAAGAACAAGGATTGTTGTTCTATTTTCAGGTGGAAGTAACAATGGTCATATTTTTGGGACACAGAAATTATTGTGATTACATATGTTATTGGAAAGGAGGATTATTATCATACAAAGCTTATTTTAAGCATTCCACCTAGTGAACATGTGTGTTCTGTGTGTGATTTTTTTTATCCCTAGTGGATCTGAATAAGTGAATAATAAAGCATAATAATAATAAAATTGGTAACAAATAGGATAATTTCACAATCCTGCTTCTGTGCTCCCTTTTCATTCACAGGTTTATTGGCATCCAAAGCTGTAAGCGCAGATGGTGCTGAAAAAAAGGAAGATACCAAACAAGCAGCTCCAGTCTTGGAGCAGGTATGAAACTGTAGCGTTTGATTCTTTTGCAAGGGTCCTACTGGAATGTACCATGGGAAATGTCGGGTCCATGATGTTAACATTACCCTACCAGACAGAAGGTATTGGGGACGAAAGAATTCTTTGTATGTTTATACCTCTGCATAAAAATGAAGTTAATGACAGTAAGTCTGTGATCCTAAGGCTGCATAACATGGAAGCAAGTCCACACTTAATTAAGGGCTTGGCTGTGCACTTAGGATTGAGCAGATTGTTCTCCCAGATCATGGCTACCTTTACTTTAATAAGCAGACATCTTGAAAACCAGAGACGCCTGCCCCCAGGTACCATTTCAATATAGGTGAAATAATGCCCACAAGTGGCTTAGAAGACCCTTGACACAAATTCAATTTGTGCTCGTGACACAGGGTTTTTGACATCTAGCAAAACTTCTTTTGTAAGAGGTTTTCTTTGTAAGCATTGGTGTTGTAAACTTGTATGTGTTTTATGAAACTGTTCAATGAGCCATACCTTTTTTTGCTAGGATGTATATTTTTAATATGAAAAAAAGGAGACATGAAAACATCTTAGGGGTCTGGTTTGAGTCCACGACTACAGTGGATGTGACCACATACTCTCTTATTCTATTCAGTTGAATTTTCTTGTATCTGACATTTTGTGCATGGCAGTGCCTACTAATAACAGGGCTATAGATTAACCATGCTTGGAGATGCAGCTTTACAGTTAACACATAGGAATGGCTTCTAGAACTGAGCCTGTGCCTGAAAAATGCTAATTATGGATTTATGGACATGTGCACACTTTTCCGCCCACCTCCCCTTTGTTGTTCCATTTTCTAGAGTACTAAGATTCTGTTGTTTAAGCTTTTGCAGTTTTTTCCCATTAGAATTGATTAAATACATGTTAATGGCTATGCCATGCGAGATGGCAGCTTGGGGTCCGAATTGATAAGTAAACATCCTGTCAGGGAGCATTTGAGCTTCCAACTTTGAAATGGAAGTCTTTCTGGCTTCCAAAATGGATTTTTTTCCCAACTTGCAGCTCTTTTTTTTGTGAGAACATTCCCAATTAGGAACCTTGGTGTAGTTTACACATTTTTTCCAGGCATTTTATGACCTGATGTTTCCTTTTCAGGAATAAATGCCTTCAATCCAGGTAAACTCACCCTGATATCTAGTATCAGTAGCATTATATTTTCCCAGTATCGTAGGGAAATTGCTAGTACATTTTTGTATACACAAACACTCTCACACACAAAACACTTACATCAATACATCATGTGAACCACACATGTGCAGGTTCATTGTCTGAATTAGGCAGTAATTTCCTGTGTGATCTTGAAGCTTATGCGCACAAGAGGAAACAAAAATTAAGCATTTGTTTTTGTGTAACACTGACTTCAGCCATATAGGCTGCAAACAGCAGTAGTATTCCTACTACTAGTAGTATTCCTACTACTAGTAGTATTCTCGGGGTGAGAAGGGTGGAATATAAATGTTTTAAATAAATAAATATTTCTTGTTGACCTGGAAGATGGATAGACAGCCATACAACGAAGTCACAGAGGCATGTATTTGGATTTTAGTGTGCACTGGAATTATGTCCATAATAACCATATGGCTGTACTCACAACATCTTCAGCACTTTTCGGGCATTAGGGTCTTGAAGAAGTTTGTTATGTGTTGGCAAAATCTCCTTAAAGGCTTGCTAAAGAGACCTAAATTTATAGACATGTTTATTTATTCAGATCAGAGCCTTAACCTTGCTTTTAATGTGGCTTTTTGTTGTCAATAGTGATTAGCATTTTTTTCAAAGATTTTCTTCTACCACTCTGTTCAAGCCGACCCTTTTAAAAATCTTTCCTTCACACTGTGACCCTAATCAGATTGAGAATATCTATACGAGCAACTTCATCATTACAAATACTTTCTTTTCCCTCATTAACCTTTTGCTGGTCCTGGGAGCACACTGTTATGGTACGTGTGGCATTTACACAACTGGTTTAGACTTTTAACAACTGAACCTGGGTTTAGCAATTAAGCAATGTGAGTGTGTGGATTTCCCCTTGCTCCTGATAATTGGTTTTGGCGGGGTAGTTAACTACCAGCAAGGTGAAAATGATATCCGAGACCCATCCCAATTCTCAGGACCCTCTTTTTATTTTAACTTTGATTGGCAGTTGTCAAAACTGTGGGGTTTGTTTTGTTTTAGGGGAACGGTCAGTGTTATCCCACACTTGGTTCTTGATCACTAAACTAGGGTTCAGTTACAAGTCTTGACTGGGCCTGAAGGGCCATTTTCGAGTCACTGTTGTCAGTGCATTCTTACGACATTTCTGTATAAAAGTTGATAGTGCATTGCCAAACAGCACAGCATCTAAGGGTAGTACCATAAGCTCCAAGGAATGCAAGGCTTCCAACAAAAATAGCAGCCTGGTATTGAGGAGTTCTTTTTCACCTGCATAATGTCTGCACAGCCGAAAACCATCTTTAGTCTCAAGATTGGATTAAATGTCTCACACATCTTTTCCCCTTTGCTTTCTTTGTTTGCTTTCTGCATCTCCCCTTTTATTAAAAAGTAAAGAAAACTAATATTAAAAAATACGAGGTGGTGGCACTGCGGCATGACCGCGATGGCGCTCATAACCTGTGTATCCGAGATCATTGCTCCAAATCAACATGTCGTGATCTCGGAGTGTCTTTTCCTGCCTCTACTGTAAAGCACTGACTTGATGCTAGTAATGGCAGGAAAATGCATATTCCAAATGCCATCAGGTCATACTTTCTTGAGGTTAAAGGCGTCAAGCTGCAACTTGCCTGTTCAGTTTTATACCTCATAAAATCAGATATGCTGGAAAGCACAGAGAGTGGTATAGGTTGAGTATCCTTTTTTGAAATGCTTGGGAAGAGAAGTGTTTCGGATTTTGGATTTTTTGAGGGGCTATTGGAAGATTTGCATATGCATCTTGGAGAAGAGCCCCAAGTCTAATTATGAAATTCATCTGTGTTTTATATACACCTTATAGAATGGTCTAAAGGTAATTTTATACAATATTTTAAAATAATTTTGTGTGTGAACAAAACGTTGTGTATATTGATCTGTCAGAAAGCAAAGTTGTCACTATCTTAGCTGTCCATGTGGATAACTTTGGATGTTGGAGTATTTCGGCTTGGGGATGCTCAATCTCTAGAACCTCTGCCATTACGAAAGTTTCTCTCATGCATTGCTTTGCCACCCTATTCTCATTTTCCCCATTGATACAAATTATATACTGGAATTCAAAAAGTTACCCTTCATAATCCAGTTTATGGTGTGTAATAATTAATGAAGAGCAGACATAATACTTCTCACCAAATGTGCCTGCCAACATATAATGAAAAAGCAATTCTTAGTGTTATTATGCACCCCAGGAAATGCTTTGGAGTATTACAGCTAGTTTCCTTCCATAGTGTGCCACCTTTAGATGTGCAACCAATTATTAAATGCATAATGGATTGATTTAATTAATCTTCAGCCAACATTGCAGTTCATAAGTCACCTGGCATAGCCGCTCTTGAAATGATGTCAATTTTTCCAAACTTTTTTTTTTGGTAAGAAACAAAAGATAGAACACTGTTCATATTAAACCAAACTTTGCTGTTTCTATTTCTGTTGGAAGTTATCAAAAACTGCATCAGGTTGTTACATTGCAAATTCACTGCCATTAAAATATTTCGTTGCAAACAATTAGATTATGTGATATTTTAAAGTGTCTGGAAACCAAATTGCAGCGTTCCTATTTTGAGTAGGAAGAGTTATGAATTTGTGCAATTCTCAATTTTTTTTAAAAAAAAAACCACCCTTAATTACTAATCCAGTTGATACAGATCATGACTTATTAAAAAGACCTCAGAGGCCCTGTGCCGATGTACATTTGGCTTTAAGCAAATCATGCCATGCTAAATGGGAGTTAGAAATGTAGCTTCAGAGCAATCTCTGTTCTATTCTGATGTTAGCCACAGTTTTAAAGTTACGTACATGCAGGTGAAAACATTTTCCTTTCAAACCAGAGAATATGATTAAATGTACATGGGATTTCAAACCATAGTTATAAAACAGCCTGGCAAGCACTTTTCACAATTGGTGTCAGTGGATATACATGGATTTGAATATCCACACATTCAACCATTCATGGCTTGAAAATGTTTTTAAAATATGACAAAGCAAGCCTTGATTTTAATGGTTTATATAAGGAAAACAAACCATTTTACTGCACCATTGTATGTCATTTTGGTACCCAAGCTGTGGTTCATGCTGGAATGGAGCAAGGGTTGTGTTTTCATTCGCTGAAGCTGGCTCCCAACTTGCAATCCATGCTTGTGAGAAGTCAGCATTACATCCATTCTGGACCAGAATTGCTTTATAATGGCCAAGCTATCTAGAGGCCATAACATTTACAGTTCAACAATGTGTCTCAGTTTTGTTTAAAAAAATGTAATGTGAAAGAGAAGTCCAGGGTCAGCAGTCTTATTACACTGTTGATTTCCTCTCTTCCCCCTCTCTGGTTTACAACTGTTCTAAACCGAAACCCTCAGGTTACACAATGCAGGTACAGTAATCTCTTTAACTGTATTATTAGGGTTGGGCCATGTTGTATTTACCTTTGAACAGCATCTGCTTAGATGAATGAATAACGTTAATTAAGGTCTTTTTTAATGTTTAATTTTGTCCTTGTTAAGAGGTTGAGCACCTTATTAGAACAAGTTTAAAAATCTTGTTTTAAATAATTTTGTAACTTTGAAAGTAATGGTTGCTGTAGTGCTGTCTTTCACACATGTGAAGATAAACAATAAAAGCATTTATTTACAATTTATGGCTCTAATGAATTTCTGGTAATTTTCTTAAATCAGCATAGATATGTTCTACTGTCTTTCTGACATTCCTTTGAGATCATTGTGTTCAGCATGCATGAATAACTGGTTCAATGATAAGAAGTGGATAACAACTGAGAAAAATGTTTCATGCTTCCAGCACTAGTATGTGTTCCTTCCAGTATCTTCTAGAACATGAATGGACAATTTCCAGTGTTGTGACAAATGCAAATCCACCTTGTCTATCTTAGAGCCCAGGTGCCAAACACAGCATTAAATCTTTTCATGGTTATTGCTGCTGCCATATTTGCTATCTACCCAAAGCCAGAGATGTCATTCTTATGGAGCAGTGGTTCCCAACCTTTTTTTGACCAGGGACCACTTTGACCATGGACCAATCTCCAACATTAGTACCAAAAAAGTTACACATCAGTTTTTGGTCATCTTTAGATTCAGTCTGGTTATTTGGGGTGCTGATTCAGAAAATTCAATTGGCTAGACCACATCAACTATATTTTCTGATACAAAACATATGCCACCCAGTAGTTGCCATCTACTCGCTCACAGAAAACTGTATTTAATAAGCCTTGGCACTATAAGAGGGTTTCTCAAGACCAGTTGCTCTTGTTGCAATGGTGTAACAGTGAGGCCACAGACCATATATTAGCTCTTGCGGACCACTGCTGGCCCACGAACCACAGGTTGGGAACCACTGGTGTAGACCAAAGGATGACCCTTCTGTAGACTAAGTATTAGACCATCTTTGGCGTGTAGACCAAGAGTGGACAACCTGTAAATGGCGTAGATAAAGATGGACAATCTGTGGGTCATGTAGGGGGAATAATCTGTGGATAGTGTAGACCAGTGGTTCCCAACCATTTTTGACCAAGGACCACTTTAACCAGAGATCACTCTCCAACATTAGTACCGAAAGGGTTATGAATCAGTTTTTGGTCAACTTTAGATTTGGTTTGGTCATTTGGGGTGCTGGTTCAGAAAATTGTATTGGGTAGATCACATCAGCTCTAGGATCTTGTATAGAACATGTGCAATCCAGTAATATCCATCTGCTCACCCAGAGAATACCATATTTAATAATCTAGAGCTGATGTGGTAGCAGTCATCTTTTGTGGGTAGTCAGCCTTCGCTCCCGACATCCCTGTTGCCTTGGCACTATAAGAGAGTTTTGCAAGACCAGTCGCTCTTGTTGCTGCCTGGTTTTGAGGCAACGGTGTAGTAATGGTGAGGTCGCGGGACCATATTTTTGTTGTTGCAGACCACTGGTGGTCCACAGACCACAGGTTGGGAACCACTGTTATGGAGGGATGTGGTATATGGTTTGGGAAAACTTTCTTAAAATAATTTGGTTTGGAAGTTGTCCATTCATGATCTGTTACTTTAAATATTTGGCACCACTGGAAAAGAAAGCTAGCAGTCGGTACCCAAAATGTATTCCTTACATACAGAGTTTTGAAAGCTGAAGGTCAGTTAAAAGTTGTGAATGTGAATGTTGTGTGATATTTAGTTTGGTTCTTTTAAGAAATAAAATTTAAAAATGGTTTAACAAAGGACTTTATAGAACAATGATCTTGTGTGCCAGATGATGTTTCAATGATGAGGGAAGGGTTTTTCATCCTAGCTGCCAACTTAAAAGATCCATATTTGTAAAATCAAGTCTGTCTTCATACACTAAGCTATTGGACCAAAAATGCCCCATCACCTATGTATGAACAGCAGTGGAAACAATCACATTTAAAATGCATTATGTTTTGATTTTATTTCCAGCTTTTAAGTCTTCAACTCTATTCTCGCTTTCTTTCATTTTCTTTTCTTTTCTTTTTTTGATACAGGTGACAATTCAGTTAACCATTTTGGCACTTGTGATATCCTTATTCAAAAACATAGAATGGCATCCAAATTATTATGCTGAAACAGTTACTAAACGTAACAGTTTAATTATTGATTTTGAAAATTAAAGGGACTCCGCTGACCTCTTCATGTCTTGTATTCAAACAGAATAAAAAAAATTGATGAAGCATGGGCTTTCATATTTATATTTCTGTTTGGACATCATAAAAGCAGAATACTTGACCTTATTGTGGCGGGGAAGTTTTTAGAAAAAAGTGTAGAAAGAAGGCCAATTTGGATATGTGGAAGAGTCATTTTGGAAGACTTAGTATGAGAACTGAAGAGCTGTTCTAAGGCCTTGCATCTTGATCCAGTGATTTCTTTTCCACATGGAGGATGAGACCATCTGCACTTGCAAAGGTATGCATTTGCAAAGCCGCCTCTCTTTATTGAAATACATCAGCAATCTCTTTAAGGAGAGAGAGCAAGGGAGGCATATCATTGTGCCAGTGGTCTTAAACTGGATTGAGATGGTGGCCTTTGGCTGAGTCCCTTTGACAATGTTGATGTTTTTAATTTTATTTTTAATTTTGTTTTTTTTCCTGAAAATGTGCTGTTATGTTAAATACTAAAGTTATTCTTTTTTATTAAAAAAAACTCAAAGTAGAATACAAGATCTGCAATGAAGAAACTGCAATAAAAGTTATCAATTTCTTATTATTTATTCAGGAGATATCACCTAAGCCTCAAAGTCAGAAAAAAAATGAAGCTGATATTAGCAGTTCTGCCAGCATTCAGAAATCGGCACTGTTGCCCTCAACTTTGTCATCAGGAAAGGCTCGCAGCAAGAAATGCAAACAAGAATCTGGAGATTCTGCAGGGTGTATAAAGCCCCTTAAGTCACCAATTTCCCCAGAGTTAATACGAGTGGAGGATTTGACCCTGGTGTCCCAGCTTCCTTCTTCTGTGATTAATAAAACTAGTGAGCACAGACATTTTAAAACATACCATAATTGCATATTACAGTCATATTGGGAAGTGATTTATCATTGGAGGGTGGGTGCTATTGTTCTATTTGGATGTGGCTTGTTTATAACTAGCTGGGTTTATATATATATATATAAAAACCAAATTGAAATACAAGTAAACTTCAACCTGGGGCAATGCAGTATTGTGCGAATCCACCAAAGTTGTTTCCCCAGAGGGATATTTAGCATCTGTTGTAGTAAATCTTTGCATATTGACTACTCAAAAGGACCAAAAACAAAAATCAGCCAACTCTTTGCAAGGGTCTCAAAGCTCAGTGAAGGCACCTTTTTGTTATTTGCCCCAATGACAGGCCTGTCAAAGACTGAAGTAATTATTCCTGTTAGGCACATGGTATGGCACATGAAATTGCTTGTAGAATTGTCCTTGCACAGTGATGGAAAACTCATCCCAAGAGCATAACTCTTCACATAATATGAAACATCAAAGGCAACAGCTGATCTTCACGGAGGATGAAATACTTCAAAAAGGAGAAGACAAATTCTTCTGTTTTTGTCCCTTTCCTGCTCCTCTTCCCCTATACACCACCATGGAAAGATTCTGCTGGCACGACGAACCTGCTGGAGCTACATCCTTTGTGTTAATCTTTCTTTTCCTGTTCTGGCGAAACAGGAAACAAATATGAATACCACTTTCTGGGATAAGGGTCCATAAGAAAGTTCCATGTGGATGTTCCAACCAGTGAAATGTGCCATTTTAGATGGGAATCTAAAAGAAAGGAAGATGGTGCTCTCTTTTCCTCATAATAGACCACAGCAGTTTTCCCTTGATGAAGGTTTGATCCTTGAAATGAGAAAATGTGGAGTTATTGTTTAGAAAATCCAGGGTTCTGTTGAGAACTGCTCTAGATTTTTGGTTTCATTTATTAAAAGTGGCCAAAGGAAGAATAAAAATAGCTTTTTATCAACATAGTACATTCACCAGTAGATAATCATAGCATACACTCAACTATTAATATATTATAAATTGCATTGATTTCAAGAGGACTTAAATCTGAGTTTATCTGAATTGTGTCGTTAGTATCCTTAGTTCAGTGGTTCTCAACCTGTGGACCGCCAGATGTTTTGGCCTTCAACTCCCAGAAATCTTAACAGCTAGTAAACTGGCTGGGATTTCTGGGAGTTGTAGGTCAAAACACCTGGGGACCTATAGGTTGAGAATCACTGCTTAAGTAAACAAGAAAGAGGGTGGGAGAACCAGCTTGAAGAAATGAACCATCGTTTCTATTTGCACCAAAATGTCTCATGTTTAATTCTTCTAAATCTTCCCTCATTAAATGTTACCATCCACACTTGTTGCAATAGCACATGATGTCGGTAAGTAACCTTCACTGAGGATGATTTGTTGTGTCTTTGGGAAGTTGGCAGGAAAATGAAAGTCTCTTTAACAATCTGCAACTGTTGATCCAGGTTGGTTTAAGATGGATCCCTTTTGTAGATAATTTAATGGATTGCCCAAGTCTTCATTCCCTTCCTCACATTGTTGTTTTTAAACCCAGAGAATATTTAAATTACAAAGTTTCTTAATCTGTAAAAGTCACACCTTCTAGCTTTTGAAGTGGTCCTATAGATGTCAATTCATTGAAATGAAACCACAATGAGTACAGCCTTTCCTAAACATTAAAGTCCGGTTGTGTTATATGGGAGAGTCGCAACCTTTATTCCTCTATAACAGTGATTCTCAACCTTTGGGTCTCCAGATGTTTTGGCCTTCAACTCCCAGAAATCCTAACAGCTGGTAAACTGGCTGGGTTTTCTGGGAGTTGTAGGCCAAAACACCTGGGGACCCACAGTTGAGAACCACTGCTCTATAAGTCTTGGACTTCACTTCTCAGAATTCCTGACCATTGGAGAACATGGCTGGAACTTCTGAGAGTTGAAGTCCAAAACACCTAAAAGACCAAAGTTTGGAGACTATTTGTGTATTTAAGTCTTTTTCATGTACATTAATATAATTTCAGAATGCTTAATATTCAACAAATTGGTCCCACTGTAGTTATTTCCAAAAGAACATCCAAATCTTTGAATATTAGCAAAAGGGGGCATTTTGTTATTCCTGTCCCATAGAACTTCCACCTGAAGAATACTAGTATGGCTAAATCAAATCTAGCATCACTTACCCATCTATCCATTCACCAATATCATACTATTCAGAATTATTTATTTACCACATTTGTACCCTACTTTTCTCATCCTGAAGAGTACTTAGGGTGGCCTTACAACAATTCGATTGCATACACATATACATCCATACAATAAATACAATTAAAATCCAGAAATACAACATCAATTAAAATAATGCAATCTAAATCATAATCCTGTAAAATCCAGTCGTTTATGTCTATTAAGCATCAAATATTGCATTATCAGGGAGCTTAGGGTAAAAGTGCAACATTCAAAAGTACTGAAGCCTAATAATCTAATTTTAGAACTTGCTGAGTGAGTGTTATGATTAGTTTATAATGATTGCATGGAATATTAGAGAGGATGCAAAGTCGAATACAGTATCATCTAGGTCAGTGGTTCTCAACCTGGGGTCCCCAGATGTTTTTGGCCTTCAACTCCCAGAAATCCTAACAGCTGGTAAACTGGCTGGGATTTCTGGGAGTTGTAGGCCAAAACACCTGGGGACCCACAGGTTGAGAACCACTGATCTAGATATACCTTTGTCCCATTGAAATATATTGAATAATTTGGCAATTACTCAGTACCGTTTATTTTCAGTGGGACTAAAGTTTGGATCTAGTACACCTGATGTTTACGGCTCAAGCATGTTGTGAGAACATTGCATAGACTTATATTAGAAATAGGATGAACATTCCCCAAATCCCATTTTAGTGTGAACTTTAGTGTGTCACATGCTTGAGTATGCAAATCAGAATTCAATTATTTTTTATTAATCTGGGCTATGCATACAAAAAAAGAGTAGTTTGAAGGAGGTGCAAACTTAATGCATATTAACAAAAAATATTAGGAATTGATTGTATTGGGGAATCCTTTGCACAAATATTGATCTTAGGTGAAAAATTGTCAAGATCCAGAGTGCCAATAGAACATAACTCTGCCTGCATATGATGTCATTTAGGGGCAGAGGCTTATTCTTTGTAGCTACCTGCCCTAAGTGTGGATCAGCAGCCGGGCTTGTTGATAGATCTCTGTCTTCTTGGCCACTGTGACTTGGTTTGCTCTGCCACAAATCTCTTGTAGGATGTAATCCGGTTCATTCCATCTTGCTTAATGTATCAGGTCAAGAAGGAACAGACTTCAACTCTAAAATGTCTTTGGGTTACGCAGGGGAACCATAAATAGCATGGGCTCACCCTTGGAACCTCTTGGCATCCAAGCTTTGTGTTTAAGGCTGCTGTTGTACACTTAGGCCAAGGGTAGTTGTACAAGAATGTGTAGGATATCTCCTGCAACAATATCTTCCCAAAGATATATGCAGGTATAACCAGAAGTTACAAGAGCCAGCGTTGTCCGTAGGTGCCTCCAAGGTCATGTGGCCAACATGCCTTTAAAAATGTCAAATGTTGGGACATGCCAAACCCTAAGATTGCTAAAATAAGAATCAGAGAAATGAAAATTGACAGATTTCCTAAATCACACAGATTCCCTTTATCAATACAAACAAGATTCAGAAAGTTACAAAAATTATAATTATGGTAAACATTGATGCAACAGTTCAGGAAACAACGCGTTTTAGCTCTTCTCATTGACTTATAACACAAAGCCAGTAAAATAACTGCAATAATAATAATAACAACAACAACTATTTTTGTACCACGCCTCCATCTCCCCGAAGTGACTTGGGGTGGCTTACATACGGCACAATGTGCCTGGAACAATGCAAAAATAAACATACAATACAATAAAAAATAAAACCAAAAGCATATATAACAATTATTTATTTAAACTTAAAACAGCACCCAATAACATATGGTGAGAACTGTCGTAAAACATGGCCATATAAACCTTATAAGCATATAATCTCTGCTCAAAATTAGCTGAAAGAAATAAGGCATTTAGTAGCTCTAGTTCCATTTTATATTAAAAAAAATGTAAGATAAAGATGAAAATGGATTTTTTTCATAGAATTGGGCATATTAAGATATACACTGCATCTGAAAGTTTTATCCAACAGTTGAAAGGGCCTAAGAGTTGGAGATAACATCAATGAGTGACCTTTGATTTATTAACACTTATCAGCACCATTTGGTGGAATTTTCCTGCATATAAAATTATACTCTTTCCAAATAAATACTGATAAGAGATAATGCTCACTGATTTATTTCCAAAAAACAAAAAAACAAAAGCCTTTGTGTTTTGACAGCCCCCACTAGTCTATATTTAAAGAAGGTGGCTCTGGGATAGTTGGGAAACATTTAGGACAACTAGAGTAAGTCAGTGACCTGTATCTGCTTCATGAACATTGCAAGGTCTCTTTTTAGGTCCATCACAACCAGTGAATGCTCTTAGGACCTTCAAAAATAGCCAGCGGAGACGAAGATCACAGCGATTTGTGGCTGGTTCGTTGCCTCATGGTTCTCTAGAAAAAGTTCCTCCTCCCTCTCCAGTCACTGATGGAAAAGTGTTCTCCATCAATATCCCAAATCAGCCGCGAGCATTACTGGAGGGTAATGTATTTCAATCTAAGTAAAGAACCCGAGAAAAACCCAAGTATTAAAATATTAGACTCTTACAAGGCATTCCACACGTAACAAGAACATCTGACTAACTAGATGAGATCTATGTCATTTGTGTGTGTGTGTGTGTGTGTGTGTAACTCGGCAATGCAATGCTATGTTAATATTGTTTTTTCTTTTGCGTAGTTCCTCCTGTTGCTCATGTGTCACTTGAGAAGCGCGGACTGTGTCTTCCTCTTGACTTAAGCCGCAACTTGGATGCTTCCGCCTTGTTAGCCACCGAAGCCGCTTTCCACAGTGAGCTCTCCATCAAAGAAAAGGAAGATAATCAGATGTTTGTATGTCATTCTAAAACTGTAGCCGATGGCAAAGTAACTCCAATAATACCAGGTAACATTTGTCAGCACCTTTTGAGACTGCCTTAGATATAAATGAGCCCTGCATTAAATAAATAAAAACTGCAGACAACGTTTTGTGGTATAGGTTGAGTAAAAATGCTTGGGATCAAAAGTGGGGTTGGCAGGAGGTGGATTTTGATATACCTGTATTTGCATATATGTACATAATGAAATGTATATATATGTACATATATATGTACAATGAATAGGAGCCCCTGGTGGTGCAGTGGGTTAAAGTGCTGAGCTTGTTGACTGAAAGGTCGCGGTGTGAGCTTCCGCTGTCAGCCCCAGCTTTTGCCAACCTAGCAGTTCTAAAACATGCAATTGTGAGTAGTTCAATAGGTACCGCTCCAGTGGGAAGGTAACGGCGCTCCATGCAGTCATGCTGGCCACATGACCTTGGAGGCATCTACGGACAACGCCAGCTCTTCGGCTTAGAAATGGAGATGAGCACCACACCCCAGTCAGACTTAATGTCAGGACTTAATGTCAGGAGAAAACCTTTACCTTTACCCTTACATATTGAAATATTGTGGTGATAAGTTTCCTTTATGTTTTATATACACCTTGTACACATAGCCTGAAGATGCACAATATCTTTTATATAATTTTGTGCATCAAACAAAGTTTGTGTACACTGAGCCATCGGAGACCAAAGGTGTTACTTTCTCAGCCATCCATGTGCACAATCTGGATTTTCAGAAAAAGAATGAGAGGTAACGTAAGTATTCCAGAGACATGTGAAGTTGTGTAGTGAGCAATACAGAACTATGCTGAATGGCTGATAAGGACAATACATGTATTTTCCATGATAGAAAGTTGTCAAATCATGCTAACTGAATTGCTGTTGAGACTTAAGATTGTGAACAGATTTATGTGAGCTGAGTGCTCAGGTGGAAATATTTTGAGAGACACCTCAGGGATCTTACCTTTGCAGTGCCATAAGAAAGTGCTTAAATTACAGAAAGGTAAAGAGCTCCTATGAATGATTGGGTTAGATTGCTCGTTTGTCAGAAGATGCATATATTTGGATCCCAAACACTTCTGAAGAAATCTGATAATAGATTATTATGATCAGATTTCTGGAAATTATTATGCCAGTTTCCTCTGTATTGGATTCTCTGATCCAGTTTGAGAGATAGTACACGGGGAGTCAAAATCATTTCCCTCCCCAATCATTGGAAGACTTTTCTGATGAATTGCCAGCACTTCTATGAATGGAAAGCAGCCCGCTGATTTCAGATACATGAATCTGGATCCAAGCCATGCTCTTCCTAATGCATCCCTTTAAAAGCATCATCTAAGAATTTGCAACCATCATATTTCCCAGCAAGGAATCATAGATTCATAGAGTTGGAAGAGATCTTTTGGGCCAACCAGTCCAACCCCATTCTGCCAAGAAGCAGGAAAATCGCATTCAAAACACTCTCGACAGATGGCCCTCCAGACTCTGTTTAAAAGCCTCCAAAGAAGGATACTCCACCACACTTTAGTGCAGAGAGTTCCATTGCTGAACAGCTCTCTCTCTCACAGTGAGGAAGTTCTTCTTAATGTTCAGGTGGAATCTCCTTTCTTGTAGTTTGAAGCCATTGTTCTGCATCCTAGTCTCCAGGGCAGCAGAAAACAAGCCTGCTCCCTCCTCCCTATGACTTCAGCTCACATATCTATACTCATGTCTTCTCTCAGCCTTCTCTTCTGCAGGCTAAACATGCCCAGCTTTTCAAGCCACTCATAAGCTTGTTTTCCAGACCTTTGATCATTTTAGTCACCCTCCTCTGGACACATTCCAGTTTGTCAATATCTCCCTTAAATTGTGTTGCTCAGAATTGGACACAGTTTGATTCCAGGTGTGGTCTGACCAAGGCAGAATAGAGGGGTAGCATGACTTTCCTGGATCTAGACACTATACTCCTATTTATGCAGGCCAAAATCACTTTGCCTTTTTTAGCCACCACATCATCTTGTTGACTCATGTTTAACTTGTTGCCCAAGAGGGCCCCATGATCTTTTTTCACACGTACTCCTGTTGAGCCAGGTGTCCCCCATTCTGTATATTAGGAAGTAATATCCTAAATGTTGGCTTGTCATTTTACCTCTCATTCCTGTTTCTGATCCTTGTTTCTTTTCCTGCACAGGAACAGTGAAAACCGAAAGAAAAATAAAATTGGAGGAGAGATGCTCATCGTTGCTTGGTATGAACAAAACAAATACGTTAAGCAAAAAGTTCAAGAGAACAAGAACATAGCCTGTCACTTATCTTTTATCATTTAATGCTCTTTTAGGTGTAAGTGTTCATCTGTTTTTAATGACTGTAGGGCAGTCAGGGCGATTTTTGTTCTACCTATTAACTGTACCTCTTTAGAGACTGAAATTTGCTTATTGAAGGAAGACGCTGAAGGCTAGAAGATTAGTAACTAGTGAGTTGAAGAGGGATAAGGTTAGAATGACTAAGTTTGTGTGTTTTGTCACATATGATGACTGTTAATTTGCTGATTATCAAATGAGGGTTTGTCAACATTGGTGCTTGATGCATTCTCCAAAAAGTAAAGGAAAGATCATTTATATGACAAATGCTTAGCAGAATAAAATGACTTCTCAAAACTAAAAATGTGTGATTGAGTTAATAACTGAAATGGATACAATTAATAAAAAATACCAAGTTTACTGCTGCTGAAGTAACAAGAATAGGCACTGCACAAGCTGTCTTAAAGAAAGTTTCTTTTTAAATGGTTTCTAAATGATGAAGAAATCATCCTGGGCTAGAAAGTTAACTAACATCATCATTGAGAAGCCCTGCTTTTTCTGATTTGAGAGCAGCAAAATTATGTGTGTTGAAGAAAAACCTATAGCCTTCTTTGGGCATTATTAAGCTGCCTAGTATCAACGTATGGAGTGGTAAACAGACAAGCTCTGTCCTTCTGTCACCGTCCATCTATGAATGGTGACTTTGTGTAGAAGAGAGTCACCTCTGTTGATTGAGAATCTTTCACTAGTTTTAAGTCAGGAAAAATCACAGTGAAAGCCATAATTTATGTGAAGTGTTTGTGTAGATTCAGTTTACAGTACCGTTTAATATGCATTTTTGTTGTTGTTGTTGAAAAGAAAATGCAAGAAAAATTCAGGATGGTCCTGTATCTCAGAAAGCACTTGATGGTGCTTTATTGCTCTCCTCTCTGTAATGGAAATGATTTGCAAGAAACTCACAGTTTTTATTTTGACAAAGTAAACTTTGATCTATGACTATAGTTTTGAGTTGCATCCATGGAGTTGTCAACAAACTGCATTGATATTGCAAGATGTTTTTGACAAACCTCAATCTGGTTTGAGACTTCCCCAAACTTCTGACATCTAAAGAGTAATTTATACTCTTTGTCTAATCACTTTCAGCATTCCAAAAATGATGGAAAAAAATTTTTTGAATATAAAAAAGAATCCAGGACTGATAAGAGGTTTTGCAGTTAAGTCCTATTCTGCATAGAATTTGCACATCCCTGTTCTCTGTGCAGAAAATAATATTTCCATTATAGAATCAGCCATTTCTTTACATAAATATTATTTCCTATACAGAAAATAATACAATTGAGGATGTTTTGTGGAATATTGACACTTGGTTTGCACTGAAAACATCATTTTTATGCAATAGATATAAAATAGAGCAATTCCATACAGAAGTATTGTTTTCTGCACAGAAATATCTGTTTTCAGTGCAAAGCAACTACATACAAATTTTGCACAGAAAAAGTTCCAAATTGCAAAAACATTCCTTGCAAACAGAACAAAATTGATAAAAGTACTTGTTGTTTTACCCCAAATGAAAATTAGTGATTAATTAAATCCCATGTATCAGGCAAATTGGGCTGAGCTTATTTTAAGATGCTATCCTTTTAACTATAATCTTCCCATTTACCCTTCAGGTAAAAAGAAGGAAAAAGACAAAGAAAGAAAAGAGAAGAAGGAAAAAGATCACAAGTCAAAGCAGAAGAAGAAGAAAAAGAAAAAGAAGAAATCAAAACAGCATGGTATAATCAGAATATAAAATTAAGTCATCCACCTAAAAAGAAAAATAACCCACAACCTTCTGGTTTTGTGGTCTGTAGTTGTTAAGAGTTTAGTGTTTATTTTCATATCTTATTTATTTACTGTATTTTTATCCCACCCTTCTCAACCCTGAAGGGGACTCAGAGCGGCCTTATAATCGGCAACAATTTGATGCCATATCAATAGACAAATAATAAAAAAATGTGCAGTAAAATAAAAATTAAAAATCAATAGAACATTAAAACACATTATTAAGATCATGCAATATGAAGACATAGTCGAAAGCCGTTCTGGTTATTATTGTACATAATTCCACTTCACTTTTTGCACTGCAGTATTTTTTGGCAGTATTAGCCAAAGGCCACTTTTTGGCAGTATTGGCCAAAGGCTTGGTATCATAGCCATGATTTTACTTGCTTTCAGGAAGGAGGAGGCTGACCTGCTTTCGCTGGGGAGGGAGTTCCATAGCTCAGGGGCCACCGAGAAGGCCCTGTCTCTCTTCCCCACCAACTGCACCTGTGAAAGAGGTGGCACCGAAAGCAGGGCCTCCCCACACAATCTTAACCTTCAAGATGGTTTATAGAGGGAGATGCGTTCGGACAGATAAGCTTATAGCTTTTTCATACAACCCTGAGTTTTAAAAATCAGCTATACGCACTTTTTCATGTTCGCTGAGAGAAAGAAAGAATGAATCAGTCATACAGCCATGATTCATTATTTCTTTAAATGTGGAGCGATTCCCTGGAATTATAAGATTTCCAGGGGTTAACGGCAGTTTGAAGATTTAATAAATTGCTTCTGCATCATTAGAAGCAATATGGGACTAATTTTGAAGTAACCATGTGTTGGTATTTCTAAGAATAGCATTGTTTTAAGCAGAATTATATTTTTGCAGCCCGTGTTTTTTGGAATACTAATTTACAGTATCTGGAAGGGCAGTCTTGACTGGCATATGGTAGGAAGCAGGCATGTAGCCGGGGGGGCTTGAGGGGCTTCAGCCCCCCCCCAAAATTCTCATGGTGGTTCGCGAAAAGGCCTTACTGGTGCATTATTTAAACTGTTATGTTTATTCATATCATGATCTGATCACCATGCTCAATATATCCCATATGCATGGGGGTATTGGGGTAATGATACAAAAGGTTTGCTAGGCTAGACCCTCTTTCACTCAGACTCAGCCCCCTCCCCGAAACTCAGCCCCCCCCCCAAACCCCCCCTGAAAATATTCAGCCCCCCCCCCCAAAAAAAAAACGAAATCTTGGCTACGGGCCTGGTAGGAAGTAACCTTGTTTTGTGATTGCTTTGCAGAATACTCAGATTTTGAGGATAGTTCTCTTGAGCCTTTGGACAGGTGTTCCTCTCCACTCACCAGGTCTTCTGGCAGCTCCCTGACGTTACGAAGCATGACGACAGAGAAGAATATATCGTATCCGTTTCCAAGGGCTATTCTTTCTGTCGACCTCAGTGGTGAAAGTAGGTTTTCGGTCCTATATCTTAGAGATATAAGTGTCCACAGGGGTCGACCCAGGCATAGGCCAACTTTGGCCCTCCAGGTGTTTTAGACTTCAACTCCCACACAGCTGACTTGTGGGAGTTGAAGTTCAAAACTGCTGGAGTGCCAAAGTTAGCCCATACCTGGGCTATCCAGTCTTAACTCCCTGCCATGCAGGAAAACACAATCAAAGTATTCCCCATAGATGGCCATACAGCCTCCATTTAAAAACCAGAGGAGGAGACATCACCACACTACGAATATGCCATTCTGTTTATTATACATTTACATCATTTTTTCTGACAGTCATTTATTATCTTCATGTGTAAAAGATGTGGCAAATTTAAATAACTGAAGATTCAAGAAAGACTGTGGATGATCAATTAGAAAACACATAATAATTAGGCCTGTTCAATGCATGGTTCTAAATGGTTCTAAAGTACTTACAAAACTAAAGTTCTGGTGGTGAAAATTTCAGAACTCTTTCAAAATATAATTATTCTTTCATTATTGGTGATTTTTATGACAGAGCCAATTAGGAACTGCCATTTATAATGAAATATTGAGAGTTTTGTTAGAGTACTGAAATTTTCACCACTAGAACTTTAGTTTTGTAAGTACTTTAGAACCATTTAGAACCATGCATTGAACAGGCCTAATAATAATTATTATATATAACGGATGAAATTAGAACAAGTAGAAGCAATAGAAGTGACAGATCTGTATTTTTATACATTTATTGAATTATGGGAAGAATTTGGGAATAGATGAAGTGATAAGACAATCAACAGCAGTATGTATGAAAAAGATCTTGAGTCCTCATGGACAACAAGATAAACATGAGCCAATAATGTGATGCGGCAGCTAATAAAGCCAATTGGATTTTGGCCTGCATTAATAGGAGTCTAGTGTCTAGATCCAGGGAAGTCATGCTCCCGCTCCCGCTCTATTCTGCCTTGGTCAGACCACACCTGGAATCACATTGTGTTCAATTCTGGGCACCGCAATTTAAGGGAGATGTTGACATGCTGGAATGTGTTCAGAGGAGGGTAACTAAAATGATCAAGGGTCTGGAGAACAAGCTTATGAAGAGCTGGGCATGTTTAGCCTGCAGAAGAGAAGACTGAGAGGAGACAGGATGGCCGTGTATAAATATGTGAGAGGAAGTCATAGGGAGGAGGGAGCAAGCTTGTGTTCTGCTGTCCTGGAGGCTAGGACGCAGAACAATGGCTTCCAACTACAGGAAAGGAGATTCCACCTGAACATCAGGAAGAACTTCTGGACTGTAAGGAGAGCTGTTCGGAGTGGAATTCCCTGTCCCGGAGTGTTGTGGAGGCTCCTTCTTTGGAGGCTTTTAAACATGCTGGATGGCCATCTTTCGGCGGGGTTTTGAATGCAATTTTCCTGCTTCTTGGCAGAATGGGGTTGGGCTGGATGACCCACAAGGTCTCCAACTCTATGATTCTATAATAATGTTTTAAACGTTCTTGAAATAAATAAAAACAGACAATTAGAATGTTAATAAATGTATGTTAAGTAAATAACAATCCCTCGGGTGTAGTGAACATTACTCTTGTGATAATGCCTTCTTTGAGCATAGCTAGTGAACCCATATTGATCTGAATGCATGTACTTCACATAAAGTGAAGGTAAAGGTTTCCCCTGACATTAAGTCTAATCGAATCTGACTTGGGGGGGGAGGTCAAGTTCATCTCCATTTCTAAGTCGAAGAACCACTGTTGTTCATAGATACCTCCAAGCAGAAGCAGTACCTATTGTTCTACTTAAATTTACATGTTTCCGAACTGCTAGGTTGGCAGAAGCTGGGTTTAACAGCGGGAGCTCACCCCGTTTCCCAGATTTGAACCACCAACCTTTCAGTCAGCAAGTTCAGCAGCTCAGCGGTTTAACCCGCTGCTCCACCATACTAGTTCTGCACATACTAGTAAAGAAATATTTTCTAATGGATAAGTACTTCATTATGTTTAGTAAAAAAATAAGATGGCAATATTAATTTCAGAGTAAGCAATCTTTGTAAGTTAAGTGTCATGCACAACCCATTTAAAGGCGTTTTCATATGCATTTTGAGCAGTGAACACCGTTGTTGATTATGTTGAAATCCTATCTCCACTTGTAAAATTTCTTCTTATAATCTCCCTCTCTTTTCAATTTAAGACCTCTCCGATATGGAGTTTCTGGATGACTCTTCTACTGAGAGTTTGCTGCTAAGTGGCGATGAGTATAATCAGGACTTTGATTCAACTAATTTTGAAGAATCTCAGGATGAAGATGATACGCTAAATGAAATTGTCAGGTGCATCTGTGAAATGGATGAAGAAAATGGCTTCATGATTCAGGTAAGGAGTCTGTTGCTTGAATTTGGACAACAGTTAAATTAAAACTGCTTCTGTAAGTTTCCTTTTTATAAATGTATGATACAAGCTGCTTTATGTTCCTGGCATAGCTTCATTTGGGGAGTGTAGATTTCCCCTGTGGAGAAAGGGGAATTCTTTATATATTCAGCAGAGCAGGCCCTACCATTAGACGGAGTGGAGGGTGTCATGAAAGGACAAGAAATGGCTTACTGGTTATTTATTTCATGGTTGTATTTTTTACTCCTGTTAACTATGAGGAGAAGCGCATGAGCATCTTTCTACATCTGAGGCCAAAATAATTCAGATGGCTTTGATTACCAAGGGCCTTGACTTTGGAGAATGTGGACATATTTGACAAAACATAAAAGCCCCCATATCCATAGAAGATGTCTTCCAAGACCCTCTGTGAATATCTGAAACAATGGATAATAGCAAGCCTCATATTTTGACTATACGTGGGCAGGAAACATATCATGCAATTGCACTGGAGTGCCTAGATAGGCCCACAAACACTTCCTTGAAAGGGAGGAGGATTTTTCTGAGTATGGATAAGTGAAGCTGTGAATATCAAATCTGTGGAAAAAGAGAGTTATCCTGCATTTATTTCTGGCTCTGAACAAAGCAATAATGATCTGAGAGCTGCCTTATCAAATGAAAAGCATGTTTATTCTGTCCTTGCTTACAAGATATCATTTGGCATAGTTATATGGAATCATATAACTATGGGAGTTGGAGTGTTTTGGACTTCAACTCCCACAATTCCTAACAACCAGTAGACTGTTAGGAATTGTGGGAGTTGAAGTCCAAAACACCTGAAGGGCTGAAGTTTGCCCATGCCTGATACAGCTTCATCTCTATAGTTGGCCAATTAAACAGCCTCTTTGTATGTTAAACAGCCTCTTTGTATGTCTGTATACGTTGTATGTCAAATTGGCATTGAATGTTCGCCATATATGTGTACAATGTAATCTGCCCTGTGTCCCCTGCGGGGTGAGAAGGGCGGAATATAAATACTGTAAATAAAAATAAATAAATAAATGTGCTAAAGGATATAGTTTAGGTTTCCAAGGAAACTTCCTGTATTTTCACCTAGAAAACATTAAGGCAGTGTTGATCTTCTCTCATGCCTTGAATTTTTCTGGTTTTATTTTTTAAAATCACAGTGTGAAGAGTGCCTCTGTTGGCAGCACAGTGTCTGCATGGGGTTGTTTGAAGACAGCATTCCGGAACAGTACATCTGCTATATTTGCAGGGACCCGCCTGGTATGAGTAAGATTTCAAACTAAATTCTGATATTTTAAACTCTGTACTATTGACACAGTCACCTCTTCCCACTTTCATACATGTGTTTACAAAGTCAACATTTCTGTCTGGTTTTGTGGTTGTCTTCTTGGATTTCTTTGCAGAATACTCCACCAAATATTCTTGCTCTGTTTCACTTCATCCAAAAAGTTGTCTCATGCTGGGCTTTGCTAACAACGTCTGCTCTCTTTGGCTGTTTTTATTTCTAATTTATAATCCACAGTATTTGGGGAAACTGAGCAATTTTTAAAAGGTCTCACATTTTACTGAGATAGTTTGAATGTCAGTAAAATTTAAAACACACACACACAAAAAAACATATTTTCTGTTAGCTTAATGTGTCCCAGACTGGATTTACAAGGTTTCTGAAAATGCTCAGACTCCAGATTTATTATTTTACATAGTTGACAAGTCCTCAAACTAGAGGAGAGTAATCCATCACCAAAAACAACTTTGTGTCAAAATGCTTTTGTCACAATAGTGCCATTGATTGATTTCATACAGCAACGGGACAAATGGATAGTTTTTAAAGCGTGTTGCTTAAGTCACAAACATACCACACTCACTTCTGCCTGGAATACAAAGGAAGTTATTATAGCCACTAGCGTAAAAGTGTGAATATCAACCGTTGGATTTACACATTATTGAAAGGGGCATAGTTGTTTTCCCAGTTTAATAAAAGCTAATACAACAAACCTGAGTTTCTGGGTATAGCTGCAGATCTAAGAACAATCCAGCATTGAGAAGATTGATGAAGAAGGCACCCCTGTCATAACAGATACCTTTAGCATACATATAAGGTTTCCAGAATGGTAGTGTCACAGAAACATTCATCTTCGCAGATTTTATTCCAGTTGTGAAGTTGATCCAATTTGATTTCTCTTTAAAAATCTCATATTGTTTGTTTGTTTGTTTACACCATTTCTACCCCACCTTTCTCACCCCAGGGTGGACTCAAGGCGGCTTTACATACAAGCAAATATTCGATGCCTTAAAACTCAATGCACACTTAAATAAATATTAAAATAAAAATTTAAAATGCATTAAAAACAATTAAAATATTTTAAAACAATACATTCAAAGTTAAACACGTAATCCACCAGCGTAATCCAGACTGTTCCGATGGTCATTACACATTGTTCCAAGTCTTATCTATTGCACAAATTCTCTAAAGGCTTGGTTTTCACTCTCTTGTGGAAGGTCAGGAGGGAGGGGATTGATCTAATATCCCTGGGGAAGGAGTTTCACAGTCGAGGGGCCACCACTGAGAAGACTCTGTCTCTCGTCTCCGCCAATCGTGCCTGCGAGGGAGGTGGGACCAAGAACAGGGCCTCCCCAGATGATCTTAAATTCTACGATGGTTCATAGAGGGAGATAAGTTCATATCAGAATGGTTGTGTGTGTGTGTATGTGTATCTAAGTTGCCTGCTGGCTTATGGTGATTCTGAGCATTCTATATATAGGGTTTTCTTAGGCAAGTAATACTCAGAATTGATTTTGCTAGTTTCTTCCTCAAATCTAGTCCATAATCCCTGGTATTCATTAGTGGTCTCCCATCCAAATGCTAATCAGGACTGCTTACCTTCCAAGATCAGCTGGGATCTGGTGACTTTAGAATATTTAGATGGCTGTGTAAGAAATATTTCTTTCCTTTATAACATGAAATTAATTCCTGATTATCCAATAGAGTGATACACAGTGTTTAGAGCTACAGTTACATTTACACTTGCGTGTATGTTCCAGCAGTGATAGAAAAGCTAGAACTCAAGAGTGATTTTTTTAACTACTGTAGTATAATAACATATGATCCCCTTGTCTGTAGGTCAGAGATGGAGTGCCAAATATCTCTATGATAAAGACTGGTTGAAAAACGGCCATATGTGTGGCCTGTCGTTTTTAAAAGAGAACTATTCTCATTTGAATGCCAAAAAGATAGTATCAACACACCACCTCCTGGCTGATGTGTACAGTGTTACGGAAATACTGCGTGGGCTACAGCTAAAGATTGGGATCCTGAAGTAAGTATGTGCTCTATGTTGCATATTACTTTCTCTGCACACTCCACCATCATTTAACAGTGTTGGGTTTTAGGAATATTTATTTTATTGAGAGTTATAAAAAGTTCACAAAGATTCTTGGCAGTCAAATGGGAAGGATGGCGTGACTTGAGGAAAGAGTGATCATTTCTGGTGTCTAGAGGTTACTGTGTTGCATTCTCCTGTCTGATGTTTGCACAGATTTTCTCACATTTAAATCCTTGTTTAGTGAGAACAAATTGCTGGACCATGTAAAAAATGCAGAAGTGACATTTTGCAAGGTAGTATCCAACTTTTATCATTACCACAGTCCAGCGCTAGTCTGTCATGCACAAAATAACTTGAGTTTGATCTAAAGTTCCCATACCTGAGTTTTATGTCATGGTTAGTAAAGGTAAAGGTAAAGGCCAAGGTTTCCCCTGACATTAAGTTTAGTCATGTCCGACTCAGAGGGAGGGTGGTGGTTCTCATTTCTATTTCTAAGCCAAAGAGCCGGTGTTGTCTGTAGCCACCTCCAAGGTCATGTGGCCAGTATGACTGCATGAAGTGCTGACACCTTCCCACAGAAGCAATACCTATTGATCTACTCACACTTGGATATTTTCTAACTACTAGATTGGCAGAAGCTGAGCCTAATAGCAGGAGCTCACCCCGCTCCCCAGATTTGAACTGCTAACCATTCGATCAGCAAGTTCAGCAGCTCAGCGGTTTAACCCACTGTGCTACCAGGGGACTTTTAGGTCATGTCTACACAGGCCAAACAAAATAAACTCACCTTGGGCCTGCTGTGAGCAGTCCACACAATGCATGTCTGGTTCAAATGGCTTCAAACTACAAGAAAGGAGATTCCATCTGAGCATGAGGAAGAACTTCCTGACTGTGAGAGCCGTTCAGCAGTGGAACTCTCTGCCCCGGAGTGTGGTGGAGGCTCCTTCTTTGGAAGCTTTTAAACAGAGGTTGGATGGCCATCTGTCAGGGGTGCTTTGAATGCAATATTCCTGCTTCTTGGCAGGGGATTGGACTGGATGGACCCATGAGATCTCTTCCAACTCTATGGTTCTATGATTCTGCAGCAGAAGTGCTGATTCCAGACATTAATCAAGTACCAGAAGAACCACAAGTTACTCCAGAGCTTCTAGGAACCTCTGGGTCAGGCCCGGTGTTTTTAAGGTGTGGGCAGCTGGATTGGGCTGGTTCTGGTGGATCCTTAAAAAGACCCACTCTGATTTTCTGACCAGAAGCAGTGCCAAGCAGACCCTCAACAGAGCCTTGGTGCTAGTAGCATCTCTCTGCTGATCCCATAGCTGGGCACTTGTTATGGCCACATCAGAAGCAACATTGCCACCAAGGCTCTGTCACAATGCTGCTTTTAGCTGACTAAATAACTACAGTGATCCCAATGCACTATTATTCCATCTGGCCATCTCTACTCCAAAAAGGCTTTGGGGTACTCCCATGCAAAGTACTCCAAACCATGTAAGTTTCCAATTCACTCTTCAACAACATATTGCTGTCACAGAAAATTTAGATAATGCATATGCACCCTACTCAATGATTTTTGTACCTCATAAGAAAAGCTGGCAAAGTTACTGTTTGGACACACTGGGATTTGTGGAGCTGTAGTCTGATATGTAACTTTTCTAAACTCCTCATCAAATAGATTTGAGTGCACATAGTTGTCATAGGAAAGTTACAGTTATCTTCTGCAACGTACTTGACCTTTTTGAGGGGACAATGCACCTTGTTATTTATTATTTATTTATTTATTTACAGTTCTTATATTCCGCCCTTCTCACCCCGCAGGGGACTCAGGGCGGATTACAGTAAACACATATATGGCAAACATTCAATGCCAGTTTTGACAAACAACATTTAACAGACAAAGGCTATTTAACTTTTTTTCTGGCCGCCAGGGGAGCTGCTGCTTTTCATCGTCCATCAACGACACCGATGAAGTTCTTCCGCATTCCACATTCCCCGGAGTCTTCTTTCTTTATGGCCTCATAAATTAGTTAAATTTAGCCTCCCACACAAGGTGGTCCCTTATTTTCCTACTTGACAGATGCAACTGTCTTTCGGGTTGCAAAGGTCGACAACGGGCTACACAATGGCTGGACACCCACTCCAGCCCGGGCTGGCTTCAGCCCGGGCTGGCTTCGAACTCATGACCTTTTGGTCAGAGTGATCTTAATGCAGCTGACACTCAGCCAGCTGCGCCACAATCCTGGCGCCACAATCCCAGTTATGTTAAGCCTATGAATTTAATTCTGTGCCAATTTGAGATTCCAGCTTTCTGTTGTCTTTTCAGGAATAAACGCCACCCTGACCTTCATCTGTGGGCTTGTGCAGGCGTGCGGAAAGATCAAGACCAAATAACACTTGGATTAGAAAGAAGGATATTGGCTGTGCCGGATTCCATAAACCCCCCTGAAAGGACGTATCATGGCCATAACCATAAAGAGCCCCCTATTTTAGCCCCGAAGATGGAAGAAACATACATTACGAGTGAGCACAGTTATCAGAAACCTCAGAGTTTTGGTCCAGACTGCAAATCGGTAATGGACCCCGCGAGCTCAGATGAGGATGATGACACCAGCAGTTTCGAAGATGATCCAGATCTTCTCTTAGAAGAGAAAAACTGTTTACAATATTCATCAAAAGGGGATGGTTTTGGCCATCAGGTAAAAATGCTCATTTATTTTGTGTAACCTTCCAGGAGCTAGGGATGCAAAAAGGATACATGTCTTCAGAATCCAAACTGCTTTTTAACAGTGGAGTATGCTGCCTTGGAGTGTGGTGGAGTCTCCTCCTCTGGAAGTTATTAAACAGAGGCTGGATGGGCATCTGTTAGGAGTGCTTTCATTGTGTGTTCCTGCATGGCAGAATGAAGTGGGACTAGCTGGCCCTGGCTGTTGCTTCCAAATTTTATAATTCTATGAATGCTCTGAAATTGAATCAGAGTGGCAGGAAGAAGAGCAAGAGGCACGGTTCTGTTTGATATAGAAACAGGTTTCACTTTTGCCTGCCTGCCTCTCTGTGTTGCCTTTTGTCTTAAATGTGTTCCAGATCACAGAATACTGGGTTGTTGTGGGTTTTTCGGGCTATATGGCCATATTCTAGAAGCATTCTCTCCTGATGATTTGCCTGCATCTATGGCAAGCATGCTCTGGGCAAGCATGCTCTTGGTGATAAAGAGCACATACATCAAAACAGTGCAAGGTAAATTATAGACTCATAAATTACTAAACAAGTAGTAAAATTAATTAACTAAGCATAATTATCTAAACAAAACATAAGCTCCATAAGAACCAACAATAACAAAATTCGTACTATAAAGAAAATAATTTGAAACTATTTACATTATTAGAAATGTACCTAGCCTATTAAGCATGCTATCTCACCCATAGTCTCTGGGATGAATGAATGAGAGGTTCAGCAGTGAAATAAGCAATACTATACATATCAAAAGGGACATTATTTGCACAAAGATATTAATTTTGCAGGTTTCTGTAGGTGCAATGCAATTAATCATCTGAGACCTCAAAGATTATATCAAATTGGCATCATCATGACTACTTTATACCACTTCTCCTAAGAAATCAGAATTGGCGGAGACCTTAAGAAGATCCAGTCCAACCTCCTGCAATGCAAGAATACACAATCAAAACATGGGAGAGAGGGGGGGGGGGGATAATGCTTCAGGTTGAAGTTGTCATGCTTTCCCAATCAGGCATCTAAGGAGGAAGACTGTATGTATATTTACAGAAAAGCAAATGGTAAGTAACCTTCAAGTGGCTGTGACAGCTCCTGGTTTGGACAGACTGGATTAAAGCTCCCTGCAAATGCCTACAGTAGTTACCAGAATAGAGAAGCTCCAGGTGCTCTTGATCACATAGAAATGCTCATAGTTCCTATGTGAACCAGACCTACAGTATGCACTACCATGTGTGTTTTATCTGGACATGTGCTGCTATGTGCACCTAGGCCTCAATATTTATTTATGCAAAAAAAAAAAAAAAAAAGCTGTGCCCAACCAATACCAGTGATGTGTTACAGAAAAGATACATAACTCTAAGGCCTTGTTGATTTAGGTTACTCAATGCAGTGTAGCGAATAACAATGGAAGCGTTTTCAGAATGTCAAGGTCTACCAACTGTTCCCTCTCAATCTACAAAGTGCTTACAGTGAAACTTCAAATGCAAATCAATGCTTGACTTCCCAACTGGACTGTGCAACACACAATTAGAAATATAGAAGCCTCTGGTGAATGTAGAGACTCTAAGTCAACATGTTAACAGGAGCAGCATCATGCTACTCCATTAGCTGCACAGATGTGCAAGGAGCCAGAGCAAAGGTTCTTGTGTGCTTGGGCTATAGGAGATGCATTATTGCCCCCATCTGTTTGAAAACATCTGTAGAATATGTGAGAATGAGCTATAGCTGGACAGAGCCAACAATGTGATGTGGCGGCAAAAAAAAGCCAATGGGATTTTGGCCTGCATCAATAGGAGCATAGTGTCTAGATCTAGGGAAGTAATGCTACCCCTCTATTCTGCTTTGGTTAGAACACACCTGGAATATTGTGTCCAATTCTGGGCACCACAATTCAAGAGAGATATTGACAAGCTGGAATGTGTCCAGAGGAGGGCGACTAAAATGATCAAGGGTCTGGAGAACAAGCCCTATGAGGAGCGGCTAAGGAGCTGGGCATGTTTAGCCTGAAGAAGAGAAGGTTGAGAGGAGACATGATAGCCATGTATAAATATGTGAGAGGAAGTCATGGAGAGGAGGGAGCAAACTTGTTTTCTGCTGCCCTGGAGACTAGGATGCGGAACAATGGCTTCAAACTACAAGAAAGGAGATTCCATCTGAACATGAGGAAGAACTTCCTGACTGTGAGAGCCGTTCAGCAGTGGAACTCTCTGCCCCGGAGTGTGGTGGAGGCTCCTTCTTTGGAAGCTTTTAAACAGAGGCTGGATGGCCATCTGTCAGGGGTGATTTGAATGCAATATTCCTGCTTCTTGGCAGGGGGTTGGACTGGATGGCCCATGAGGTCTCTTCCAACTCTTTGATTCTATGAGATGCAATGACACTGCCCTTTGAGGAGCATCTTGAAAAGCCTGGCGTGTTTAACCTGTGGAAGACAAGGTTGAGAGGAGACATGATGGCCATGTATAATTATGTGAGAGTCATAGGGAGGAGGGAGCAAACTTGTTTTCTGCTGCCCTGGAGACTAGGATGTGGAACAATGGCTTCAAACTACAAGAAAGGAGATCCCACCTGAACATTAGGAAGAACTTCCTGACTGTGAGAGCTGTTCAGCAGTGGAACTCTCTGCCCTGGAGTGTGGCGGAGGCTCATTCTTTGGAGGCTTTTAAACAGAACCTGCGTGGCCATCTGTCGAAGGTGATTTTCCTGCTTTTTGGCAGGGGGTTGGACTGTATGGTCCATGAAGTCTCTTCCAACTCCATGATTTATTTATTTATTTATTTATTTATTTATTTATTTATTTATTTACGGCATTTATATGCCGTCCTTCTCGCCCCGAAGGGGACTCAGAGCGGCTTACAAGATATATATACATACAATATATTATATTATTAGCATAGTACAATATCAGTATTAAATATTACTATATTTTCCTATACCATTATATTATAATAGTAATATTAGATGTAATATAATTATATAATTATATTATTAGTAGCATTATATTGCATTACATTATAATATTATAAATATTATATGTATATACAATATATTATATTGTATTGTATTGTATTGTATTGTATTGTATTGTATTGTATTGTATTGTATTGTATTATTAGCATAGCACAGGAGACAAGGTGGAATTGTCCCCGACCCCCTCTCTCTTCACTCTGGCCCAGAATTGTTGCTTGATTGTGTCCTACATTTCTACTGCTACCATATTTTGCTGCTATATTACAAGTGCACAATCCATATTACAAGGATGTTATTTATGATGTGCATCACTATGCTTTATACCCTTCATTATAATGATTCCCCTTTACATTGTCCTTATATCCTTAGTGGAAAGCACTTCGTTTGCACTTCAGTTTGCTGTGTCATTGCAAAAGCAGTTGTTCCACTTAATCTCTCTCTTGCAGCCACTTCAGAGTTACCTGACTGTGACTTTGTTTTATCTGCAAGTCTTGCACAATAACAACTGTATTTCACTGTGACTAAGCTTTTTTGGGTGACTTTGTTCTGTTTTGTGGTCCTCACACAGAGACATTCTGCTGAAGGGAACACTGTGTTTGTATTTAACGAAAAAAGGGGAGCAGAAGAACATGTGGACTCTCGTCTTCAGTGGCAGCTAAACCTCCTCACCCATATAGAGAATGTACAGAATGAAGTCACAAATAGGATGGATCTGATTGAAAAAGAAGTGGACGGTAACAATTTATGTACCAATAAGAACGCATTTTTCATTTGAACCCTCTGCCCACTTATCTTGGAAATGGGGGGGGGGGGGTTAACATGTTTATAAACAATGGCAAAATATTCTATACAAAGTGCAAAGCTAGTTTCAAAGATACATATATTGAAGCATTTTATCCACTGCAGGAGTGGGGCCACATGCTGTGGCTGCATTTAGCTGCTTTAGAATGTTTTTCGGTATTTTCCAGGGCTTCCCCTTGGGCTCTTCATACTTCGATCAATTCAAGCCATTTTTATTTATTTATTTATTATTTAAAACTTTTATATCCCGATCTTCTCGACCTCCGTAGAGGGACTCAGACCGGAGTCTGAGTCCTTGCCCCAGTTCGAATGGAGTATTTTGAAATCCAGAGCAGACAAAGAAATGTCTTATTTATTATTTATTTACCTTGTTTATACCCCGCCTTTCTCTACCGGGGGGGGGGGGGGGGGGGGGGGGACGGGACTCAAGGCAGCTTACAAATGGCATGTAGACAGTGCCTTGAAACATAAAAAATTAATCTAAAATGGTTTGGGTTAAAATTATTGCATAATAAGCATGATTAAAATACATTCAAGGTTAAAAACACACCATCCAGAGTTCAAGGTCTAAGGCCATTCCATGATCAATTGCACATAATTCCACATTAAGATTACTCCACTCCCCTATTTTTTGAAAGCCTACTCTCAGAGCCAGATTTTGACTCTCGTCCTTAAGTCTAGGTGGGAGGGGGCTAATCTGATGTCGCTAGGGAGGGAGTTCCACATCTGAGGGGCTATCACTGAGAAGGCCTTGCCTCTCGTCCCCACCAGTCACGCTTGCGAGGAAGGTGGGACTGAGAGCAGGGACTCTCTGCTTCCATGGAGATTAGGACAAGGAACAATGGCTTCAATCTACAAGAAAGGAGATTCCATCTGAACATGAGGAAGAACTTCCTGATTGTAAGAGCCGTTGAACTCTCTGCCCCGGAGTGTGGTGGAGGCTCCTTCTTTGGAAGCTTTTAAACAGGCTGGATGGCCATCTGTCAGGGGTGATTTGAATGCAATATTCCTGCTTCTTGGGAAGGATTGGACTGGATGGCCCACGAGGTCTCTTCCAACTCTTTGATTCTATGATCTTAGTCTCTGAGTTGGCTTGTAGGGGAAGATACATTTGGACAGGTAGACTGTGTTGGAACCATTTAGGCTTTATACGCTAAACCCCCCACTTTGAATTGTGCTCGGTAGCAGACTGGCAGCTAGTGGAGCTGACATAACGGGGTTTGTGTGCTTCTGGGAATCTTCAAAATCACAATCTTCTGGTTTTGGAGATGAAAAAGGGCTTCCTTGAGTATAAAACAAGGGCCAGAAAGTCCAAAATTGGCTATTCATGCTGCCAAGTAGTTTCTGGAAATACAGTTGACAGTTTCCTTGTGTGAGTGAGTGAAGTCCTCCCATGTCTTGGGAGACGCTGATACACGCAACTCTTCAAAATTACCTAGTCTGATCTACTGGTTCAGTTTTTGTATGTTAAAGTGGGAGATCATTGCCATAATTTTGTTTTCACACATCAGTGGGAAGAAGGCCTTGCATACAATTCCTGCTAATGTGTGCAAGTTATATGCTATTTTATTAAATAACTGTATTTTAATTAATAAAATTTTAAAACTTCAATCAGTCGAGCACCACATAAAGTAGGTAAAGAAAGCAACCTAACATGTTTTTAATGAGGAAGTTTACGCAATGTTTCCCTCAGTTTGGGGAGCCTTACCAATTCATGGAAATTGCCATTAATTTGAGATTCCAATTTATGTTCCAATAATTAAATGTTGTTGTTGTTGTTGTTATCTTCATTGTCTCTACTATTTTCACCATACATCCCAAGCAATAGGTTCTTTGCTGCTTCTGTTGTTTGACAAAAAGTATCAGATAATACTAAAATGCTAAATATAATTATATCAGAGCACTTTGGATAACATAACGTATATACTCTGGTATAAGTCGACCCGAATATAAGCTGAGGCACCTAATTTTACCACAGAAAACTGGGAAAACGAATGACTTGAGTATAAGCTGAGGGTGGGAAATGCAGATACCAATAAAATTAGATTAATAGAGGCATCAGTTGTTTAAATGGTTTCGAATATTTACATAAAACTGTCATTTAAGATAAGACTGTCCAACTCTGATTAAACCAATATTCTAACCTTCAATGTAAATGTAATAAATGTAATAATAGCAAGAAAAATAATAAATGTAATAATAATAGAGTAAAATAATAAGTGCAATAATAACAATAATAAATAGAGAAAAATAATAAATGTAATAATAATAAATAGAGTAAAATAATAAATGTAACAACAACAACAAGTAAAATAATAAATAACTTTGACTTGATTATAAGCTGAGGGAGCCTTTTGCAGCCTAAAAAAAAGCACTGAAAAGCTCAGCTTATACTCAAGGATGTGCAGTAAATGGTTCAAAGTAGGATTAGAAAGTTCTCAGTTAAAATCACACTTCAAGTTGAACTCACTAGATGATTTTAGGAAAGATACTCTTTTGTTACCATCATTGTTCATAGAAAGATAAACCTTTTAATCTTCCTGATTGGTGCTTGCTGATAATAGGATTGTATAATCTTTTGTTTGAATTACGATCATATAACATGATAGAGAGCTAATGTGGTTTAGTGGTCTGGCCGTTGGACTAAGACTCTGGAGACCAGCATTTGAATCCCCTCTAGGCCATGGTAACCCACTGGTTGACTATGGACAAGTCAGAAGAGCTCTCTTAGTCGCCTTCCACACATCTGTATAAAATCCACATTGAACTGGACTGTATGGCAGTGTGGACTCAGATAACCCAGTTCAAAGCAGATACTGTGGATTATCTGTCTTGATATTCAGGGTTATATAGCAGTGTGGAAGGGCCCTTAATCTCACTGGAAGATAAAATTAAAAAACACCTCTGAACAAATCTTGCCCAGAAAACTCGTGATAGATTCGCCTTAGAGTTGCCATAAGTGGGAAATGACTTGAAGGCACACAGACAACTACAACAAAATGCAGTTAGTTGAAAATGAAGGGCAGGTGCGTGCCGTTTCAGTTGAAGGGGTGGATTGGGGTGTGGGTTTGCTCACAAACAGAACATTGTAGTATTCTCAGACTATGTCTGAGTCCTTCTGTGTCTCATAGGACTTTTGTGTCTCTTCCATCTGTCTAGTTTTAGAAAGCTGGCTTGACTTCACTGGAGAATTGGAGCCACCCGATCCCCTCGCACGGCTGCCTCAGCTCAAGCGCCGGATCAAACAGCTCATCTCTGACATGGGAAAAGTTCAGCAGATAGCAACTCTTTGTTCAGTATGACAAAAGGAAGGATAGAGGAAAATACAAGTAGGCTCTTACCGCGAGTTTGTTATGATCCATGAAACTAATAAAAGGGTAATTTTTTTTAAAAAAAGAAGAAGCTTGAACCACCATCCCTTGCTCTGTGCTGATTGTACCATTATGCTGAAGATCAGAATTGGAAGGAAAGGAAATGTGAAAGTATCAAGGAAGAATCACACCAGTATGGAATGGATGCCTCCATTGTTTCTCCACTCAGTGGTCTAGACATCGGTGCAATGGATTTTTATTACATGTTTTCATAGGCAATACCAGAGGTGCAAACCTCAAAACTGATGCTTTTAGTCGGCTTAAAAACAATCTACGGAAGAAGGAATGAATTTGCGTTGTTGTCTCTAAGTGATGATAGCAGAAGGGAGAGATATGTACCCTCTGGTATCTTGAAGGATGGGGAAATCCAACAGATTGTCCGTTTCCCCTTGCGCAACAGATATTTCCAAGACAATGAGAAATACTGGCTTCAGTTTTGAAAAGTCATGTTTTCAGTCGTAGCATCTCTTTTAGGCAAAACCTGCTTTTCAGTGCTCTTGTGCTCCTTTTAGAAACTGAAGAAGGATAATGGTCCATCGTGCCAAATAATGCTTTCAAAACCTCTGTGAGTCAGTAGAAGGGTGCTTCTCCCTACTCCCCGACCCTCAGTCCCAACAGAGTCCTCTATAATTTACCAGCAAATGTCCCAGAAGTGTGTATAGTGTTTGTATTACCTGAACGACTGTCTTCAGGGGTTATGGCATCATTTTAAGTGACTTTGTCCTGAATATCTCTGGTTAGCATTAGCAATCTGAAATACTCATCATTCTCAGCTGGACTGAGAAACGACAGAAGCATCCCAAACACCTGCAGCTGGTAGTCCAATAAGGTCACTTCCATTGCCATCTTTAGACCCTTATAGGGATGGGAGGAAGGCAGGAAAAAAATGACAATATGGGGAGTCTTTTTTTGCAGGTCACTCCATGTTGGATGCCAGAAATCTTGGAATGGCTCAGCAGCAGCTGTTTAATTGTCCAAATGAATCTTTTCTGTTCTGTTTGAAACAACAAGTGATGAATGAGGAGAAGATCATTTTCTATCAGTCCAAATCTCTTTGTGTGTGTTTGCACGCTCATATGTGAAGAGGGGAAGGTAGCTGCTATTCTGAAATAGATATAATAAAAATCTTATCTTTTTAATGAGTTGGCAAAGCATTGTGAAACCAAAGTCAACCTAGTGGCCCTTTAAAAAAAAAGGTTTCTGGACAAAGTCTAGAGGCTTCATTTTATTTTTGTTGGCCTGCATTCTTGCACCCAGTGCTGCAATTTACACTTGGAGTCTGTATGTGTAAGAAGGCGAAGCACACATACTGCATTCCAGACACATATTTATATTGTCTAGTCTAGTTTTGTTACAATTGACTAAGGCCTTGGTGGTAAAAATGTTTAAAATGCTACCTTTAAACAAGCAATTTCTAAAAGAAAGCGAGAGAAAGTGAAAATAATGTATGTATAGGTTTTTGAATTTGTAAACAAAGATTTTTAAAAATATATATTAGCTGTTCAAAAGAGGTGTGACTAGTGATAAGCACGATACTTGACCTCTAAGCCTCCTTGACTGCTTCAGTGCTGTGATCCATACAAAAAGCATCAGAGAACTATGTGATGGAAAGGAAACTTGAAGCTCCCCTTGGATAAGAATACAAGCCACTGTACATTATGAATTGTATTTAAATTTGCAGATACACTGTTCTATATGTAAGGTACTGTATGTAAAGCTGTTTATTAAACTATTCTGCATACTCTGTATTCTTGTTTCTCTGTTTGGAGAATTCAGTTTCGTCTGGATCGCTTGGTGCCTTTCAGAATGTTGAAAAATGAACCATTTTATTGCGGGCTTTTAAGATCGATGCCTAGTAAATTAGTCCATTTTTCAGCTGGGATTAGGGCTACCTACTAGGTTGGTGCATAATTTCGGATTAGATCAGAACTTGTATCTGATTCATTAAATTTGGGAACACGAAGGTGAGTTCCAAGGCATGCAGGAAAGGTTGGGGGGGGGGGGATTTAGAATTTCAATCACTTACCCATTTTTTTTTTGTAAATGTTGTGTAAAATTCGTATATCTCCCAAGGTCAGTATAATTTTCACTATAACCATTTGGTAAGCTGCTTTTAAAATCATTTAAAATTTCAATCCTTTGGCCCCATCTTTGCTGGTGCTGCCATAAGGGAGGTGCTGTTGGCGTGACTAATCACAGCCAGATAAACTATAGTTTGGGAAGGCCAGGCCCCCAATGGTAGAGACTGGAAAAGGTCCTGCCTTAAACTACATTTCCCAGTATGCCTCGGAAGGAGAATGCACCAGTCAGGAGAGGAAAGAGAAAATTATTTCTCCCCCGAAACATTTCATTTTTCTGAAAACTTTTTTTAAAAAACCCTTCAATCGGTAGATGTATTAGTATTTCTGAAAGTTGGGGGGAATGATCCCGTTATCATGTGTCATTGGATAGAAAATTCAAGGAGATAGCTCTTGTAGTTTTTTTAATGTTGTTTATAAAACTTTGCCAAAAATCCACGGAGAGGTCAAATATTCTGAAATTTGGTGGGCTAATAGTGGTAAATGTGTTCTATTACTGTAGCAATTTTCATCAGGATAGCTCAAAAATGAGGAAGAGAGGAACCCCGGAAGTTTTCCCACTGCCAGTGATTTCCCTGTTTCGCAGTCATGACTGCCATTAACAAAATACTTATGAATATTTGTAAGTTTCATTAGAGTTCCAAAACTTTTCCCCCCAACATTTGGAAAGATCTTTAGAAACAAAGTGCCAGCACCCCCTACTTTTGAACAAAGTTTAGAACCATTTTATTATGGATTGCACATGCCTACTACCTACATGTGGGACAGTTGCTCTACCAGAACACAAAGAGTTTTCAGAAACATCAGTCCTTGGGGAGCTTTATTAAAAAAGGAATAAAATATTTATTTATTATTTCTCTACATCATTTTTACCCCGCCAATATCAGCCCAAGGGTGACTCAGGGCGTCATAAATAAGCTTTACTAGTAATGGCATCCTTGAAGTGACTGGACTGACCTTGAAGGAGCTGGGGGTGGTGACGGCCGACAGGGAGCTCTGGCGTGGACTGGTCCATGAGGTCACGAAGAGTCGGAGATGACTGAACGAATGAACAACAGTAATGTGTATGGAGAAATGAGTGTATATTTGAATCAGTTTCCATGCAATATACAGATGTTTGCATACCCTATTGATTTTAAAGAGATACTTTGCTCCATTCATCTGTGTTAAGGTCATCTCTTGTCATTGTCCTATGTGGTCAAATTCTTGAATTTTGTCATATTATCCACCCCAGGCTGCCATACTTGGATGGGCTGCAGAACTTCTCAGCGAACCAATGTATTTACACAGCAATGCCTCAGCTTCTCTGCATGCCATGCTCGTTTTTTATTTCTATGGCGACTTGTATTTATATACTGCCAGTATAAAAATTGTGAGAACAAATGTAAAAAATCACAACAATGAAATGGAGCAGTGGATTGATAGAATGGACAGTACTTTAGGACAGGGATGGACGTCATGATGGTGTTCCAAGTGTTAGATTGCAGCTCCCAACAGCCCTAGCTAGCAGAGCCAAGGGTAAGAAACTTTACAAATTGGAGTTCTACAGTCCAGAAAGCTACAAGGTTAGCATCTCATTCAGCCCAACTTTAGGTTACACAAACCAAAGTTTATGGGCACCTTGATTTGTTGAAGCTTTCCTTGTGTGATCTTCATTTTAATGGGACTGTGAAAGAGGGACTATTGCTTGTACATCACATAGTTTCTAAAGAGGGTGAACTACAACATATAACATTTCTCAACAAACTATTGCAAATCCATGTTATCAGGTGGTTACATGTTCACCATTAGAAATAACCCATAGGTGAAATCAGTGGACAATATGCAGCCATCTTCTTTGGGTCTTTTCTCTGACAAAATGAGGATGGTTAATTGTCTCTCCTGGAAGTATCAAGGAGTGGCTATTGCCAGTTTAAATTGCTTGTAGGGTTTCTTGATTTGTAGGGTAACCCCATCACATGGCTAAACATATACAGTACCTCCCTCGTTTTTCGAAACCAACCATGGACGTCTGGCCCATTTTCCTCTTGTTTTTGATAAGCCATGTGGTTTCTAGAGAGAGTTCTGGAGACCCTAGACCCATGAAGGCTGTCCACTCCTTGCATATACTGTCATAAAGAAAGACTGCAGTCCAATAGTAAATCACCACCCTTGCATATGAAAAACCTCAGTTTCAGTTTCTGGTAAGTCAAGGAAAACATCCTGAAACTGTGAAGAGTTCCTGCTACAAAGGGCTAAGTTTGACCATTTTTTTTTTACCTCATCGTATGCTAGCTTCTTCAAGCCATGAAAACAATTGTCTACAGTGCAGGTAAAGTTCCTAGATTCCAGGACCTGACGTTTGGTTTTAGAATATGTCTCTTCTAGCCTAGGGTTGAAGAGGAGGGATCTCAGAGTGAAAGCAAACAGAAATGTATGTGTATTAAATTTGTCATAACGTCATCAGAGGTCATCTCTTGGTGTCAGATTTAATTTTGATAACTGAGGACCTCCAATGGTACTAACCTCACATTTCCCAGGAACAGATGGGAAATCATCATTACCATCAAGACCACGTTGACCAGCTGAAAATCAGTCTGCATTTTCTTAGGATGTGCTTGCTTCTTGCTGTCTGAATAAGAAACCTTTAATTGTAGAAGTACTGTTCAGTGGTATAAACAACCATATTGGAGCAAGAGGTAAAGTTTAAATGGTCCTACGGTACTTGGAACTCTGTTGACCCATCCCCAAGTGAGCTTTAAAAAGTTGTATATACCATATTGGAAAGACGGTATGGGGTTTAGTGGTTAGATCATTGGACTGTGACTTTGGATCCTGGTTCAGCTATAGAAACCCTTGGGTTACAATGGTCAGGAGCCCCCGGTGGTGCAGCGGGTTAAACCCCTGTGCTGGCAGGACTGAAGACCGACAGGTCGCAGGTTCAAATCCGGGGAGAGGTGGATGAGCTCTCTCTATCAGCTCCAGCTCCTCATGCGTGGACATGAGAGAAGCCTCCCACAAGGATGATAAAAACATAAAATCATTTGGGCGTCCCCTGGGCAACATCCTTGCAGACAGCCAATTCTCTCACACCAGAAGTGACTTGCAGTTTCTCAAGTCACTCCTGACACAACAACAACAACAACAACAACAAAACCAAATCCTTGGTCAACCCTCACTTTCTCAGCCTTAGAGGAAGGGAAACCACCTTTGAACAAATCTTATCATGAAAAAAAAAACATGTTAGGTTCATCACATGAATCAGAAATGTCAAAGACACACAACTGCTAGAACATTATTGTTCTAAGTTACTGGAATCATGTTCCTGCATCCTGATATATAGCCTAAAATAGTGTGAAGGCAATGGATTACATTTGCTCATGAAGACTAAGCAGGGTCAGGCTTGGAACGAGGGTCAACCAAGGAATAGCATTTAGGAGTACTCCTAGCTTAAGAACACTTTATGGAATTCATGAACTTGTCATAAGTCAACAGGTGCTTGAAGGCACACATTGATATACATTCATGCATGTGACAGTGAATCAGCAAATCTGGATTTCCTGAAGACTTGTCATCTTTGTTTCTTTGTTGATTCAGTTCAGCCCTGGAACTTCAGCATGTTTCACACTCAATTCTTCTTTGGTGCTGCCTCCATAAGTAGTTAGATAATAGCCATCCCACTTGGAGGACAGTGAGGAGAAAAATGGTGGAAAAAAACCCCAAAACAATGGTGACTTGCTAGGAAACGAAATCTGCGTCATTCAGCCCCTTCACTGCCCAGTCTTCCATTTCAGGAGTCAAGGTATTCAAGTGGCAGCAGCTATAAAAACCTGTTGTGTGTCAGCAGTGATTCTGCAGGTCAGAAACCCCTTTACTTGGTAAGGGGACCAGTCTCCCTGCATCCCATCATGGGTCCCTTACTTTTCAACACCTTGCTTTACTTTCTGAAGATAGCATCCGCCAACATCTTTGGTAAGTGAATCTATTCCATTATTTAGAATATCGGTCTTTGCGATGTGATGGCAGATATGGGAGGAAATCAAATCAGTCATTCAGTGGCAGTATAACAGTTTAAGGTAACTTGTAAAACAGGTATAATCTAAAATATATGGGAGGGAATCTAATTCACTCTCTGGATTGTCCTGAAATGAGCAGTTTGATAAAGCAGATGATAAGTCATTGGACCTAGCTCTAATCAAAATTGCACAGTATTTAGGAATGAATGGCTTAGGACAATGGAAAACATATATCATGGGTGTCACCATTTCCCATTTACTCTTTCACCTATAGCTGGCTTGGAGACTCTGGCATCTTTCCCAAATGCTTGCAGACCAGTGTTTGATGGTGAAGAATATTAGGCTTATGGCATTTGTTGTTCATTCGTTCAGTCATTTCTGACTCTTCATGACTTCATGGACTAGCCCACGCCAAAGCTCCCTGTCTGCTGTCATCACCCCCAGCTCCTTCAAGGTCAATCCAGTCACTTCAAGGATCCCATCCATCCATCTTGCCCTTGGTCGGCCCCTCTTCCTTTTTCCTTCCATTTTCCCCAGCATCATTGTCTTCTCTAAGCTTTTCTTTCTTCTCATGATGTGGCAAAAGTACTTCATCTTGGCCTCTACTATCCTTCCCTCCAATTAGCAGTCAGGCTTTATTTCCTGAAATATGGACTGGTTGGATCTTCTCACATTGGAGACTGCTAAATAGTTGACACACGGTGTTTGTGTGTCTTTAAGTGTGAAGTAGGGAGTGATTTCAAACTGCAATAATTGCCGATTTTCCAGAGTAGGTTTCCATATTTGAATGTAGAAAACAAGTAAGCTAGGTTAAACATCTCAATTAAGACAAGGGACTTGCATTAAAGATCATTCTAGCTGGAGTGTAACTGCTTCGTTTCATGCTTTCCAGCATTACACACAGGAGGGAAGAGGGAGGTGGATAGATTAGTAGGGATATTTTAACAGCAGGAGAAAAGGTGGAATGAAAGAAGAGCATTTGAGGTTGTCCTATATACTCAATAGATTGCAATCAGGAGAGAAAAGGGAGAAAACCATAAGTGTCATGCAGGATCACACCACAGACCTGTATCATTCAGAATTATGGGAAGTCCATACATAGGATGTGCATGTAATCACGCCTTCCAGCTTGTGCCTCCCTAGAACTGACTCATCAAGGTTTATTGCCCCCAAAAGTGGACAAAATTTATATCAATGTATACCAAACATAATTAGTAACCACTGATATTCTCTAATATCTGTAGAGTCAATCCAAATAGATATGGATGTTAAGTAATTGGAATGATTATATGTACGATCGAGTGTTGTTAGACATTACGGGAATTATGACTAACCATTTAACAAGAACGAACAATCAGAACATTACTGGAATTATGACTAACCATGTAACAAGAATGAACAAACAGAAGGACATTACAAATAGATGGAAAGTCTACTTCAAGTGGGTGAAAAATGGAGTAGCCAACAATAACAAATACAAAGACTTTACCAGTGGCTGGATCTGCAAGATTAGTAGAAATATACTGTGGTTGAGGAGGGAGGGAGGGAGGGAGGGAGGGAGGGAAAAATATAGGAAAATTTGAAAGATAAATGTTAAAGAAAGGGAAGTACTATTGTGATGATTATGATTATAAAATTCAATAAAAAATTAATAAAAATTAGAGTCAGTCCTCCACATGTGCGAATTTAACTTTTGTGGATGTGATTATTCATAGTTTGATTAATATGTTCTGTCAAGGAACCTCTGACTCCTCCAGCATGACTTTACGGTGGAAGCTGATCAGAGGACCTAGAAGTTCCTTGAGACAACACTTCCCTAGACACTTGTAGGCCCTCAAACATGTGGTCAGCTTCCTGCGGACTCACACCGGAGGACTTGGAGATTGTCATCTGCCGCCAAGATTAATATGCGGCGTTCCCCCTCCGCATATTAATCTTGGCGGCATATTAATCTTGGTCTATGCCTTAAATTTCATAAATTAGTTTTCTCTTGGGTTTCTAAGGTGCCCTAACCCCAAATGAAAGTAAGTGACTGCCCTGCTGCATGTGGTTGAGAAGATCCCTTAAAATAACAGTTCTCTTTCATGGTATTTAGAGTACCAGGCAGAAACCCAGCCTCTTCGACCTTGTGAACTTCAGAGGGAGAAAGCCTTTCAAGGAGGAGAAGACTATGTTCCACAGTGCTCAACAGAAGGACATTTCAGGTAATGTTCTTGTAGACAAGCAGATGATGAATATTCCTCCAATCACTCAGCCCTCCCTGCAAGTTCCCCAATGTTTCAGTGCAGAACATCTCAGTTTTTTTGCTTGCTCATAATGTAATCTGGGATCATCTGGATGCAGAGCATGTGTACAACCATTGGGCTATGTTCTCTACTTAGTATGGTTTCCACACTCCACTTGCAAGGCACCCACTATGACTGATGGAAAAGGGAGCATCTACACTGTAGAATTAATGCAGTTTGGCACCACTTTAACTGCTTTGACTCAATGCTCTGGCAACATGGGAGTTATGATTTGGTGAGGCACTGACACTATTTGGCAGACAAGGCGAAAAGCTTGTGAAACTACAACTCTCTAGATTCCATAGCGCTGAGACATGGCAATTAAAGTTATACCAAACTGCATTAATTGTACAATGCAGATGTATGTTAAGTCCTGGGATAGTTGAAAGAATAATACCTTTTTGGAATGTTGTTGGTTATCTCACATTAATGTCAACATAGGAAAAAATCCCTGCAAGTAAAAACACAACTCTTAGCATAATACAAAGAACCAATTTATTTTAACCTGATCCTTACTGGATAATATTATGCTTGCTGGGAGTCTTATGATTTCCCTTCAAAAATGTAATTTCTTACATTTGTATTTAAAAGTGATACAGGCAGTACCACTTCAGGACAGCTACACAAAATCCTGCCTCACTGTGCTGGCTGCGTATCTCAGCCTTTCTCAGATTTCCTCATAGGCAGTAGGGTTATGGCACTTTTAACATAGGCTTAGGCCAAGAGTGAGGAGACTTTTTTTTTTTTTTTAGCATGGGAGAGATTCAGTTATTAGAGACATCCTTGGGAGCTACATTTCTATAATGGTCAGAGTGAAGAGTTCACCTTAAAGCTCTTATTCTTGGCCATAAACCCTTAGGAGAGTCTGTACAAAATTGGGAAAGTGCCAAATAATGGTGTTAGTGGGGAATTGAGATAATGGAAAAGTTAAGAATGACAGAATTATATCCTATGGATGGTGATTCCCCAACATAGTCTTAGATCCAGCATGGGCAAACTAAGGCCCGGGAGGTGGATGTGGCCCCCTGGGCACCTACCTCAGACTCTCCTCATTTTCCCTGTCCTCTTGGCATAAGGACACACAGCAGCAGAGGGACCTCCAGAGCACACTCAGCCACAGCTTGTCAGTGGAGGAGGATGGGAAGGAGGATTGGGGCAGTTGCCATGTATCCCGCCTTACTCCCCACATAAGGATGGGATGAGCAGCCCCATCCTTATTCCGGGAGGACAACCTGATGATGACCCAGGCCCTGCCCTGCTCCCTCCTCATCCTGTCTTTTCCCAGGCCCTCCCCATTCAGCATGTGCCCAACTGGCCTCCCTCCTGGCCCGGCCCTCCATTGCGGCCCCAAGGCAAAAAAGTTTGCCCATTCCTGTCTTAGATGGTCGACAACTTTGGAAAGTGGGTTGCTGTATTTTTTTCGGACTGTATGGCCATGTTCCAGAAGCATTCTCTCCTGACTTTTCACCTGCATCTATGGGAGGCATCCTCAGAGGTTGTGAGGTCTGGAAAGTGTTTTGGAAAGTGTTCATATTCCTTAGGAATATGGATAGTAACAAAACATAACTCAAATGGATTGCTATATGTGCCTAGTCATGCTGTGGATTTCTGTCTTGACTTTTAGGAATGTACAGTGCAATAAGAAGACTGACATTTGCTGGTGTGTAGATGACAAAGGAGCTGAGGTTGCAGGAACCAAGCAGACGGGATCTCCTACTGCTTGTAAGTCAACCACATTTCCATTTTTATAGTTCTGAAGGCAAATCATCCAGTATGGCATTTCTCAGTGTGTGTGTAGATCATATTTGGAGAAAGAAGTAAATGGGGCCATAATCAAGTTGGGCATGGTTAGATATCTACTTTTGCTAAGACTGAAGATCAGAGCTTGGAAAGGTTTTCCTTCCTCCCTTCCTTCCTTGTTCGATTGCTTGGTTCCTTCCAGAACTACTTGACAGCTTGTGGAAAAAGTAACCTCTTCCACATCATGATCCATCAACAGTTCTCTGTCTCCTTTCAATGGCTCTCCTCAAATTGCTGTTTATTTATTTGCACCGTGGCTACTGCTATCAACTGCTCACTTACCTTCCTGCTAGCTTTCTCTCTCTGGAACTTCTTGGCAACAGAAGAGAAGGAAATCTAGCTGCAGCAACCAACAGCTATGGCAGCAAGGAGCCTTCATGGATGGCTGATCTAAAAGCTGGAGCCAAAAGTATAACCAATAATTTCCTCTGGGAAGAAAAACCTGACCGTTGCTAATGTAAGGTTTTTAACATGTCCTGGTATCAATTTAATAGCATTTCTCCAAACCCTGCCTGCATTTACCATACCCTTTAACCATAAATGAAAACTGGGACAGAGATCATCAGAGAAAGATGACCAAAATGGTAAAAGATCTGAAAGACTGCCATATGAGAAAAGCCTTAGGGAGTTAGTTACGCTTAATTTGGAGAAGGGAAGGTTAAGATAGGCTATGATGGGTATGTTGAACTATTTGAAATATCAGATTGAGGAAGGAGCACACTTATCTCTGCTGTTCCAGAAACCAAGACACAGATCAATCGATCCAAATTACAGGAAAAGAGATTCCACCTAAACATTAGGAAGAATTTCCTGAGACTAAGAGCTGTTTGACTTCTTTGGTGTGTGGTAGGGACTCCTTCTTTGAAGATTTTTAAACAGAGTGCTTTGACTGTATTTCTACATGGCAGAATGGGGATGGATTGTATGTCGCTTGTGGTCACTTCCAACCCTATGATTTTATGATTTCTAGGTGGGCATTGATTTCTGAAAGCATGAAAATTCTTATTCTGGAATCTTCTTATGTCTGCCACAGGTTTATCCTTCTGCCAGCTACAGAAGCAGCGAATCCTGGTCAGCCGCTACATCAATAGCAGCCTCACTTCCTACATCCCTCAGTGCCTGGATTCTGGTGCTTTTGACACAATCCAGTGTGATGTACGCTTGGAACAGTGCTGGTGTGTGGATGTTGAAGGCATGGAGATCTATGGTACAAGACAGAAAGGGAAACCAAGACGATGTAAGTTGTGCTGCGTTAAAAGAGAATTATATACTGAAACCGTAACAGCTTCCTTTCTGGGTCTTCCCAACCACATTCAATTCATTGTGTTCATTCATGTTCTGGTCACTACACTTTCTCTTTACCAATACATCAAAATTCCCAGGTATCTTGTGCTCCCACATAGCCAGGTAGGCAAGTGAATATAAACACGGATCTAATTGTTGTAGTTCAGTCTGTGACTGTGATTGATGTTCATGATGGAAATGGGGGTGAACACTTTCTCTGGGCCCGGGTCAGTTGGGAACTGGGCTGGAACTGAGTTAAGCCCAGATGAGAGGTCCGAGGTGTTTCATGAAGATTCACAAAGTCACATTCCTGGGAGAGGCCCTCAACAGTCTTTCTCTGAGAAACTGTCTTCTGAAGATGAATTGTCAGGTGTAGAAGTTCATGAGAGTGAAGATAAAAAGCAAGTCCTTTGTAAACAGAAGCACAATTCACAGGCGAAAACGAGTCCTTTGTATTGTCTGCAGGAAAATAGAGATAAGAAACCTTTATCTGGTTGTAAGGGTCAGAGAAATGCTTTCCTTTCAATTCTGGGGTCAGGAAAAGCTTCATATTGATACAAGGGGGAGAGCTACCTCAGTCTCAGCAATGTTGAAATTTCATGACGGTCTTGTTTCCAAGTGCTCCTAGTTTCATGTACCAAGTTTTGTCAGACTCCTGATCTATGTATTGGATTTTCATGCTGCCTTGTTCTATGGATTTTGTACCTTGAATCTTGTGTTTTATCTTGTGCCTTGAAGCTCATGGACTATTTTTTATCTTGGAACTATACTATTTTTACCATTTTTACTGCATTGCTGATTTTTCCAAGCTGGTGTGGTGTTTAAGGTCAGAGGTGTTCCTGCTCTGGTGTGCAACAATAATGTCTTTACCCATTAGGCCCTGGGAAATGTGAAATCCGAGATCGGCGCATTCTGCACGGTGTGGGAGAAAAGAGCCCACCCCAGTGCTCAGATGATGGGGAATTTTTGCCTGTTCAGTGCAAGTTCATCAACACTACAGACCGGATGGTCTTTGATCTTGTTCATCATTTCAACAGGTACGGAGAACATTCTCAATAGAGTGTGTCTGGATCCCTTGGCCATAAATAGGATGATGCTAAACGGGACATATTTTCTCATATTATTTTATATTTAACTTGCAGTTGATTCTATTGCTAACAATAGATGAGATTCATATAGGGTGTCATTTGAACCCTTGTGGTTTCTCTGTGACTCGACAGAAGTGATGGCAAAGTCATTCAATACTGAGTTCTATTGAGTATCTCTGAATTGTACCTTTTTCTTTCTATTCTTTGGTTGTGGGTTGTGGCACTGGGTATATCTGCACTGCAGTATTAATGCAATTTGAGACACTTTAACTGCTATGGCTTAATACTATGAAATTTTGGGATTTGTGGTATGATGAAAAGCTTTCACAATCAGGAAGTTCTTCCTCATGTTCAGGTGGAATCTCCTTTCTTGTATTTTGAAGCCATTCTTCTGCCTCCTAGTCTCCAGGGCAGCAGAAAACAAGATTTTTTTAATGTTAAGATATATTTTCCCCACCATATAAACATCTTTAAAAATGGGGTGCATTTTACAATTGCGGGTGCTATATATAGATATATCTGTTGGTGCTACACAAATTACAATCAATGACATCTTATAATCGAAAAAATATGGTATTTCTATACACATATACAGAAATGTAGGAAATATTGATCATTGCCACCAGAGGGCAGGATAGTATTGATACCTCTGTGCCTAGTGAAAATATTTCTCCAGTCAATAGACTCCAATCCAAACATAGAACAACGTTGATTGCTCTTTTCCTTCTGTTATTCTGCCTTTTCAACATAATACTGACCCTTTGGAGGTCAGTATTATGGATACTGTATTTTGGCTGGTCCAAAGAGTCATAGAATCATAGAATCAAAGAGTTGGAAGAGACCTCATGGGCCATCCAGTCCAACCCCCTGTCAAGAAGCAGGAATATTGCATTCAAATCACCCCTGACAGATTGCCATCCAGCCTCTGTTTAAAAGCTTCCAAAGAAGGAGCCTCCACCACACTCCAGGGCAGAGAGTTCCACTGCTGAACGACTCTCACAGTCAGGAAGTTCTTCCTCATGTTCAGATGGAGTCTTGTGCATGTTGCCGGCACTGTGTATATATGTCCCTTCATGCCACTTCTAATTAACCATGGGAATACATGGGATCAAGTGACTTAACTTGACATATTGCTGCCTTTCCCATGCCAAACCAATTCATCTCAGTGCCTCTGGAGAGTTTAAAGGTTAGGCAAAGAATGACTCCCCTAGAAATGTTGAGACAATGCCACCAGTTAATCAGAGGTCCTAATGGATTAATTTCCCTTTTAGATTCCCGGATGTCTTTCGAACATTTAGTTCTTTCAGGAGTGTCTTTCCAGAAATCTCTGGCTACTGTTACTGTGCAGACAGTCTAGGGCGGGAACAAGAAGATACAGGTTGGTACTCCTGTAATATGCTATCCCTTCTATCCTATAGTATCTATCCTTTGCACAAGTCTTTAGATATAAAAAATCTTTTTATTTTGGTGAAAAGCTTGGAAGAAGAGAGAACTGTGTTTTTCATTTTCCTTTCCAGGTCTGGAAATGCTGCTTGAGAATGTTTACGACACAGTTTTTGCATCACTGGAGCAGGTCCCTACTTTTAGCGAAACTACGATGTATAGGATCTTGCAGAGACGTTTTCTGGGAGTACAGCTGGCTACAACTGGACGATTCAGATGTATGTGGGCTAATGTTTTGGAGGGCTAGAAAGCATGATAAGATTCAAGGCTGGTCCAAGACTTTTTTGTCACCTAAGGTGGAGGACAAGATACCCTGTGCCTATCCCTTGTACAAAAGCCAGTTGAATAGTTCATTGCCTTCAACATTGAGTGTCATGCAAAGCCGGACCTCTACTATAGGCATAATAATAAAAGCATAAAATCTTAGAGTTGGGCAGGACCCCATGGGCCACCTTTATAACAGCAGCATTTCTTAGGGGACACTTCCATTCTCTATTGGCTTCATTATACAAATTAATTAAGGCAAGTGTTCTGTCGCCACTGGGCCTGTATTTGGTTGGCTTTAAATATAGGATGTGTAACCTTTGCCCAGAGGGAAGCCAGGGTCCTAAGGAGGAGTTCTCAGAGGTTTCCGCTACAAAAGAGTCTTGATATGGCTTGAAAAAATACAACAAAGTCTTTTATTAATGAATCAAACAAACAGGTACTTCAAAGCTTTCTTGATAAAGAATTAGTTCTCTCAATCTTGCCCACAGGGGACAGGCACTATCTTCAATAACTTTCTCTAAAGGAAAATTCCACTTTTTTAACTTCTCCCAAGGCTGACTAAAATCCAACCCTCACTGGTGTGGGTTCCGCTGCCAGGCCGAACTGCTTCTCGAGCGCTAAAAGGACCTACCATCAAGGCAATGGATGTTCTCCAGTTGGAGTTCTTTAGACCTTAAGGTTGTCTTCCTGGAAACTCTTAAGGCTGTGGAAGGCTTCCCTGGAGTTCTTAGGAGACTCTTAAAGCTGTTCTACCCTGGAGATTCTGTTAGAGTTTCTGTGACCCTGGAATTCTTAAAGGTTGAAGCCTTTGTACAGGGGAAGCAACACACATCCTATACATTGGCTAACCTGGCTGAAACTAACTAACAAAATGGCTCACTTCCCTTCCAAAGCCCAAAAAGGGAGCGGGATTAGGGAACCTAACGATAATTGACAGGTGGCTTGCCCTATGATTGCAGCCAAAAGAAGCCACCTATCTGCAGAGCCCCTGAAACTTAGAACTACAACAAACATTCAATGCAAAGCAAACAAAATTGGAGCTCCTGGTACAGCTGTACCTGCACAGCAAGTATTCACATTGACGAATAGTAGGGCCTGAACAAATAGCATGGATGAGATAGAAAGTTTTGTGGGAAATTTACTTTCAGAGCAAAGGGGCTGCAGAGATTACTTGAAACTTTCCACTTGTTTAAGATTTGCTCCTGATGCTGACAGGATCAAGATTCCAGGCTCAGAAAATGAGACCCAATAGTCTCTCTTTTCCAGAATCATTGAAGAAAAATCCATAAGAAAGCTTGTAGCACCCAAACTTTAGAACTAGCTCCATTTAATTTCAGTGTAGAAATGTAAATCTTCACCAAGTTTCTTCTGTCTAGATCAGTGCTTCTCAACCTGTGGGTACCCAGATGTTTTGGCCTTCAGCTCTCAGAAATCCTAACAGCTGGTAAACTGGTTAGGATTTCTGGGAGTTGTAGGCCAAAACACCTGGGGACCCACAGGTTGAGAACCACTATTCTAGAAGAAAGAAGACAAATAATTTTTGTTATCTAGAACTTATTCTGTGCAAGATTGATTACCTTTAAAGCTCTAAATGGCTTGGATCCAGGCTCCAATCACATCTCCAATCGCAACCAGCCCAGACATGGCTGGTGGGAATGAGATATTGGGCCTTCTCCATGGTCACCCCCCCCCCACCTCTGGAAGTCTCTCCCTAAAGATATAGCTGCCCCCCCCCTCTCCTTTAAAACTGAAGACCTGTCGAAGGCTTTCATGGCCAGAATCAGTGGGTTGTTGAAGGTTTTTTTCAGGCTATATGGTCATGTTCTAGAGCCATTCTCTCCTGACGTTTCGCCTGCATCTATGGCAAGCATCCAACTGAAGATCTACTTCTGCTCACTAGCATATGGAGAGGAGGAGAAATAGATGGTTGAGAGATCACTGCCGGGCCTCTGGTTGAGAACTATTTTATTATTATTATTATTATTATTATTATTATTATTATTATTATTATATGTAGTTGATTTGTACAGGAAACTGAATTTTCTCAATAAAAGTACATTTCAACATAGAAAAAATGATTCCTGTGCAGAAAATGCTATTTTCTATGTAAATCAACTATGTGTGAATATAATGCGGAATAATCCCCAAAGTGCAAAGATTTTTGTAAGTCCAGGAGTCTTCTTGTTCACTTTCCCAACACTTAAAAAACATTTTTGAATATTTTTCCCTCTATAGTTCAGTGGCCCCATGGCAGATGGCCAGCCTCCATCCATGAATGGCTCAGGTGGTAAAAACTGTGAATAGGATTTTATATTTAAATGCAGATTGGTGTCACTGTATTGACAATAGCCACTATTATAAGAAGCTGAATGTAGGTGGAAAAAATTATCTGGCAAATAAATTGATAGGTTGTAAAGATATGTGTGCTTAATTGGAATGCCTCCAAGTATGTGGAACAAGGTGTATGCAAGTGTTTGTCAATACAGTATTGGTGCTTGGTGACAGATATATAGTAAACACAAATATATGGTAAACACATTCACTTGCTAGTCCCAACTGGAATTCTATGCTGTAAGACCACTACTATACATTAACTAAGCACTGCAAAACTCTAAGAGTGTCACTAAGATATTAGAAGATCCTCTCCTGGCACATTCTCTAGTTGTAATGCTAACATAAAAGTGTGCATGAAAACCATTTTCTTTATCTCAAAGTTTGACTTACATTTCTGCTCTAGGCCCAACCAAGTGTGAAAAAGAAAGATTCACTGCCATTCGTTTTGAAGAGAATTATAGGCCATTATGTGATGACACAGGAGCCTATGAGCCAACACAGTGTCAACTGGATGGAGAGTGTTGGTGTGTGGACACTGAAGGACAGGAGCTCCCTGTAACACGAAGTAAAGGGCAGCGTCCAGCCTGTGGTATGTAAAACCAATCATAGAATTGATCCATGGAGCCATTAGAACTATAATCCAGCCCCAAGAGAGCCATGCACAAGTCATTATTTTCTTGAAGATGTCTAAGAATTGCTCTGGACAATTTATCCAAGCACTTTTTTGTTTTTGTTTAGGTGAACAACGTAGTTGTGTTGTTGAGAGACAACAGTCTCTGTCCAGGCTCTTTTATGGCCCCATTGGACATTTCAGTCAACAGAGTTTCTTCTCTACTGTCCAAGATTCACAAAATACAGCTGTGTCCTCAAGATCTTGTCCTCCTTCATTCAAGGAGCTATTTGTGGATTCTGGACTGCTCTCTTCCATCCTAGAAAATCCAAGTTCTCAAATCATCACTTTTGAATCCATCCTTACTGAAGCAATTGGAGGGATGTTTCCTTCAAGAGAGCTCGCCCAGGTTGCTCTTCAGTTCACCAGCAACCCTAAGCGTTTCCAGGAAAATCTTTTTGGAGGAAAGTTTCTGAAGAACCTCATCCAGTTTAACTTCACAGGAGCCATTGGCCCTAATGGCAAGTTTAATTTGGATCAGTATTTTCAGAAGATATTAGAGATGAGAGGTGGTTTTTTTGAACTTGCTGAACTACTTTCCCTGGAAGAACCACAGAAGAAGTTCAATCTGAGCCAGACTCTTGTAGACAGTTTTGGCCGCTCTGTCAACTTGCAGGACAATCAAAACACAGTCAGGTTTCTATCTTCCCTCCTTGAAGCCCCAGCATTTTTCACATTTCTGCAACATTTGATTTCTGTTCCAGAAAGTATTGCCCAAGATTTAGGTGAAGTTGCAAGCCTAGTGCTGAAATCCAAAGGTTGCACAGAGCAGACCAAGGATTTGTTTGTCCCAGCTTGCACAGAAGAAGGAAAATACAAGGAAATGCAATGTTATGCAGGGGATTGCTGGTGTGTGGACCCGAGTGGCAAAGAAATCCCTGGGACCAAAGTACGTGGGACACAGTTGAGGTGCCCAACAACCTGTGAAAAAGAAAGGGCAAGTCTACAGCAGTTGAAAAATAGCCAGCCAGCAGGCTTTAAACTGTTTGTACCCTCATGTACTCAAGAAGGACAGTTCTTGCCACTTCAGTGCCATGGAAAGAATTGTTTCTGTGTCAATTCAGAAGGCAGGACTATTCCAGGAAAAGATACCAACACTGGAGGTCCCGTACAGTGTAAGTTTTATCAATACTTTTCCTTTTATCTTCCTTTTTTGTTTTGTGATAATGGTATAACTTGAATCAGTAAAGGGAGGTCATAAAAGAATCCAGTTAAGCCATCACTTCCATGAAATGTTATTTTCTCCTTTGGCACATTTATTTATTTTATTTATTTACAGTATTTAATAGGCATGGTTAGGTACTGTCGGAATCTTCGTAATTCAGAATAATTTTGGAAGAATTACCTTTTCAAAGTGATTTTGAAATTTTCAAGAAATCCAGAAGTCCGTTTGCCCTTCTGAAGCTTTTTCCTCCATTCTTGTTATGACTCATGAAGTGAGTCAGAAATTATTCAGTTTTTCCCTGCTTCTTGTCCCTGGCCTCGCTGAAGCCAGAGAAGCCAGTTTTAAACCAGAGAAGAAAATAATTTACTCCACTTACTTTTCCCACTTCTGGTCCCTGGCCTCGGCTCAAGCCAGAGAAGCCAGTTTTAAACTAGAAAAGGAAAGAATTTCCTCCTCTTGCTTTTCCCCGCTTCTGGAGTAAAACAACACTTTCAACAGGAAGTAACACTTTCAACCCATTAATGAAAGGATTCAGAAGTCTTGGAAGTTTCAAAAAGTTTTGAACATTTGTTTTCTGTGAAAATCAGAATTGACTTTAGAACTGAACCACCATCTGAAACCAGTTTTGAACCATTTTTTAAAAATCAAACAAGTCTAGTATTTATATTCTGCCATTCTTACTCCGAAGGAGACTCGGGGCAGATCACAGAACATATATATGTGACAAGCATTTGGGTCATTTTATACACAACTAGACAGACAATTATATAGAGATATGAGAATATATACTAGCTTTCCCCATCTTTGGGCATCTTGGAAGTGTTGTGCTCAGTTCTGGTCACAGGGAGTGGCTTTATTGAGAGAAGAAGTACTGATCAAAAATAGCTGACGGTGTTTTGCAGTCTAAGGTGGAATAGCAGATGGCCATGTCAAAAGAAATAGGAAGAAATGCAGCTCTAAGTCGCATAAACATGTCTTTTGTTCTACTGGAATTCCCAGATTTTTCTTTCTTCTGCCAAAAAATATGGGGCAAGTTTCCTTTCCTGGAAGCCCCAATGGGTTGTATTCACCTTTTAAATAGGAGCCCCTGGTGGCGCCATGGGTTAAACCCCTGTGCCGGTAGGACCGAAGACTGATAGGTCGCAGGTTCGAATCCAGGGAGAGCGTGGATGAGCTCCCTCTATCAGCTCCAGCTCCTCATGCGGGGACATGAGAGAAGCCTCCCACAAGGATGGTAAAAACATCCGGTGTCCCCTGGGCAACGTCCTTGCAGACGGCCAATTCTCTCACACCAGAAGCAACTTGCAGTTTCTCAAGTCGCTCCTATCACGACTTTTTAAATAGATCTCTTTTATCAGATGCCCCCTCAGTGTGGGACATATTGGAGGTCACAGGGGGGAAAAAAGGGGGGGGGGAGATATGTCTCCAAATGCTTATTTAGTGAAATACTGGGTTCAGTTCTGGACACCACAATTTGAGAAAGATATTGACAAGGTAAAATGTGTCCAGAGGAGAACAACCAAAATGGTAAAAGTTCTGGCAACCATGAATCCGTATGAGGAGCAGTTTAGGCCCCTTCCACACTGTTCCTATATCCCAGAATCCAACTCCAGATTATCTGTTTTAAACTGGATTGTATGAGTCTCCACTGCCGGATAACCTGGGATAAGACGATAATCTAGGATCAGATCATGGGATATAGGATCAATGTGGAAGGGGCCATAGAGAGCAGTGTATGTTTAGCTATGAAAAGAGAAGCTTAAGAGGAGACGATAATTATGTATTGATGAGGGAACCATCTTATCTTCTGCTATTCTGGAGACTAGAATACAGAGCAATGGATTCAATCTCCAGGAAAAGAGAATCCACCTAAACATTAGGAAGAATTTTCCAACAGTAGGAGCTATTCAATAGTGGGATATGCTGCCTTGAAGTCTAGTGGAATCTCTTTCTCTGAATGTTTTTAAACAGAGTGGATGTCCATTTGTTGGGAGTGCTTTCATTGTGTCTTCCTGCATGGCAAGAGTGGAGTTGGACAGGATGGGCCTTGTGGTATCTTCCAGTTTGATAATTCTGTGATTCTAAATACATTCATGCAATTTCTACAGAGCAATTTGTATGGTTTCTTTTCCCATAGGTCCTAGTGACTGCCAACTAGCAGGTGGCCAGGCTTTTTTACAAGCTGTCCAGCAACTATTGTCCGATCCCACTGCTTTTCCTAAGCTGTCCAGTGTTTACATCCCACAATGTAGCCTAGATGGTCAATGGAAAGAGGTTCAATGTAATGGCCCTCCTGAACAAGTTTTTGAATGGTATCAAAGATGGATCACCCAGAATAATGATGGCAGAACACTTCCAATCCCTGACTTGTTAGACAGACTCCTTGACTATAAGCAGAGATCCCAGCAAAGCTTTGAAGACTTCATCAGAATTCTCTACCAAGATGGTCACCAGAAGATCTTCCCAGAGCTCTCCAAATATCCTTCCTTTGATGCAGTTCCTCAAGACGTGCTGGAGGGCAAGACTTCAGTGGGTTCCTCACAAAACCTTTTGCTGGACCCATTTACTTTCTGGCAGCTTCTTCAGTCAAATCTCATCCATTATCCAGGATCATATGAGGATTTTAGTATCTCACTTGAGCATTTTGACCTTCGTAATTGTTGGTGTGTGGATGAAAAGGGGCAAATGCGAGGTGACAAAGCTGATGTGAACAAGATTCCAGATTGTAAGTAACTCATGCCACCTATTAGATTTTCTTCTTCTGAACATTTGTGGAATCTATAGTGCCTTTCACAGTGCATTTCCACCTGAATTAATGTTTATTTAATTTATTTATTTATTTACTAGCCGTCCCCTGCCACGCGTTGCTGTGGCCCAGTCTGGTGATCTGGAAAATAAAGTAACGAGAAAGTACTGGTTTCTAATATATGTTATGTCTTTAGGCTTGTGGGTAAACAGTATTTCTTGTTGTTTCTTTGATAGTGTTGAAATAGAGATTGTCTGGTTTGCCTACTCTGGAACATGAACATATAATTGTATTTCTTTAGGGGTCCCTTTCAAATCTATAATACTATATCTCTGTGTGTGAGAATCTATATCTATAGCTGGAGGGCTTTGATTATGTTTTCTTGGTGAGGGGTGTTGGACTGGGTGGCCTTGAATATTTTCTGTTACTCATGGGGGTTCCCTGTGGGAAGTTTGCCCCAATTTTGTTGTTTGTGGGGTTCAGAATGCTCTTTGATTGTAGGGAACTATAAATACCAGCAACTACAACTCCCAAATGTTAAGGTCTATTTCCCCCAAACTCCACGTGTTCACATATTGGGCATATTTGAGTATTTATGCCAAGTTTTGTCCAGATCCATCACTGTTTGAGTCCACAGTGCTCTTGGATGTAGGTGAACTACAACTCCCAAACTCAAGGTCAATGCCCACCAAACCCTTCTAGTGTTTTCTGTTGGTCATGGAAGTCCTGTATGCCACGTTTGGTTCAATTCCATCATTGGTGGAGTTCAGAATGCTCTTTGATTGTAGATGAACTATAAATCCCAGCAACTACAACTCCCTAATGACAAAATCCATGTTTTTGAGTTATGGTCACTCCTTGGGGTAGTAGGTGTACTGTGTCCAAATTTGGTGGCAATTCATCCAGTGCTTTTTGAGTTATGTTAATCCCACAAACGAACATTACATTTTTATTTATATAGATTTATTTATTTATTTATTTATTTATTTATTTATTTATTTATGCCATTTCTACTCTGCCTTTCTCAACCCTGGAGAGGACTTAAGACACCTTTACAACATAGGCAGCTATTCGATGCCATTAAAAACAATGTAAAATTACAATAAACATTTAAATGGGATTATAAAATACATCAAAACATTTAAAATATTATACCAATATCATCACTTTTAAACCACGCCATTCATAATCGTAATCTGAGCCATTCCAATAGTCCTTGCACATAATTCTGTATTTATCTATTGCAGAAGTTCTGCAAAGGATTGATCAAAGAGTCATGTTTTTACGCTTTTATGGAAGGTCAGGAGGGAGTGAGTTGATCTGATAGCCCTGGGAAGGGAATTCCACAGCTGAGGGGCCACCACTGAGAAGGCCCTGTCTCTCATCCCTGCCAGTCAGGTCAGAGCAAGGGAGACTGGAGTGTCCAAAATATAGATTTCCTTACTCTTAATACTTGAGTCCTGACATAGGTTTGGCATTTACCTCCTGACCTTTCAGAAAAGAGTGAAAATCTGGCTCTTTGAGCAAGCGTTTGGAGCTTCAGCGTGACCAAATAAACACAAAATTGTAATATGAACATGAAATGGCTAAGACAATGTAAACGGATGAGGAATTGGACTGGGAGACATTGTTTTTTTTATAGATTTTTATAGTTTTATAGCTTTTATAGATTTTATATATATTTATGATGTGCTTTTAACTAGTGTGTGTACACACACACGGGGCATCTAATTGTTGCCGGTCTGTACACTGTCCTGAGTCGCCTTCAGGCTGAAATGGATGAGATAAAAATGATGTAAATAATACTTTAGATGTCAAAAGGGAGAAAGACCAAATCTTTTCATTACCTGGTTGGAGCCCTGGTGGTGCAGTGGGTTAAATCCTTGTGCCAGCAGGACTGATGACCGGCAGAGGTTTGGATCTGGGAAGAGCATGGTTGAGTTCCCCCTGTCAGCTCCAGCTCCCCATTCAGGAACATGAGAGAAGCCTCCAACAAGGATGATAAAACATTAAAAAATCTAGGCATCCCTTGGGCAACATCCTTGCAGATAGCCAATTCTCTCACACCAGAAGCAAATTGCAGTTTCTCATGTTCCTCCTGACATGAAAAAATACCTTGATAAATGCAGCCAGTGTACTATAGAATGATAGAATCAAAGAGTTGGAAGAGACCTCATGGGCCATCCAGTCCAACCCCCTGCCAAGAAGCAGGAATATTGCATTCAAATCACCCCTGACAGATGGCCATCCAGCCATCTGCCAAACTATAGTGGTTTGAATGTTGGATTAAACTCCAGGAGACCAGGGTTCAAAGATCCACTTGGCCATGGAAACCCACTGTGTGGCTTTGTCCAAGTCACATTGTCCAGGTAATCTCAAAGCCTTTCTCAGCAAATACTTCCAAGAAAGCAAAGTGATACGTTCAGCTTTGGGTTGCCATAAGTTCTAAATGTCTTAAAGTAATATAACAATAAGCATGACCAGTTAATAAGCAGTGTATAGGTTGTTGCCTTGTTGCTGTTCTCTAGAAAAAAATGATATCCAGGAGTGGTGTATGCTTTTACCATTCTTGTTATGGTTTTATATTATGTGTTAATGTTTTAAAATGTTTTATGGTGTTTTTTGGCATCAAATCATTGCCATTGTAAACCACCCTGAGTCGCCTAAGGACTGAGAAGGGCGGTATACAAATATAGTAAATAAAAAATAAAAAATATTAATCCCCTAATCAAGAAGGTTCTGTATACTCATTATTTGAGAACAGCTTGCCGTAATTTTGATTTCTGTCAACATGTTTACATATTCCCTCCCTTGCACATGTTGTGGCATGTTGTGCATGCGTGTATTACACAGTGTAACCAGACTGCAATACGCTGCTCTAGCTTTGCATGAATAAAGAAGCCTGGTTTCAATTTCAGTTAAGTCAACTCATCAACACAATCTCCTTTGAGCTCATCATGCCACGAGTTCATTTAAATTAGGAGTGGAAAATGTTTACAGATGTAATCAGAATAAAATGCTGCAAGTGTGGGTTTGTGTATACACAAATAACATAAGCAAAGAGGCAAAGATTAAATATAATTGGAAGAGAAACAAATGAAATGCACAAACTATAAACTATCAAATAGAAGAAATCCATAAAGTTGCTGAAATTCACACCAAAGTTGTTCTAACCTGCAAGGAATCCACATAGCTGTAATCCCCCAATTTTCTATTACTAAAACTTTTGGGACAGTTTATAGGTTCCTTTTACAAACTTGTAATGGCTTCCCCCAACTGTATCACACCACTGAATATTGATAAAAAGTAGCATATACATATTCTGCCAACTTAGGAGTTCAAAAACATGCAAATGTGAGTAGATCAATAGGTACCGCTTTGGCGGGAAGGTAACGGCGCTCCATGCAGTCATGCTGGCCACATGACCTAAGAGGCGTCTATGAACAACGCCAGCTTTTCGGATAAGAAATAGAGATGAGCACCACTCACCAGAGTTGGACACGACTGGACTTAATGTTAAGAGGAAACCTTTACCTTTACTTATATACATATAAATAAGGAGATCTGTATGATTCTAGAGGGAAAAGAAAGTATTTTGGCGAAATGCAAAATGCTGGCTGGGAATTCCTGAGAGTTATCATCTTAAAAAGTAACTTTTCCAAGCCCTTTCCAGAAGATCTAATTCCACTGAACAACACTATTATCTCCCTGCAGGTCCTGGAGAGTGTGAAGCAGCCAAGCAAGAAGCCCGGAGGTTTGTTGACAAAGTGGAGCAACTCATCAAAGAGTCAAGCCGCTCTCATTTTCCTTTTGGGCAGAGCTTTTTAATGGCCAAAGTGGCCATGCTCACAGACGACGAGCTTCTGAACAATTTCTCCCAGTCAGGCATCACATTTTCAGAAGAGTTATTGGCCGGGAGTGATTACGCCATTCGGCTGGCAGCACAATCAAGTAGGCATTTTGAAGTGGAAGTGGTCATTGTTGATCTGATGAAAAATTTTGGGAAGTGGAGGTAGATTTTCAAACCTCAGTGCCCAACTGGCCTCTTTTAAGGCAGACTTAAATATGCACCACGTGTCTGCATAATATTGGAAGAGATTCTTTATTGTCCCATTTGCAGGGGCAACCATCACAAAGAACTTTTTCAGATTGCAGTCGAGTTATCTCCAGATAGAACTGAAAAGCACCTAGTGCCAGAATCATAGAATCATAGACTCAAAGAGTTGGAAGAGACCTCATGGGCCATCCAGTCCAACCCCCTGCCAAGAAGCAGGAATATTGCATTCAAATCACCCCTGACAGATGGCCATCCAGCCTCTGTTTAAAAGCTTCCAAAGAAGGAGCCTCCACCACACTCCGGGACAGAGAGTTCCACTGCTGAACAGCTCTCTGAGTCAGGAAGTTCTTCCTCATGTTCAGATGGAATCTCCTCTCTTGTAGTTTGAAGCCATTGTTCCATTGCGTCCTAGTCTCCAGGGAAGCAGAAAACAAGCTTGCTCCCTCCTCCCTGTGGCTTCCTCTCACATATTTATACATGGCTATCATATCTTGCTAAGGTTTTATGCTCATATAAAAACAGTTGCACACAAAGTTTCACTTTCTCATTGTTTGCATAATTGTGGTTCGTGAGAGTAGGTAATCATTGTGTCAGTGTGCACAGAGTTCTGTTACTAGTTTTTGGCTTGGTGAACTTCAACACACACTGCTGGTAGGCTGGTAGGAATGGTGGGAGTTGAAGTCCAAAACACTCGGAGGGCCCAAGTTGGCCCATGCCTGTTGTAGACTGAAATATGTGGAAGACATTGGATTGGGAAAGGCTCCCCTTGACCGCACTCAGGAGGGTGGCCAATTTAACAAATTTATTAGAAGTTATCTGCAGCAATTTGTGAATTTGCAGGAGAGCAGGAGAGCTTTTCAGTTCACTATGACTGCACTTAATATTCTTGCTTATATAATGCGCATTTTTTCTTTCCTCATGTTTTCTTTTTTAGCCTTGCATTTCTATTGGAAGAGTCTTTTTGCATCCAATGATTCTGCAGGGGAGGCTGTGAGACTTGGATTTCAGCCTTACATCCCTCAATGTGATGGACTGGGGAACTGGGAACCTGTGCAGTGCTATGAGAGCTCAGGTGAGAACGAAATGTCCAGAGAGGCTTCTATGGACAACCAGTGGTGGATCTTCATGCCTGGGGGCTACTAGCTACTGTTTACTAGACTTGGGCCTGAATCAGCTTGACTGAAAGTGATTTGTAATATTTGTTGGTCCGTTTTGTGTAATCTCCCAAAAACAGAATGGGGAGGAGGGAACCAAAAAACTCAACAAAACGGATTAAGAAACTGGATTTATTGGTTACAGGAGAGGATGGAGTTAGGTCTGCATTATACATGAGGCAGGGGTCTGCTGCGGGGCTCCTGGAGAAGATCCTGAAACATTTATTTATTTATTTATTTATTTATTTATTTATTTACAGCTTTTATATTCCGCCCTTCTCACCCCTGAGGGGACTCAGGGCGGATTACAGTGTACACATATATGGCAAACATTCAATGCCAATTTTTGACATACAAACATATACAGACATACACAGAGGCTATTTTTAACTTTTTCTGGCCGCCAGGGGAGCTGTCGCTTTCATCGTCCATCTGCGACACTGATGAAGCACTTCTGCGTTCCCCGCATGCTTCCCCGCTGGAATGCTTTGCTGGAGTCTTCTTTATGGCCTCATAAATCAGTTAATTTAGCATCTTTTCTCTCTTCCTGGCAGTGGAAAAGTTCTCTGGGCTCCTCCTCCAGAGAGGGCTCTATTGGGAACTTGCTTTTCCAGCAGCACTTGCATGAGGTGGACATTAAAAAGTCTCTAAGTTCCTCTCAGAGCATGATGGAAGTTGAAGTCTATCTATCTATCTATCTATCTATCTATCTATCTATCTATCTATCTATCTCTGTTTCTCAGACAATAAAAGGCCTGGTTGTGTCCATGCTCTGATTGGCTGAGAATGGACACAACCAGTGACTACAATTCCCAGAACCCTTTCATGCGGTTTGTTTTATTTTAAAAAGTGTTATGGTTAAAACTTGAAATAATTCTTTAAAAGTCAGTAGACTGATGAATGACAGGATTAATTTAGTTATGTATGTGTTTTTCAATGTGCTTCTATGTATTGCCAAGATGGATGCCACTGTGAATTGAAAATGCCATGCAGAAATGTTTATACTTTGAGGCTGTGATTAAGTGAACTTGAAAAAGTAAGATAAGGTTTGTTCTTGCTGAGAACAGAAGGGAGTAGCCAGTCTCAGCAAGAGAAGATAAGCAGATGTGAAGAGGCTTTCTGTTTTGACTAGTTCTTTGTTGTTTTTTTCCTGAATTGTAGCTCGCTGTAGAAAGACATGTCTGTTGTATGTACTTAGTAAAACTTAGTTTCTTTTGTAACTCAAAGCCTGCAGAGTCCATATTTTGCAACTCAGTGTCTGCTTGATCTAGCATTCCTTCCGCTGGGTATCGTCAATCTCTGACAATGAATTTCTCTGAAACTTGGCAGGCCTCCACTTGTCAATGGAGTCTAAAACTGAGATAGCTTTCATGCAAATAGGCCTTAAAATGACTAAGGATTGAACCTTTAAAGTTTCCCATTGTACCCAATGGGCCATATCTTTGCTGAATGAAAATGACAACACTCCTCCTGATTTGAGTAACTTTCCAGTAAACAGAATGAGTGGTTAGCTGAAAATGAACCCCAAAACGGCATGCCTTTTGGCCAAATTGCACATCTCTACTGTTCACATGAATCTGCTCAGATGAAAAGGGAGTCAGCAAACATGTCGTAGTTTTCGTCTGTTTGTACTCATTGTCATATCACAGGGAATCTCTTTGCAAAGGGACTTGGACTATCAGAGATAATAAACATGTCTTCCTTTGTATCTAAGGTCATTGCTGGTGTGTGGATGAGAGAGGACGTTATGTGGAGGACTCTCTTGTGGCACGTTCATCACGGTTGCCCCAGTGTAAGTTACTTTTTCTTCTAATACTTCCCCCTTGATTATTTTGAGACAAAGCAAAGAAGGTCAGCTAATTGTATAAACCCTGTAAAATTTTAAAAATTGATCTAATCTTCAGTAGAGGATCTCATATTTCACATGCAAAAAATCCCAACACGGTCAATCTTGAGCTGGAACTACCTGACACTTTGGAGAGATATTCTCAATCAGAGCAGATGAAACTGAGTTAGCTGAAACAATAGTCTGACACAGATGATGCAGATTAGTATGAATTTGAATCTGTACAAATATATGTTCTGTGCTGTTCAATAAGCCTATATATAAATCATGCACATGTATGCTTGTCAGTATGGCAAATGCTAAAGATAGTATAAAGTATGGGAAGTTCCATACTAACATGTCAGCTTAAGTTGTAACCCTGCTAAATTGCATCAACCAAAAGAACGAGGCAAAGAAAAATATTGATTTTTTTTGGTATACAGATTGCACACTGCAAATATTTTTTTAAAAAGGATGATGTATTTGATATAAATGTTTTTGGTTACCATTTTTGTTTCTTGAGCAGCTATGTGAGACACATTTGCAACCCATTCTTTGCTCTCAAATCCAAGCTTTACTGGTGATTTATTGTGTCCGTTCACCCCTTGGCCGACTCATCTGAAATAGTTTAAGTTACTCTAGGGATGGATTTGCTCTATTGCTTTTTGACCCATGTGTCAGTTTGAAACTACCAGCAGATATATTGTGCTGGACTGAATCCTTGGTCTGGTTTTGATAGCCTTGATGCCTGCATTTATCATCTAAGCAGTATAGGGAAGATAAACAACTGAGTTTACGAAGGTTATATCTTGACCAAAACTTACATTACTGAAGAAGATCATTGTCTTAATGCAGGTCAGACACCATGTCAGCGCTCCCAAGCAAATGCATTGATTTCCAGCTGGAAACCAAATGGACTGAAGACTAATGGTGCTTCAGAAGATCTGTTTACACCAGCCTGCCTAGAGGCAAGTTGTTTCTTATTGGAAAATGTATACTTGGAATTTCAGTCATGTACATTTCAAATCTGAATTACATAACATTATTGGGTTTTGTTCCAACAGGGTAAGGAAAAGAAAATCCCCTGGTGATTCAAAACCCCAGTCTTGATGATTTAAAGCAATGGTTCTCAACCTTTTTTGGGACCACTTGACCAAGGGCTACTTTGATCAGGGACCACTCTCCAACACTCTTTTTATGATGTTGAGCATTGAATTTTGCTATTGTTAACTGCTTTGAGTCGCCCAAGGGCTGAGAAAAGTGGTATATAAATGAAGTAAATAATAATAAATAATAATAATTAGTATCAAAAGTGTTACGAATCAGTTTTTGGTCAACTTTAGATTCGGTTTGGTTATTTTGGGCGGTGATTCAGAAAACTACGTTAGATAGACCACACCAGCTCTCGTTTCTGATACAGAACATACTTACTTACTTACTTAGGCGATCCCTCGTTGCCTGAGTAGGATAGTCTTCCAAGATCAGTTTGTTGGTAGGTCCATAGGTGATTGTGGAGCCCTATTCTTGATCTGCATCTTCTCCCACAGAGAGGGCATTGGTTTCCAGGGGGAAGGCGGTCCCGGTCATGGTTGGCTTGACACACCTTCCTCTTGGCACATTTCTCTCTTTTGCCCTCCATTCATGCCTCTTCAAATTCTACAGCATTGCTGGTCACAGCTGACCTCCAGCTGGAGCGCTCAAGGGCCAGGGCTTCCCAGTTCTCAGTGTCTATGCCAGAGTTTTTAAGGTTGGCTTTGGGCCCATCTTTAAATCTCTTCCTGTCCTCTGACATTCTGTTTTCCATTCTTGAGTTCAGAGTAGAGCAACTGCTTTGGGACATGGTGGTCAGGCATCTGGACAATGTGGCCGGTTCAGTGGAGTTGATGGTGTAGGACCATCGCTTCAATGCTGGTGGTCTTTGCTTTTCCCAGCATGCTGACATTTGCCTGCTTGTCTTCCCAAGAGACTTGCAGGATTTTCCGGAGGCAACTCTGATGGAATCACTCTAGGAGTTGTATGTGATGTCTGCAGATAGTCCACATCTCACAGGCGTAGAGCAGGGTTGGGAGGACAATAGCTTTAAAAACAAGCACCGTGGTATCCCTACAGATGTCCCAGTCCTCAAACACTCTGTGCTTCATTCAGAAAAATGCTGCACTCACAGAGCGCAGGCAGTGTTGTATTTCAGTGTCAATGTTGACTTTTGTGGAGAGGTGGCTGCCAAGGTAGCAGAAATGGTCAACATTTTCTAATGTTACACCATTAAGCTGTATTTCTGGCGTTGAAGAGGGATTGGCTGGTGACTGCTGGAAGAGCGGATACAGAACATATGCTATCTAGAACATATGCCATCCAGTAGACTACTGGATAGCATATGTCCACAGAAAACCATACTTAGCAATCTAGAACTGATGTGGTAGTAATAATCTTTCATGGGTAGTCAGCCTCTTCCCTCCCGACATGCCCATTGCCTGAGCACTATCAGAGGGTTTCGCTCTCCTCGCCACATGGTTTCCAGGCAATGGTGTAGTAATGGTGAGGCCGCGGACCATATTTTCGTTCTTATGGACCACTGGTTGTCCATGGACCACAGGTTGGGAACCATTGATTTAAAGCAAGAGCATGGAATTCCATGGGGAAATTTTGGTTAGAGCAGGCATGGCCAAACTTCAGCCCTCCAGGTGTTTTGGATTTCAACTCCCACAATTCCTAACAGCCTGTTAGGAATTGTGGAAGTTGAAGTCCAAAACACCTGGAGGGCTGAAGTTTGGCCATGCCTGGGTTAGAGGCTGTACTCTATCTGGGACTAACAATAGGATTCAAAGCAGAGACGAAACTGGGATAATGGTTTAAAACACTGTGACAACAGCCTTCCTTCCTAATATCTGTTGTTCTGGGTGAGCCAAAGATGACTTATAGAAATCAACATAGAACATCAGTGAAGCGCCAATCTGTCAATGGGACCATACTGGGCATTATTAATAGCAGTCTTGTGGCATGTTTGTCATTGATTAATTAAGTAAATCCTTCCTTATAGACTGGTGAATATGCTGGTGTACAGAAATCAGACACACGGGCCTGGTGTGTTGATCCTGTATCAGGGGAAGTTCTTCAGCAAAGCAGCACTGATTCAAACCGCGGACCTCAGTGTAAGTTCTTCCTGTTTACTAGGGATGTAGAAGTGTGTTTGCTTTGCATTTCAATGTGCATGACTCAACCACCATAAATACACCCAATCATCCTAAATACATCTGTTCCTGTCAGAGTTTGGGAGCTGAAATGGGTCAGGCCACCGGGGAGTACTAGTTATCATCAGGTCTTTTCCTTACAAGTAAGGAAAAGGAGGAGGAGGAAAAAGTAATTGTTCTCTGTGTTGAACACAGAATTAGGCACATGCAATTGGGATTAGAAAAAGTTGAATTTCCTGTTCCTTCTTCTCACGTTGCTTTTCCTATCCCCTGAAAATGCAACTTCGAAGTTAGAGGATGCTGCTGAATGGTCTGAATTGTAGTTTGTTTAGAGAATTTCCCAAAACTGGACAGAGGGACTTCCTTTAAGCAGAGCTCTACTGTAGCGCAGCTGACTGTGGCACAACTGGCTGGGGGTCAGCTACATTAAGATCACTACTGACCGACCAAAAGGTCATGAGTTCGAAGCCGGAGTGAGCTTTTGATCAATTTGTGTAGCTTGCTGTTGACCTTTGCAGCCCGAAAGACAGTTGCATCTATCAAGTAGGGAATTTAGGTACCACTTATGTGGGGAGGCTAATTTACGAAGCTATAAAAATCTCCAGCAAGCATGCAAAGAATGAGGAAGTACTTCCTCACTGTCACAAATGGACGGTGAAGCAACAGCTCCCCTGGTGGCCAGAACACCCTCATGAAAAAGCTGGAATGTTAAATAGCCTCTGTGTGTCTGTCTATATATGTTGTATGTTTATTGCATTGAATGTTTGCCATGTATATGTACATTGTAACCCGCCCTGAGTCCCCTGCGGGGTGAGAAGGGTGGAATATAAATACTGTAAATAAATGAATAAATAGGTTTGTAATGTGGACAAAACAGTATATGGTTGACATGAACTGGACAGTACCTAGTGAATATGGTATTGGACTAGAGGTGCATCTACGCTTTAGAATGAATACAGTTTGACAATACTTTAATTGCTATGGTTCAGTGCTATAGAAACATAGAATTTGTAGTTTTACAATGTCTTTAGTCATCTCTACCAAATAGTGCTGTTGCCTCACCAAACTACAACTCCCAGGATTTCATAGCTCTTAGCTATGGCCGCTAAAGTGGTGTCAAACTGCATTCATGATACAGTGTAGATGTTCCCTCTGACTCTGGAGACTAGGATTTGAATACCTGCCCAACCATGAAAAACCCACTGGGTGATCTTTGGGAAAAGTCCCACACTCTCAGCTTCAGAAGAAGGCAAAGTCAAATGCCACTCTGAACCAACGTTGCTAGGAAAAACCCCAATGATAGCTTTACTTTAATCACCATAGGTCAGAAACAACTTGAGGGCACACCACAAAAATGGTGACAACAGAAACATTGCAGGAAGCACTGAGTTGTCTATTTCATGTAAAGATATCATATGCTTGGATTAATTTACAGTGCTGCAACTCTCAAAATAGCAAGTTTATAATTTCTAAGGCCTAAATCCATTGTGTAGCTCCAAATGCAGCAGGCCCATTGAATTAAGAAAACTTACATTAGCATGGAATTACCAGGTTCCCATTAATTTCATTAGTTTTCTTCAAACTACAAGAGAGGAGATTCCATCTGAACATGAGAAAGAACTTCCTGACTGTGAGAGCCGTTCAGCAGTGGAACTCTCTGCCGGAGTGTGGTGGAGGCTCCTTCTTTGGAAGCTTTTAAACAGAGGCTGGATGGCCATCTGTCAGGGGTGATTTGAATGCAATATTCCTGCTTCTTGGCAGGGGGTTGGACTGGATGGCCCATGAGGTCTCTTTCAACTCTTTGATTCTATGATTCTATCAGTTGGGGCTAGCAGTTGGATTCAGGATTGCCAACCTGCCTTTGTCCTGGATGTAACTTATAGGGCTGAAGGTTCTCAAGGCTGATAATCTAGTCTTTACCCACCATCTTGACATGTGGTTGGAGCAGCAAGACTTTCAAGTCAGTTGTCATAATGTAGCACAAGGGAAACAAAGAAAATGAGAACATCCTGGTGGACAATTTGACTTGTGCCTAATGTAGGATTAAAAAACAAACAAACTAGGCATGAATTTGCTAGTGGTCATCACAGCAGGTCACATATTTACCTCAATTTTTTCTTTGTTGCATTATACTACTCTAGATTTATTCTGATGTCATGACTACAAAATGTGTTAAGAAGAAACCTTAATAGTCAAAACAAAGCACTCTTGTCCAAGGTCTTTCCAACACAATCTGCTCTTATCTTGAAGGTCTTGGTTCATGCAACCTGGTGAGATCCAAAGCTCTCTTGAGGGAAACTGGTGGAGGGAACATCCCTCAGTGTGAAGCTGAAACTGGATCCTTCTCACCTGAGCAATGCAGCGAGGACCAGGAAAGCTGTTGGTGTGTCTTTGAGAATGGAGAAGAGGCTCCGGGGACAAGAGTCACTGGCAAGCGGCCTTCATGTGAACGTGAGTCACATTGTGAAACATGATATTTTTGGGTTGGGTATTTCAAATAGTTCAAAGGTGGGAAGATGTCATTTGACAATGTGAGGATTTTTGTGGCATTTTTTAAGAATTCATTTGTGGTAAATTTAGGAAATTCAAATATTTTGCGAAAAGCAGCACAGATCCAAGATTCTCTTCAAGTTTTTGGAGATAATCTATATAAATAAAAATGTAATGTTTGTTTGTGGGATTAACAGAACTCAAAAACCACTGGACAAATTGACACCAAATTTGGACACAAGACACCTAACAACCCAATGTATGTCCTTCACTAAAAAAAAATCGATTTTGTCATTTGGGAGTTGTAGTTGCTGGGATTTATAGTTCACCCTACAATCAAAGAGCATTCTGAACCCCACCAACGATGGAATTGAACCAAACTTGGCACACAGTTCTCCCATGACCAACAGAAAATACTGGAAGGGTTTGGTGGGCAGTGTCCTTTGGTTTTGGAGTGTAGTTCACCTACATCCAGAGATCACTGTGGACTCAAACAATGATGGATCTGGACCAAACTCTACACGAATACTCAATATGCCCAAATGTGAACACTGGTGGAGTTTGGGGAAAATAGAATCTTTACATTTGGGAGTTGTAGTTGCTGGGATTTATAGTTCACCTACAATCACAGACATCTGGACCAAACTCTACATGAATACTCAATATGCAAAAATGTGAACAGTGGTGGAGTTTGGGGGAAGTCCTCCGCACCGCTCATTCCATCCAGAACGTACCCTTTACATGTAGAAATAATGTCAGAGACTATCCTAGCTTTGGCAGAAATGCGTTTCTGCACCATAAAGCAGTATAAACTAGGATTGCCACCTCTCTCTCTACTCTCCCTCACATCCCTCTCTCATATTAGGATTATACACGCACACACACACACACACACACAGCACTTCATTTCATGTCCTTTTGGAGAACTAGATATTGATGCTCTAAAGATCTATTCACATTGCTTTTGTTCATAACCAATATTTGTCTCCATAAATTGTTTGCTGATTTATTGGACTGAGGAAGGCAAAGAAATATATGGATAGTGCTGGACGCAGCACAAAACCTTTACAACCCCCTTGTGTCTGACTCCAGATTGCAATCTTCCTGCAACAATTTCCAGTATTGGATCTTCTAATACCAAAGATCCCTTCTCCAAAATAAAAATTATGTCAGTTCATACTCAGTAACCAATTTCCCTCATGTTCTGTTTCCAACATTTCTGAGATTCAGACCAGGTGAGGACTTTTCCTCCAGTTCTTGGCATAGCGGAAGGCTGATGTTCCGTGGCCTGTCAGCGGATGAGACAGCTTCTGTGGGAAAGAACAATAAATCCCACCTCTGCATCACAAGAGATGTCTTAGCAAGCGAGTAGTAACTTTGGAATGTCGCTTGCATCCAACTGGGTTTCCATTAAGCTAATCAGTTCCGTATGGAGGGAGATTCCCCCGGGTCACATGAAACTTCCATCTAGCATGGTTTGGTAATATTCAGCAATTTCTCAATGATGTGTATATATCAGGACTTTCAATGCCACGTATATTGATATTTATCACTCTTTTGCATGCTGCACTTATTTCTCAGAATGCATAGGACTAATGAAGCACCTTTGGGAGATTATGTTTTTAATTGCTCCCCTCACCCTACTGAAGGTTGGAACAATCCTTGAAAGAAGACAGCTAGTGTAACAGGGAGAAAAGTTCTGTTTCAGGGCTCATTCAGACAGACCCAAAAAGCAGGACCTGTCTCGGTTTTACCGGAGGTGTCCAAACAACAAGGTGTTTTGTTCTTAATTAGTTAAACACATGGTAAGATCAGGATCTTAGGTATAATCCGGGTCTTACCAGACGTGGGCCCAGTGTAGATTGGGCCTCAGGACAGCATCATGGGATCCCTGGGCCCAATCCACACAGGTTTTTCAGGCTCCGGGAGCATGAAAAAAGGCACCCACACCCTCCCCTAAATCCTAAAATAAACACTAAAAAGTTAAAAAAAAAAACCCAACCAATTGTTATCGGAATGGCATGTAGACACCCTCCCCAGGAAATATTTTTAAATCCACTTCTGCATGGGTTTCAGTCCTGTTTGGAAGTGCCCCCAGATATCTCATCACAGCATTATTTCCTCCTTATAGACCTGAAGCAGTCATTGATTTGGTGTAAATAAAACAAAATGTTGGATGCCTCAGGTCTATAAGGAGGAAATGATACTGCAATATTTATTTATTTATCGTGTCAGTATCAACCAGACAATTGTATTACATTTTAAACAAATTTTTAACAAACAGACAAAACAGAGTTTGCAAGCTTGGTAGTTGATTAAATGTCCTTTGACCAGTATCTGGCCACTTGGAGTGCCTCTGGTGTTGCCGCAAGGAGGTCCTCCATTGTGCATGTGGCAGGGCTCAGGTTGCATTGCAGCAGGTGGTCTGTGGTTTGCTCTTCTCCACACTCGCATGTCTGTGGATTCCACTTTGTAGCCCCATTTCTTAAGGTTGGCTCTGCACCTCGTGGTGCCAGAGCGCAGTCTGTTCAGCGCCTTCCAAGTCGCCCAGTTTTCTGTGTGCCCAGAGGGTCTCTCATTTGGTATCAGCCATTGATTGAGGTTCTGGGTTTGAGCCTGCCACTTTTGGACTCTCGCTTGCTGAGGTGTTCCAGCGAGTGTCTCTGTAGATCTTAGAAAACTATTTCTTGATTTAAGTCATTGATGTGCTGGCTGATACCCAAACAAGGGATGCGCTGGAGATGTCTCTGCCTTGGTCCTTTCACTATTGGCTGCTACTTCCCGGCAAATGTCAGGTGGTGCAATACCGGTTAAACAGTGTAATTTCTCCAGTGGTGTAGGGCGCAGACACCCCGTGATAATGCGGCATGTCTCATTAAGAGCCACATCCACTGTTTTAGCGTGGTGAGATGTGTTCCACACTGGGCATGCATACTTAGCAGCAGAGTAGCATAGCGCAAGGGCAGATGTCTTCACTGTGCCCCAAGTGGCCATGGAAACCTATTGGGTGACTTTGGGCAATTGATATACTCTCAACCCCAGAAAACAGAATGATAGGTTCATCTTAGGATCACCATAGGTTGGAAATGACTTAAAGGAACTCACTACTAGAAGCTGTGATCAAAAAGACCAGGCTCTTGACTATTTTTCATGCTCTCTGTGAATGGAGCTTGTTATCCTAATTTTTCCACTGGACAAAATGTGACACCCTTTGATATAAGTGAAGTGAGGGAGATGATTCTCAGTTAAATTCTTCCAAGCTAGAAATAATTATTTGCCTCAGTAATATGCCATTTTATCAATCATCCATCTGCAACTTGCACATCCCCAGCCAATGTAGATATGGAAGAGAGGTTATAGTGACTGATATTTTCCAACATGTTCTTCCTTAGGTCCTCAATGTCCCTTGCCTTTTGACGCCCCTCAAGTGATTAATGGTGGTGTTTTTTGCAATGTCTCGGCCACAAATCCAAAGATCCAACACTGCCAACTGATCTGCTCTATGGGCTTCCAGAATGTCTTTTTAGACAGCAAAATGTTGCTGTGTGATATGGAGAATCAACTTTGGATAGGAAATCCACCCCATTCTCAATCCTGTCAGAGTAAGTATGGCAATTAAGGATTTGTGATGTGGTCTAGAACTGTATCTGGATAAGCAGATGGTTGGTCATGGCAATGGAAATTTGAGGTGGGGATCGCTCAATGGCTTTGAACATGTCAGAGATCAAAGTACTTTCTGCATTTGCTATTTGCACCCAATACTCTACTTTTGGAAGTGCTGTCCCCCTTGCTTTCCATAATTCCCATTCAGTTTCTGCTTTAGAAAGGGATGGCAGGATGTTCGTTCCTCCGTTTAAGGACTTTTCATCATGATTGCCTGGATTTATCATTTTGTGTGTGTGGTTGAGGAAAACAGTATGATGTTTTCATTTTAATTCATTTCATTATATGCTCATGTATAAGAGACAAGTTTTGGGCCCCCAAAATATGGATTTTGATATAACCCATGGATACATCAAGAGTAATTCTCCAGAGAGGAGAAAGCATCAGTGTTGCCCGAGGGGCCAACCAACCTTGGATGCCACCATTTCCCCATCCAGGCATAATAATAACAGCAATTTATTTATATTCAATTCTTCTCACCCTGAAGGGGACTCAGGGTGGATCACAGTATACATATATGGCAAACATTCACTGCCATTTTGTATAGGCAGTACAGAGACAGACAGAATAGAAGGAGGTGTGTTGTTGTTTCGACTCAATGTCCAGCCTTTTGGTGCCATGAAAGATTGTACTCGAATTCATAGAATCATAGAATCATAGAATCAAAGAGTTGGAAGAGACCTCATGGGCCATCCAGTCCAACCCACTGCCAAGAAGCAGGAATATTGCATTCAAATCACCCCTGACAAATGGCCATCCAGCCTCTGCTTAAAAGCTTCCAAAGAAGGAGCCTCCACCACACTCCGGGGCAGAGAGTTCCACTGCTGAACGGCTCTCACAGTCAGGAAGTTCTTCCTCATGTTCAGATGGAATCTCCTCTCTTGTAGTTTGAAGCCATTGTTCCGCGTCCTAGTCTCCAAGGAAGCACAAAACAAGCTTGCTCCCTCCTCCCTGTGGCTTCCTCTCACATATTTATACATGGCTATCATATCTCCTCTCAGCCTTCTCTTCTTCAGGCTAAACATGCCCAGCTCTTTAAGCCGCTCCTCATAGGGCTTGTTCTCCAGAGCCTGGATCCTTTTAGTTGCCTCCTCTGGACACATTCCAGAATTAATGGAAGGTTGGGCGGGCTCAATTCCACAGAGGGTGCTGTTGCTCCATCGTCTATGACCAAGAGCCATCAGGACTTCCGCCTTCCTTTTGGTCGCCCAGCATTTTCTTATCTTCTTTCTTTATGGCATCGTAAAACACCTCCCTCACTTTGAGTGGTACCTAGTTTCTATAATTACAGCAAAAGCTGTTTTCAAACTGCTTAGATAAACAGTCAGCTATGCTGACAGTCAGCAGCTTACGCTGACCCGGGGCTTCAAACTTTCAACCTTTCGGTTGATAGATCTTATAATTGTTGGTGACTTACCAGCTGTGCTAAACCTCCGGACAGAAGTGGCGCTATGATGAAAAGAGTAGAGGGTGGTGATGCTTTTAGGTTCTCAACGTTTAACACTGTACTCAGGGATGGTTTCTTTTTATTAAGGGTTAAGTTACAATACTCACAATGACCCATGGATAGGTTGACCCAGTTTTTTTTCAGACTGAGTTTTTGACTAAAATTTCTAAACTTGGCACACAGAGCCCCCATGACCCACTCTCCATCCTGGTGCAGTTTGGAGGAGGATGGACCACAGATGATGGGACTCGCAGTACCTTCACTAACTTCCTGAGACCACTGCCAGCCATATAAATAACGGATAAAGGCCAAACTTGATACAATATTCCTTTTCTCAAATAACATGGGCAACGCTGGGTCCCCAAGTTAGTAACTAATAAATTGACAACTCACTTTTCTTCCATTATGGGACCCAAAGAACCTTTTCCAATGCCTTGAACACGTCTGTTTTAAATGTCACATTTAAAACAGACACACAAACTCCATTTTGTCCAGTGTCTTAAAAACTCAAATCACTGCTAATCACTGGGAGCCTCCAGTCACGCAGTGGGTGAAACCACTGAGCTGCTGAATTTGCTGATCAAAAGGTTGCAGGTTCGAATCCAACAAGCTGCATGAGCTCCTGCTGTAAGCTCCAGCTCCTGCCAACCTAGCAGTTCAAAAACATGCAAATGTGAGTAGATCAATAGGTATCTCTCCGGTGAGAAGGTAATGGCGCTCCATGCAGTCATGCCGGCCACATGACCTTGGAGGTGCCTATGGACAATGCCGACTCATCGGCTTAGAAATGGAGATGACCGCCAACCCTCATAGTCAGACATGACTGGACTTAATGTCAGGGGGAAACCTTTATCTTTACCTACTGCTAATCATTACTTACATCTCATGAACAATATGGTGGAATATTAAAGGATTTAACTGTGATCTGTAACTACTTACTCATTTTAATGAAAGAGGAGAAAACAATTAACTTGTGGCCTCTATAAACTGCAGTTTCCAAATATTCCAACCTCTCTTTCCTAAACACATTTGCCTTAAAGTAAGGTCCAGTGATTTCAGCAGGATTTGCTTCCAAGTTAGCATGCTTAGGATGGATTTGATAGAAGCGCTGACTTTGAGCTAAATAGATGAGCACCAGATGTTTCAACTTTGCAGATATTGTTACTTCGCATAATCTCTCAATTTTGTTACTTCTGTATTTCCCCCCCAAAGCAATTGGCTCTCCATATTTATTGCTATCTTTACTGCCTTGTGTGTCTCCTGGCATTTTTGGAAGATTATTTTTCCCCCTTTGAATAAAATAAGGGGAAGAAAACACTCCCAACTCCTGAATTTTGGCGTGTATAATTCTGAATTCATGTGCTAGGCCATCTGCGCTTGTCCATATACTTGACTAGAGACAAACTGTGACCTACATATAACATTTGAGTGCTGCCAAACTGTGGATCACATTTGTTGGAAATTTGTTATCTCAAGTTATATTTCTCTTTCCTGTCCCAATCCCCCTTACTTTGGGGGAGGAGGCATTTTTAAAACATCTGGGTAGTGTTCAGTCAAAATGAAAACATTTTGGTGATGCTGTTTTACACAGTCGTCTCTCCGTATCCATGGATTAATGCACTCATGGATTCAACCACCCACAGCTTGAAAATATTCAAAAATAAATTCCCAATAGCCACTCTGATAGCATTCCATGAACTGTGATTGGCTGGCTCTCTCCCAGCTTGTCCAGTTTCTCCCTCGATATAAATAAAGTAATACAAGAGATATCTGTGAGGATGCTTGCCATAGATGCAGGCGAAACGTCAGGAGAAAAATTGCCTCCAGAACATGGCCATATAGCCCGGAAAAACCTACAACAACCTAAGGATACAATTTTTTTTAAAATACAAAGAATGAATATATTTTAATAAAACTTACATGGATTATAGCATGGGTATTACATTATTTCCCCACGTAGTCATCATTCAGTTCAATACATTACTAAATCAGGAAAAACACCATTTGGAAATTGAAGAACAAGCGAAACAGTTAAAATTTATCAAACAGACACTTTTTGAGAACGCTAATAAGCATTCTCAAAAACGCAAGACAAGTCCAGAAAAAAAGCAATCAACAACAAATAATAACTTTTAAAAATGGAGATAAAGAAATAAATACAGACAAAGAGATTCTGGAAGAATATTTATTTATTTATTTACAGCTTTTATATTCCGCCCTTCTCACCCCGCAGGGGACTCAGGGCGGATTACAGTGTACACATATATGGCAAACATTCAATGCCAATTGTGACACACAAATATATACAGACATACACAGAGGATATTTAACTTTTTTTCTGGCCACCAGGGGAGCTGTCGCTTTCATCGTCCATCTGTGACGCTGATGAAGCACTTCCGCATTCCCCGCATGCTTCCCCGCTGGAATGCTTTCCTGGAGTCTTCTTTATGGCCTCATAAATCAGTTAATTTAGCCTCCCCACACTTTAAGGTGGTACCTAATTTTCCTACTTGACAGATGCAACTGTCTTTCGGGTTGCAAAGGTCGACAACAGGCTGGTTGGAAACCCACTCCAACCCGGGCTGGCTTTGAACTCATGACCTTTTGGTCAGAGTGATCTTAATGCAGCTGACACTCTGCCAGCTACGGCACAATCCCGGTGCAGTTCTTTAAACAACTTTATACGAAAGACCATATCTCGAAGGATGAGATATGTAGATGTATAGGCCAATTTAACTCCCCAAAGATATCCAATAACCAGAGGGAGAAACTTAATAAAGAAATAACAGATGAGTAGATTGTGAGTGCAATAAATAAAATGGATGCTAATAAAGCCCCTGACCCGGACAGGTTCACAGCAGGTTACTACAAAACATTAAAACAAGAACTCATTCTACCACTTAAGAAAGTTATGAATGGTATACTTAAGAAATAATCGTGATACATAAAGACCAAATGGAAAAAAACAAATATAGGTAACTATCACCCAATAACACTACTCAACACGGACTATAAAATCTTCACGAATATCCTAGAAGCAAGACTAAAAGAATTTTTAAATGAATGGATTGGAGAAGAACAGGCATTTTTTTTTACTGAAACGGAATTTAAAAGATAATATTAGAACTGTAATAGATTTGATTGAATACTTTGAAGCCAACCATCAAAAGGAAGTAGCTTTCCTCGCAATTGATGCGGAAAAAGCCTTCGATAATTTGAATTGGGACTTTTCAAAATTTTAATGCTGGAATTTGATTTAGGTTACCAATTTACTAATGCAATTAATGCTATATATGACAAACAACATGCTAAAATTCAAATTAGTGGACAAATTTATGAAGTATTTGAGATCAGCAAAGGCACTCAACAAGGTTGCCCTCTGTCTCCTCTTACCTTTATTATGTCATTGGAATTATGTGATGGGTTTTTTGATGCCTGTGTCATAGAAGTTTCCCACTGCCTTTTTTATCCAGTTCGTCACTTTGATTTTCACCTCATTGTTGTCGGAAAAGTGCTGTCCACCCCTCTCAAAGACCCAATCTTGCACCCAGTGACTGTTTGTTTGGATGGCTCTGCAAAGTTTCTTTGTGCTTTCAAAATATCTTTCATCATTGATTGCTTCACCTCTTTCCAAAAAATCAATGAGCAGAACCCCTTTTCTGTCCCAAAACAATATATCCCAAAACACTGACACCATGATTTTTCTCACAATGAATTGCAACAGCGTTCATGCCCTTAGCATTTAGGTAGCATATTCCAACACGAACTTGCACTTGGTGGGAAATAAAATGAGGACGCTTATCTCTAACCTTCACCACAATGTCAGTTGATGAGCTACTGATGACTGGCACTGCTCAGTCACTCCACTGGCTTCCCACTACGCGGCAGTGATACCAAGTCCACCCACAAAAATTCCCTGTGGGAGCTACATGCCTTGTAACCTAACTTTCCAGATAACCCTCGTACAATAGAATACAGTAGGGTTGCTTTCTAAAGCTGTTTTATTTAAACACAAACAGCTTTAGATAGTAGAATTGCTCTGAAAGATCTAGAAAATGTCTAGAAAAAAGTATGTTCTCTAGACCTTCGGTGTGTTCTCATTGTCAACTTCTGCTGAAGCAACAAGAATGATAACCTAAGAAGACATATGTGAAACCCCCTGAAATGCTTTTGTTATTTTGTATTTAGGAATCCAGCCATTCCAGAGTGTTCAAACGCAAACACAATTTCAGCTCCTTCTGCCTCCTGAGAAAGCCTGCAGTCCAGACTACTCTGGCTTGCTGGAGGCATTCCAGATCTTCATTTTGGATGAAATGAAGGCTCGCGGCTTTTGCCACATTCAGGTATTTATACCGAATCTGTAGAAAGAAAGGGTGGAAACTGAAAAATGTATAAGCAGCTGAAAAAGTGCTCTGAGATTTGTCCAGAGAGGTTTGGCTATTGCTATATCTTCTGAGGCTGAAAGAGTCATACAGTGGGTTTACATGGCCTTGCAGAAATCCTAAACCCTGGTCCCCTGAGACATAGTCCAATGCTCAAATGACTACACCATTTGGCTCTTATGTCATTGTCTACTCTATTTTGGACTATTTGGTATAGTTCAGGATCGGGAGATAATGCCTGAAAATTCTTGATTTCAAGATTGGTGCAGTTGAAGAAAGTTTTCCAGGTATTGTAGGATTTGTTTCTCCCTAAACTGGAATAACTATGAGAAATGAGGTAGGTTGGGAATAATAATAACTCTTCAAGTGATAGAAAGCAATGGGCATATAGAAAGAAAGCATTCACCCCTCTGAGGGTGCATCCAGACAGCCCCTTTAATACGGGAGTTCCTGTAATTAAAAGGGAGCCATCCAGATGACATCCTAGAGACACACACATTCATTTGCCGCAAACCAGGAAAACCTTGGCTGGTGTGAATTTAATTATTTGTGGGTTTATTGTATACCTTCTTGGAAGGTGAGGATAAACCCAGTACTTCTGTTGTCTGGATGCTCCCTCAAAAGTACTGGACTTTGAGGGGGCATTCCAGACAGTAGTCCTGTGGGTTGTTGTAGGTTTTTCGGGCTATATGCTGCAACACTCTCTACGTGGGGTTGCCTTTGAAGACGGCTCGGAAGCTCCAACTAGTCCAACGCTCGGCAGCCATGATACTAACAGGAGCGGAGCGCAGGGAGCATACAACTCCTCTGCTGCACCAGCTCCACTGGCTGCCGATTTGCTACCGGGCTCAATTCAAAGTACTGGCGTTGGCCTATAAAGCCCTAAACGGTTCTGGCCAAGCTACCTATCCGAACGTATCTCTGCCTATCAGCCCGCCAGGACCCTAAGATCTTCTGGGGAGGCCCTGCTCTCTATCCCGCCTGCTTCACAGGTGCGGCTGGCGGGGACGAGAGACAGGGCCTTTTCTGTGGTGGCCCCTCGGCTGTGGAACGCCCTTCCCATGGAGGTTAGATCAGCCCCCTCGCTAATGGTGTTTCAAAGAAGATTAAAAACTTGGATGTTTGAACGGGCATTCGGATAACAGTGCAATGAATGTGATGATTACAGGAATGGAAATATGGACGACGAATTGGATCACGACTCTAGTTATGAGATGTATTGTGTTGTTATTGTGGTGTTAATATTTGTATACTATGTTTTTATGGTTTTAAATTGTATATCGTTGATTGACTTATCCTTGTTGTAAACCGCGTTGAGTCGCCTGTTGGGCTGAGAAACTGCGGTATACAAGTAAAGTAAAATAAATAAATAAATAAATAAATAAATATATGTTCTAGAGGCATTATCTCCTGATGTTTCACCTGCATCTATGGCAAGCTTCCTCAGAGGTTGCGAGAAGTCTTGTGGTTTTTCAGGCTAAATTAGCCCAGAAAACTGTGAGGACACAAACCCCCTCCCCAACCCCCCCAGCCTCCCTTTAAAAACAAAATAACTTACCCGGCCTCCATTCATGTGGTGCTGGAGCTCTCCTGGCATGTAGGACTGATGTGCCAGGAGAAAGGGAGAGAGGAGGATAATCACTCTTGCCCTCCCCCTTTCTCATAGTGTGTCATTCCTATGCACCAGGAGAGCTCTAGCACCATGCGAATGGAGGCCGGGTAAGTTATTTTGTTTTTAAAAGGGGGTTTGGAGAGTTTGGAAGAGGGGGTTAGAGTGTCCAGGTGTTCTCCTGGAAAGTTCCAGGAGCACATCTGAACACCCGCCCCAGAAAGCATGAGCTTTCTAAAGTGTATGTAGACTAGGATCCGGGAACATTCGCGTATTAAAAAGGTGAAAATTCTCGGATTAAAGGTCTATCTGGATGCACCATGGGCCCCTTTGGGGAGATAGGGTGGTATATAAATACTCCCTTACTTGCTCCTTGTAAAAATTGATAACTCTCATGAATCCTTCCTTTTATAAATGAACAAATCAGGTGTGCAAATGCACCCACATATCTGCTGTTGGTCCTTAGTTAAACATTACAGGGAAACCAATTTTTGTCATGATGAAAGAGGTTCAGCAAAGGAGGATAGAAACCTCAAGGCACCGGGGAGGATTTCATTTCACTTTTCTTTACATTTGCCATTCCAAAACTGGGGATAATTAATTCAACAAATGTGCATGGAAAAACCAAGCTCATTTGGTCAACTTCAGAAAAAAACGTCAAAGATACATATTCTAGCGCTTTACCATCATTGCAGTCATGACTGCCAAGTCACATAACTGGTTTTCCATTGGGCCTACCTTATTTAAAAGGGAAGTAATAAGTTCCCCATGCCCATAATATCCCAGACCTTGTATTGCTATTCAAGAGGCTTAGGCAGTCTGGACCAGAGGTGGGGGTTGTCCTGTCTTCCAGTTTGAATTGGGATTAATTTAGCCACCATTCGCTTCCTATGAGGTCATGCTTCCACTTCAGTTTTATTTGAAATCTAGTTAAATTGAGGGTCGGCAAAGTGCAGACTGTAGGCTGCCTATAATTTCCCAAACATTACCATCATTAAAATTGAACTTGTCAAATTATTAGCTTATGCACAAGTTTTGCATATCTATTACTATACACACCCAGAGAGGCAGCTCATTCATAGGTATACATTTCTGTTCCTAGGCACTTCACTCAATGCAACCAATGAAGTGGAATCAATCTATTAAAAGTTATGCTCCCAACTTCTTTCTTGCAGTTTGCCTCAAAGGTGCTACAGCAGTGTTTCTCAACCTTCTGAATGCCATGACCCCTTAACACAGTTCCTCATGGTGTGGTGACCCTTAACCACAAAGTTATTTCCATTGCTACTTCATAACTGCAATTTTGCTACTGTTATGAATTTTAATGTAAATATCAGATATGCAGGATGTATTTTCATTCACTGGACCAAATTTGACACAAATATCCAATAAGCCCAAATTTTAATACTGGTGGAGTTGGGGAGGGGATTGATTTTCTCATTTAGGAGTTGTAGTTGCTGGGATTTATAGTTCACCTACAATCAAAGAGCATTCTGAACTCCACCAACGATGGAATTGAACTGAAACGTGGCACACAGAACTCCTGTGACCAACAGAAAATACTGGAAGGGTTTGGTGGGCATTGACCTTGAGTTTTGGAGTTGTAGTTCACCTATATCCGGAGAGCACTGTGGACTCAAACAATGATGGATCTGGACCAAACTTGGCATGAATACTCAATATGCCCAAATGTGAACACTGGTGGAGTTTTGGGGAAAATAGACCTTGACATTTGGGAGTTGTATTTGCTGGGATTTATAGTTCACCTACAACCAAAGAGCATTCTGAACTCCAACAATGGAATTGAACCAAACTTGGCACACAGAACTCCCATGACCAACAGAAAATACTGGAAGGGTTTGGTGGGCACTGACCTTGAGTTTTGGAGTTGTAGTTCACCTATATCCGGAGAGAACTGTGGACTCAAACAATGAAGGATCTGGACCAAACTTGGTACAAATCCTCAATATGCCCAAATGTGAACACTGGTAGAGTTTGGGGAAAATAGACCTTGACATTTGGGAGTTGTAGTTCCTGGGATTTATAGTTCACCTACAACCAGAGAGCATTCTGAAGCCCACCAACGATAGAATTGGACCAAACTTCCCACACAGAACCCCCATGACCAACAGAAAATACTGTTTTCTGATAGTCTTTGGCGACCCCTCTGACACCCCCTCACGATCCCCTCAGGGGTCCCGACCCCCACGTTGCATTTGCATATCTTTCTGGTTGGCCTTTTCAGAAGTATATTAAGTTGGAGGTATGCAAGAAATGTTTATGCAAGCATCTCTGGGAAGAACCACTAGAGTTGTTCATAGGAAAGAGTTACTTCTAGAGTTTATGTACTTAGAGTTTTAAACACTCAGTAGCTGAACATGTCTCGAGTATGACTGTCAAAAGGGAAGAGACATACCTAAGAATCTATTTTTGTGTATTTCATCCAGTGGTATAATGTCTTGCTGTAAAGAGTGGCTTGCCTCTAGATGGGCATTGCAGGAGCAGCCTTTTTATAGGAGCTTTCTCCTTTTTGATGGAAAAAACAGCAATGGAGACTTCAGGTGTTTTTGTAATATATATTGGCTTATAAGGATAGGATTAGGACATACTTGGACACAGGGATCAGCAGTGCAGTTGCTGATCCCACTTGAGATTTTAATAGGACAATTGAAACCCAAGAGTGAGCCAGTTTTAACCATTTACTAAAAGCCGTCCTCCCTACGTGTCTAAATGCAGGCTGCTTCTGTATCTCTTTTGGTTGAGATGTTGCAGAGAAAAGAGATTCTAGATTATTTTGAATGGGAAACTTATTTGATTAAGAATCCAGATGTGTTGTAGTTTTAAGCAAATCCACCTGAAAACTCTCATCACGAGGTATCTATATGCTGACAGCTTCCCTCTCTCTTCAACTTCAACCAATATTTCCAGATTTTGATGGGGTGGAAGAAGGGGATTCCAGGGTCTTTAGGATTGCCAGCTCATTTTGTTAAGCATCTCATCAAATGAAAAGTAGGTAAAGCCAGAGTTTGGGAAAGTTCCTTTTGGACTCTAACTCCCAGGGGATTCTAGAAGACAGAGTTCAAAAAGTATTTTTCCTAAACACTGAGTAAAATCTACCATTGTCAACTTTCAAGGCAAGCAACCAAATAATACAATCAACATCCCTTGTTCAGAATCTAAAATATTCTAAAATAGTGCACATGAGTGGCTGAGATAGTGGCACTTTTTCTTTGTGATGGTTTAGTATACACAAACTTTGTGTCATGCATGCAGTTGTTAAATAAAGCCCCGTGGTGGCACAGTGGATTAAACCCTTGTGCTGGCAGGACTGAAGACCAACAGGTTGGAGGTTCAAATATGGGGAAGAGTGCAGATGAGCTTTCTCTGTCAGCTACAGCTCCCCATACAGAGACATGAGATAAGCCTCCCAAAAGGATGTTAAAATGTCAAAACATCTGAGCGTCCCCTGGGCCACGTCTTTGCAGACAGCCAATTCTCTCACACCAGAAGCGACTTGCAGTTTCTCAGGTCATTCCTGACACGAAAAAAAGGTGTTAAATGTATTGTATAAAATTACCTACAGACTGTATGTATAAGGTGTGTACGAAACACAAAAGAGATTTATGTTTAGATTTGGCTCCCATCTCCAAAATAAGCTCTCTATATGAGACATTCAGATGTTCCAAAATCTGGAAAAAAAAAATCTGAAATTCAAAACATTCTGGTCCCAAGCATTTTTTTGTACTAGGTTAAAAACCCCTACTAGGTTAAAAAAAGACATCTACTAAAAGTTTTGTTTTATTTCCGTAAGGTAAATACTTTTGAGCACCTGATACCAGTTCCTGTCTGTGGTAATTCTGCTGTCCGGGTTCAGTGTTTGGCTGTGGATCGTTTGGGGGTGAACGTCACGTGGCGAGCTTTGCTTGAGGATGTTCCAGCAGCCTTGCTTCCTGATTTGCACAACATTGGTAAGGCTTACTGTTCCTGCTAGTGTAGTCTGCTGGTTGATGACTGCCATGAAAATAATGTACCACAGAACATGAAAGAATCAAGGCTGGATAAGTGTAGTCTGCTGGTTGATGACTGCCATGAAAATAATGTACCACAGAACATGAAAGAATCAAGGCTGGATAAAGTTAGTTCAGGTCCTGGTTGATGTCTGCCATCAAAATTTATTTATTTATTTATTTATTTATTTATTTATTTATTTATTTATTTATATTCTGCCCTTCTCATCCTGCAGGGGACTCAGGGCGTATTATGCACTGAATGTTTGCCATATACATGGCAAACATTCAGTGCCATAGACACACAACATATATACACAGACACAGAGGCAATTTAACATTCCAGCTTTTCTTGAGGGTATTTTGGCCACCAGGGGAGCTGTTCCTTCACCGACCATTTGTGACACTGATGAAGTACTTCCTCATTCTTTGCATGCTTGCTGGAGATTTTCATGGCCTCGTAAATTAGTTAGATTTGCCTCCCCACATAAGCGGTACCTAAATATCCTACTTGACAGATGCAACTGTCTTTCGGGCTGCAACGATTGACAGCAAGCTACACAATTTAGTCAGATGCTCACTTCGATCTGGGCTGGCTTCAAATTCATGACCTTTTGGTTAGTAGTGATCTTACTGCAGCTTACTCCCAGCCAGCTGCACCGCAGTCCCGTACAATGTTGAAAATCCCCCAAAATGTACAGTTGAAAATCCAAAAAGCAATGCTAGATTAAGGTAGTTGAGACCTCCATGCATTTCAAGAAACAGGGTTCCCTTTGTACACATTCCCCATTAGAGAAGTGGCATTACCTTGTGGCAGATTTTCCATGCCAGTGCTCCAAGACTGAGAGAAAGCCTCCCTGGGGCAACAGGCTACTATTTTTCAGCTCAAGACCCAATGTGGACATCTTTAGAGATCTCACAACTACTGAACATGCTAAGTGTCATGACCTTACTTCCTGGTTTTGTGTGAAGTCAGGAAATTAGACCATGCCTTAGACATGGCCTGTGTATATTTGAAACAAGGGAGATGGTTTCCATGGAAATCGGAGCAATGAAGGGGAGGGGCCAGGGTGAGGATAGGAGGTGTGAGGGAAATAAACTGTCAGTTGGAATTTTGTTTCGTACCACAATGTATGCTTTTTGAAATAAAGCCTTCTCACTTTGTTCGTGTGGCAATTTCTTTGACAGAAAGCTACAGATCCAGACACTAAGGTTGCTACCTCCAAGGATGCTCAGAGACTGATTGAATACCCTTTGATATTTTGTAGGTAGAAATTGAGTTCAAATAATATCAGAATATGGTCAAGATGGTGAAAGTTATGAATGACCAAGAACAGACCAGTAGGCTAGAGCGGTCTGCTTTTGCCTGAGCTGAATGGAAAGACCAAGATTCCTCTTCTCCTTTCTTCCTACTGAGTTATTTGAATGTAAACTATTTTTGTACTTTGATTTCAGCATGCAGCAGTTGATAAAAACTGAACTTAATGGGGAAAATGGGAGGAGAGGGAAACTGATATATGTAAAAATGGGGTGGCAGAAGATTAAACAAGATTGTTCCTGTTACATCAGGACAGTTGGAAGTACAGGATCAAGAGACACAATGGTTTAGCCAAATAAGATCTTTCAGCTTGCTTGATTTTGTGAGAACAATGGTTGAGAAATATAGCTGAAGAAAGGGAAAAAAAATCAAAGAAAAAGTAGCTCTAAGAGGTTTAGACTACAACCTTTTCTTGGAGAAGGGCAAGTCTTGAGAGGGTAAGGGACATGAAGCCAAACTTGGCGACACTTAGCTTGTTATTGAATGATGGGGATATGTTTTTGATAAATGCGATTAGTTTCTGAATCTCTTGTTCCTCATCCCCTCCCTGTACTGTTATGTTCTTGTTCCTTTTTCACACAGAAAAAGCAATGGTTGGTGCAAATCTCATTGGTCGCTTTGAAGAGCTGATCAGGAGTGGTGGTTTTGTTCTTCACTTGGACAACAAGCAATTCCAAGCAGACACATCCTTCCGTTTCTTCAGAAATGAAGATTTTGACATATCTCCCGAAGTTCATCTAGAGTGTGGAAGTGGATTCCAAAAAGTTTCAGCTGCTGAGGGAGTGCCCTCAAATCTCCAAGGATGTGGTATGTGTTATCTTTCCCGTTCAAAAATCACAACGACATGCAATTACAATATCAGCTCTAGTTTTATATGGAAATTGGGGTTTGATGAGTCTTTGGTCTCCTTTGTCCAATAGAGTTGGTATCTCAGCAAACTAAAGGGGCCTCAAGGGGCACTCAGTCTTCTATTCAATAGCTTTGAGCTTTAGTGTGGATGCACCCAGTCCATTGCTCAAACCATTTACTTACTTGCTTAGGCAATCCCTCATTGTCCAAGTGTAATAGCCTTCCAAGTGTTAACTTAGAAGATACCTGTGTGAGAGTTTTTTTAATGTATGCACAGCCGATCAATTCACAGTCTTCACAGAATGATTGTCCCAACCAGTTGCATGGTTAACATGACAATGGTGGCTTCTCAATCCATTACAGCCTTCTTCTGCCTTCACAGCCATTGTAACATGTACCATGTTGTCCTCCACCTGATCCGCTGTTGAGATCTTCTGATTGTGCTTGGTCTGGAACCTCCCTTGTGGCCTCTCCTGGGAGTATCTGATTGCAAAGGTTATGGCCACAGGTTCATTGGAACACACAAGCCCCCTCACCACGATAAGGTGACATCCATCAAGGGGATTGTCTACATAACACTGGAATACATGCACAAAAGATAGTAGTTTATTTGAAACGTAGTGCTTGTCCAGATGTCAATGATCAATCTGAGCAACTGATTTGGAAAATCTTTCTAACAACAGTGTTCAACATGTTGCAAATTATAGGAAGGATGTATTGAAAAAGTATATCTTGAAAAAGTAGTAGAATCATAGAATCATAGAATCAAAGAGTTGGAAGAGACCTCATGGGCCATCCAGTCCAACCCCCTGCCAAGAAGCAGGAATATTGCATTCAAAGCACCCCTGACAGATGGCCAGCCAGCCTCTGTTTAAAAGCTTCCAAAGAAGGAGCCTCCACCACACTCCGGGGCAGAGAGTTCCACTGCTGAACGGCTCTCACAGTCAGGAAGTTCTTCCTCATGACTAGTAATTAATCCATAAGGGAAAGCGATTGAGTCACTACCAAGAAAATACCCGTAATATCACACCCCTTTTTGTATATCATATAGAATCATAGAATCATAGAATCAAAGACTTGGAAGAGACCTCATGGGCCATCCAGTCCAACCCTCTGCCAAGAAGTAGGAATATTGCATTCAAATCACCCCTGACAGATGGCCATCCAGCCTCTGTTTAAAAGCTTCCAAAGAAGAAGCCTCCACCACACTCCGGGGCAGAGAGTTCCACTGCTGAACGGGTTCAGAATGCTCTGTGATTGTAGTGAACTATAAATCCCAGCAACTACAACTCCCAAATGTCAAGATTCTATTTTCCCCAAACTCCACCAGTGTTCACATTTGGGCATATTGAGTATTCTTGTAGAGTTTGGTCCAGATCCATCATTGTTTGAGTCCACAGTGATCTCTGGATGTAGGTGAACTACAACTCCAAAACCAAAGGACACTGCCCACCAAACCTTCCAGTATTTTCTGTTGGTCATGGGAGAACTGTGTGCCAAGTTTGGTTCAATTCCATCGTTGGTGGGGTTCAGAATGCTCTTTGATTGTAGGTGAACTATAAATCCCAGCAACTACAACTCCCAAATGACAAAATCAATTTTTTTTGAGTGAAGGACATACATTGGGTTGTTAGGTGTCTTGTGTCCAAAATTGGTGTCAATTCCTCCAGTGGTTTTTGAGTTCTGTGAATATCACAAACAAACATTACATTTTTATTTATATAGATTTCGGGCATTTTTACCCCACCCTTCTCAACCCCTGTATTTTCCTTGAGGAGGTTGCTTAGGAGCTCTAGTGTGAATGTGCTCCAAATGGATCTATGAGAGTGACAGGAGTAAGACAAACACCTCACCAGATGTCAGGACTTGGGCATCCTCAAAGGGTAGAAAGCTAATGTGCAGAGCATCCAGATGGGAGAATATAGTGGACTTGGGTGCTCTGTAGCCAAAAAAGTGGAAAGAAGCAGATTAAGCGAAGACTGTGGGCAATATTACCAATTCTTTTCATCAAGAGCAAATGTGACCAAGAAATTCCTGCAAGGGTCATGTATTGTATTGCTTTAACTTATTATTGGAAGTAGGGACATCTTCTTTTGATTTTTTGCATTCGTCCTGAACTGGGAAACAGTCTACAAAATAAGTCCCTGCTTTGAATCTTCCAGTTCATACGCCCAGGACTGGATGAAATTTCTTAATGGATTAGCGCATTTACTTCAATATGGTGGAGCGCTCCAATTCATCCATATGAGAATTCAATTGAATGTATGCTTGGCTGTGTCTCCAAGTGGAACTTTGAGAGGCCCTTTCCGCTTGAAGCGCTTGCCCCTCTTTGACAGCTCTTGGCATCAGGAGAGGCTTCGAGGACATTCAGTTCTAGAGATCTTGCCAACACAAAAATCCACATATAAAGTTATTTTGTCTTGCCAGGTAGAAACTTCAATCCCTGACATCTGGAAATGACCTGATATCTTATTATTGTTGTTTCCCAAACCTTTTCCTTTCATTAACATATGAAAAAGATTGTAGAGCCATGATGTGCTTTAAGATATAAAAATAAAAACAAAACCATTTCATTTCTTTGGTATCCAAAAGGACCATACTTTCTATAAGGTTTTTTTTTCATGTCAGGAGCGACTTGAGAAACTGCAAGTCGTTTCTGGTGTGAGAGAATTGGCCGTCTGCAAGGATGTTGCCTGGGGGATGCCTGGATGTTTTACCATCTTTGTGGAAGGGTTCTCTCATGTCCCCGCATGGAGAGCTGGAGCTGACAGAGGGAGCTCATCCTCACTCTTCCCAGATTCAAACCTCTGACCTGTCAGTCTTCAGTCCTGCTGGCATAAGGGTTTAACCCATTGCACCACTGGGGGCTCCTTTCTCTAAGCTGAGATATCATTAAGACTAAACTATATTCACATGGATAAATAGTTTTCATGCAAAGGTAAAAAAAGGATATTTATTCCCCAGAAAATTATCTGAAAAGCAAACTCTTCATTTTGCCTTGGGAAAAAATTATGTATTTATTTATTTATTTGCCATATTTATATACCGCCTTTCTCAGCCCGAAGGCGACCCAAGGCGGTTTATATTCAGCACAATTCGATGCCCCCTAACATACAAATACAATTAAAAACATTAGCATATAAAACATGAACTCATTAAAAGTCAATAAAAACATAAATCCTTAGCATATTCTTACTGAACTCACTATTCTATCGCATCGTCAGTCGTTCCATAGTCTGTCATTGCCTGATTTCATTGCATTTGCAAATACCTGCTCAAAAAGCCAAGTTTTAATCTTTTTGTGAAATGTTAAAAGGGAGGGGGCTGATGTAATATCCCCAGGAAGGACGTTCCATAGCCGAGAGGCCACCACTGAGAAGGCCCTGTCTCTCGTTACCGCCAAATACATCTGAAATGGAGGTGGGACCGAGAGCAGGGCCTTCCCAGATGATCTTAGGGTTCTGGATGATTCATAAACATCATTCTCATTTGGTCCTGTGGCACATATCTTTTTGGAATAAAAGGGAATGTTCATATTGTGACATGATCCAGCTAGGGCTCCTTTACCTTTAACAGCAGTAATTTTAGCAGACGAAGTTTCTATGAGAAGTTAAATCATCAGAAATTCCATCTTCTGTACCAATTTTTAAAGGGAAAAGAACCTTACTCACTTTTCACCTGGTAACCCACAATCAGTGGTTCTCAACCTGTGGGTCCCCAGGTGATTTGGCCTACAGCTCCCAGAAATCCCAGCCAGTTTACCAGCTGTTAGGATTTTTGGGAATTGAAGGCCAAAACATCTGGGGACCCACAGGTTGAGAACCGCTGCTCCTAGATCCAGCCAAATGGCAATAAAGTAGCCGGAATGTTATCATTGTCCTATGTCATCACAAACAACACAAAGCCAAATCAGAGCAAGGGCAATGTGAATGCTCCCTTCCAGTTTTGGGTTCCTTTCAAACCGTTGCTAATATGGAGGTTTCCTTATCCACCTTCTCATTCTCCATATGAAATGCACAGTGTTGTTGTCCATAATGTTTGGGGAGGTATGACAGTTGTAGTAAAAAAACAGCTAGTAATTGGCAAGAATCAAAGTTCAGTGAATGGTGAAGAAACAAGGATCCTAGAACTAGAATGGACTTAGCACAGCAGGCTAAACTGCTGTGCTGCAGAAAAATCATGCCAATCAGAAGGTCGGCAGTTCAATCCCAGGTCGGGATGAGCACCCGCCATTAGCCCCAGCTCACCTGCCCACCTAGTAGGTTGAAAGCAGAAATGCGAGTAGAAAAAATAGGTACCGCTTTTAGCGGGGAGGTAATAAAGGCACCCCTAAAGACATTGATTGGTGGAAAGCTCCTCAGCATGGAAGATGGAGCAACAGCTGCATCTTCCATCTTCCAGCAGTACAGCTAAACAGCTGTGCTGCAGAAAAATCCTGCCAATCAGAAGGTCAGCAGTTCAATCCCAGGTCGGGGTGAACACCTGATGTTAGCCACAACTCACCTGCCCACCTAGCAGGTTGAAAGCAGAAATGCGAGTAGATAAAATAGGTATCACTTTTAGCGGGGAGGTAATAAAGGCACCCTTCAAGTAATTGATCAGAGGAAAGCTCCTCAGCATGGAAGATAGAGTGACACCCCCCACCCCAATAGCCAGAGCCAAGCATAACCTTCAAGATGCCGGAAATACGATGGGAAAAACTGCCTTTGCCTCTGTTTGTGTTGTCTGTCCTTGTTAATTGTATAATCGGCATTGAATGTTTGCTGTATGTGTGTTCTGTAAGCTGCTTTGAGTCCCCTTTAGGATGAGAAGAGTGGGGTATAAATACTGTAAATAAATAAGTGAATAAATGCTGTGTTGTGCTGGCAGTTGAAGGGAATTTTTTTCTCTGCATCCATCCCAAAACTAACCCCTTGGGATATTCCATCCCTCCAGAATTAATTTTTGTGTGCACCAAGGTCTATAGTGCAAAAGGGACTCCTGCCTCCTGCTTTCACTACATTATGCATCCCCTTCCATGGATTTGATATCCATTATTTCATTAACCCATGCTCTCAAGCAAATTATTCCTCCCCACTTGCCCCGGAAAGGTTTGTGGGCCTCTTGAGGTCCTCCACTATGGTTTATAGTATGCTTCTGCCCAACATATACTCAAAATAAAGGGTTCGCTATGATCCATGGTTTCAGATATCCATGGGGATAGAGGTCTTAGACTGTATTCCCCATGGCTATGGGAACACATTGTATTACACAAGTAAAATAGTTGTATTATTTTGCTGCTATTGGAAAAGGCAATTGCAAAAGGCAAGCAAATGCAAATGAAACTCTGGTTGCTTCTTGTGTTGGCAGAGGAAGATGCAAGATATATCTGCCAAATATAAAATTATCACAGAGTTTTGCTGAAAAGCATAATATACTTTCATTTCGCTGACTGAGCGCCTTAAGGAAATATTACTGCGTGCAATAAAAAACACATTGGTTATTTTATCCTTTAAACATCGACCAAGTAGTTGGTTGAATAAAAGCAGTTTCAACTAATAAAAAATGGGGTTCAAAAATGCAAATATTTTTAATTTTATTTTTATTTGAGGAAATATATTGTGTTGCATTGGTGGATTTAAAATGGCACTTGAATTTCACACAAGTATCATAATATTTTTCTCTTTTTCAGTGGTCTGTCCTCCAGGCACCTCCTTCCAGAATGACACCTGTGTTCCCTGTCCATCTGGGTCCTATCAAGATGAAACTGGAAGCTCTTTCTGCATCAAATGTCCTCTTGGGAAATCAACTGAGTCTACTGGAGCTTTCAGATTTGAACATTGTAAGCACTCAACTCTATTACTCTTTTCTACCAGATTCCAAGGAAGTCCCTCAGGTCCTTGACCAGTGTCTGGCTACTGTGATGGTCTGGATGAGGGCTAACAAACTGAAACTTTGTCCTGACAAAACAGGTTCTCCTGGCCAGTTGTGGGACCGATCGGGGTATAGGGTGGCTACCTGTGCTCAATGGGGTCACACTCCCTCTGAGGACACAGGTCCGCACTCTGAGGGTCCTTCTGGACACTTGATGCCAAGGTTTCGGCAGTGGCAGGGAGGGTCTTTGCACAGTTAAAGCTTGTGCGCTCGCTGCATCCATAACTTGTAAAATCTGACTTGGTCATGGTGGTCCATGCCCTAGTTACCTCAAGGTTGACCTACTGTAATTCACTCTACATGGGGCTGCCCTTGAGGACAGCCCAGAAACTTCAGCTGGTCCAAAGATCTGCGGCCGGCCAAGCTACTTACAGGAGCTAGTTATGATCAACTCCCCTGTTTAAACAGCGCCACTGGCTTCCAATAAGATTCCGGTCCCAAATCAAGGTGCAGGTGTTCACCTTTAAAGCCCTAAACGGTTTGGGACCTGCTTATCTTTGAGACTGCATCTTCCCCTATGAATCAGTGCGTATCCTGAGATCATCTGGGGAGGCTTTGCTCTCTCAGGCGCGGCTGGTGGAGCTGAGGAACAGAGCCTTCTTGGTGTTGGCCCCCTGGCTCTGGAATTCCCTAACCTGGGAAATCAGACAGGCTCCTACCTTGTCCTCCTTTCGGAGGGAATTAAAAACCTGGATGTTCCCCTGTGCTTTTGATTAGGCAGTTCACCAGAAATTGTCCTGTCCCTACTTTAAGCTTTGCATTTACATGTGTAACATGTTGAGGTAGCTTACTAGAGGATAAGCTACCTCAACATGTTAGTATTCCCCAACCCTACCCATCTGACTTCGGCACCTTCTATGGGCTCCTTTTAGGAATTACTGCAATCACTGTGCCTGAACTCAGCTATGGTTCCTTATCTCAGCCATATTGTTTTTATGATGTTGTTATGACTGTGTTTGTTTTTTATTTTATTCATTGATTTTAATTTGTGTCTCTGTTTTTAATCTGTAATTTCTGGGCTTGTCCCTTGTAAGCCCAAGTCCCCTTGGGGAGATGGTTGGTGGGGTATAAAAATAAAGTAGTAGTAGTAGTAGTAATAGTAGTAGTAGTAGTTATTATTATTATTATTATTATTATTATATAAGCATCCCAAAACATTATATTCTGCCTCTTTCTGGTTGTCAACAAACTTAGGTACAGATTACCTCTGGTGTCAGGATGCCTCTTTATGGCTGTTTCTAGAGAATGTGATGTCAATAGTACAGTGATATCTATGCCCAGCTGATTATGAATAGAAATCTGCACTAGGTAAACAGTTGGTCTAAGCCAAGCATTGGCAAACTTGGGTCCTCCAGGTGCTTTGGACTTCAACTCTCACATTTCCTAATAGTTGGTAGGCTGTTAGGAATTGTGGGAGTGGGAGTCCAAAACACCTGGAGGGCCCAAGTTTGCTCATGCCTGGACTAACCCAACAAGGATTTTCTTATATTCGTTAGAAATTGGAATAAGTTTGTTTTCTAGATAGCAGTTAAAATATCCTTTTGTTGAAGACTGGTGGTAGAATAAGGCAGGAGCATTTCGTTTTGTACAACACCAAAGCAAGATCCAGTGTGATGTAGTGGTTTCAATGTAGGACTATGATTCTGGAGATCAGGGTTCAAATCCCTGCTCAGGATGGAAACCCACTGAGTTACTATGGGAGATGATACAGTGGGACCTAGAGCATCCTCCTAATACTGTTTAATGATAGATGACTTTGACATGTTTTTATATTGTCCATCTTAAATGTAATTTTAAAGTTCCGGAGCTACTTTAGGAGGTGCTGGTCATACTTTGTGACACATTTGAAAATGTTTTTGGCTTGGGATTTATGAGCTTGTAATATGTCATTAAATATAGAAATGTGACAATATAATATTTCTTAAAGGGGGTGGACTAGAATTAGAACACAAGTAGACATAGAGTGAGATATATGTAGACCAGTCTTTGTGTCTGAGATCAAAGAGCAAGGAGGAAATACTATGATCAAAGGCTCAGCATCATAGTGGATGAAGTGACAGCTCCCCCCGTGGCCGGAATCGAGCAACCTCCAGGAGCTGAAGTTGGAAAAATCGTTGAATTACCTCCATCTGTCTGTATGTCTCATATGTCTAAAAACGTCACTGGATGTTTGCCGTGTATGTGTGCATTGTGATCCGCCTTGAGTCCCCTTTGGGGTGAGAAGGGAGGAATATAAATATTGTAAATAAATAAATAAATAAATAGATTAATTTGTTCATTAGCCTTGTTTAGTATCTCTGGGTCCTTCCAGACAGGTCCTATAACTGGATTATATGAGCCCTCACTGCCAGTTAATCTGGGATAAACAGAAAACCTGGGATCATATCCTGGGATATAGGACCTGTTTGGAAGGGCCCTATGCTAAGTGTGTATGGCTCTGTATTGGTGTGGTTTTTGTGTGTGCTTATATGGGGGTGTTGTGTATGTGTTGTCATGTGTAGATTTTTTGTACTAGTTAAAAAGTAGATAAGTAGGGTTTTTTTAAAAAATGTATAACTTTAAGGTGCAATGTTCACTGTATTATCATTGCATCATGGTTTGCCAGGCAAAAAACATTAGTATTAAAAAAAGAACAGATAAAAATCCACCCATTTTTTCTGTTTTCCTTCAATAGGTATTACTGATTGTCAGATGGATGAAAGAGATGTGAAATGCGATGAAAATGGGAAATATAAACCTTCCTACACAGACCCAACCACTAAAAAGTCCTTCTGCGTTGATAGTTTTGGAGTGAAACTGGAGTGGACAGAAACGGATAGCTCACTTACGGATTCCCAGTGTTTAGGTGAGTGGATCGGACAAGATTTTCTTCCAAAGAGGTGTCATTCTAATGCATTTGTGAATATGCCTCACTATGGAATTCTGCAACCCTCTAGCTGACTAGTAGCAACTCAATGTCTAACCATTAAGAAATAGAGACAATTCTTGCCTCTAGCAAATGTTGCTGTTCACTGTTATTCTGGGTTTCTTTTCCCTTTTGCTTTTGAACTACCAATAGATTGCTTGCAGAGCTCACCTATTTAGGTCAAGGGTTTCAACTTTTGATCCACCTGATTGTTTTGGACTTCAATTGCCAGAAGTGCCAGCCACTATGATCAGTGTACAGGAAACTCCAAACATATGAGGGCCAAAAGTTGAGAAACATTGGTTGAGATAGATAGGGAAAAGAGGAGTCAGAGTTGTGTAGAACTTTCAACATTGGACTTTGGAGACCAGAGCTGGATTCTCTGCTTAGCTGTGACAATAGAAGACCCTGTGGCCATAAATCATAAATGGCTTGAAGGCACATAACAACAACAAAAACAGAAGAGACCAATCTGGCATGTACCAGTTTTCTTCGAATCTGAGGACTGGTGGCTTCCACCTCCATAAGGTGGTGAATCTATGCTTGGTTTTACTTTGAACTTGAGAGGATGCTGAATGATTTTGAGACTAATGTCCAACACAGAGGCGGTCCTAGATAATTTTCAATGGTAAGCAAACAATACTTTGGCACCCCCAACCAATCACTGATATATATTTTCTGTTCGTCGTGAGAGTTCTGTGTGCCATATTTGGTTCAATTCCATCATTGGTGGAGTTCAGAATGCTCTTTGATTGTAGGTGAACTATACATCCCAGTAACTACAACTTGCATATGTCAAGGTCTATTTTCCCCCAAGAGCGCCTCAAGAGCGTCCCTGGGCAAAATCAACTATACTGCAAATGCTTACTTTGCGTAATGGGTTGAGCCGCCCCTGGTCCAACACCTTGAACATCTCCAATTAGTTGCTAATTCACATCAACACATATTTGGAATGTGATGTGGGTCATAACCTAGATATAACTTGTTGTTTTTGATCTGATCTTTAGGTTTGGAAGTCAAAGGGAAAAACAAGGGAAAAACTCAATTTTCTGTAGATTTTGGAGGGAAAAAAACAGAGGAGAATGCTTTTTGCCCCATCCCCTTGTTCCCCCCAATGCATTTTTCTAGGTTTGTCATCTCTACTTGATCTCTACTTGTGCACCCTTATATTTCCTGACCTGGATTTTTCACAAATATAAATCTGAAGTCCTAATACAATTTTGGGAATGTCTACTCTCTCTGTTGTAACTTGCAATGAAGAAGTCTGAAGTACTTTAGAAGTATGAATTGCTATATATAAGCCATGATAATATTGACTAGCGATCATAATACTTCCTCTCATACCTGGCAGCCCCATTTATGGCTGACATGAGACATGGTGCCCCTGGCTCACCCCCATGGTGGTTTTTTTCCAAGCAGAAAATGACACTTTGATCAAAAGCACCTGCAGTTGTGGTACGGAAAACAGATGGCATTTGTTTCAAATTAGTTTAGGCGGGTTTGGCTTTCAGAGGACAAACAGTGGTTTGAAAGGTTGATCTCTGGTTTTCATTCTGTGGTATTGGACCGAGAATTTTAAGGCAAACATTTCTTTGAGGTCCTCCTAATGGATCCCTCATCATGAATATCTGACACGGGACACCCACAGAAACTGTGGAATATTTTCTTGACAGCACAATCCGAACTAGTTGAGATGGCCAAAGACCAACAGAGCTGACACTAAGCCAGGTGAAGCTATGACAGATCCAAACACTTCCTACCTTTGGAATGTTGGAATTTATCATTGGGTAACTTCATCCTGGTTGAACTTTGACAGTATTTTGGCTGTGTTTCTGGATGAGGTTTCAGTGTGGCCAGATTTGGCTCTTGGAGGGCCTAAATACTCTGGCGGGACCAGGTCTGGTCTGATTTTGGAAGCTTCTTCACGAATAAGACCAGCTGGATGAGATACTGGTGTTCTTTGGACACATGATTCCCAGTGTTTATCTATGAAATGTTGTGGAGCATGGACCCACACGCTAGTTGCCTATGGTGTGAGCCGAGTGTGTGTGCTTCATTGGAAAATATATGTGGTGAGACAACCCATCCCCAGATCAGACCACCCATATATTGCAACCCACCAGGTTGTAGAGGAACCTTCAATTGAGCACCTGGTGGGACAGATTTGGCCACAGACTGCCTTCGGCTCAGAGCTTGCATGTCTGGTGCATAACTGTAGGCCTGTTCCTCAACAACTTAGGTTACATTTGCATTGCCGAACTCCAATCTTGAGTCATACTGTTGTTTCTTAAATACATATTTAAATTCTAATTCCGAGACATGTCTTTTTAAACAACACTTTTTCTAGTTTTCTGACCCTTTTTAAAGAGAAGATTGGAAAAACTAGAACATGGATTCTGAGGTCTAAGATGCGATTGACCTAAATGGCCTTAATGAGCGTTAATTTGGTTTTGTATCTCCTCTCCTTTGGGAGTGAGCTGGCAACTTCTGGTCTCTTTGAATTTCTGTCTCCACACATTCTTAATGGAACATTTGGCATTCATTTAGGAGAGGCTGTAAAAAGAGACAAGTTCCAGATGAATAACTGTGCTAGTCTGCAGTAGCAAAAAACGTGGAGTCCTGAGGTTTCTTGAAAGCCAGCCTGTTTATCGAGGGATGAAATTTCACGAGCAAAAGCCTGCTTTGTTGAAAGTCATAACAATAATCCCGAGCACTTGCTGGAGGTGTGGCACTATGGGGTAGGGTGTTAAATCCTTTCTCTCTATTCCTGTTCCCTGACCTCCAGCTGCTATTAATTGTGTATGCATGTGTGTTTGATAGAAAGAGAGCAAGAGAAGTGATATATTGAATTATTTTTTTTAAAAAAGCATGAGTGCTTTTTGTGATAACTTAAAGCTCATTTCACAAATGAAAACCAGATGACTCAATTTCGCTAAGATGGTGAAAGCTATTAATGACGAGAAACACGTAAGCTAAAAGAAGCTGCAGCAGTTTGCTTTTGCCTGAGCCTATTGGGAACAACAACAACAACAACTTTATTCTTATATCCCATTTCCATCTCCCCAAAGGGACTCAGGGTAACTTACATGAGGACCAAGCCTAATATAAACAAAATTACCAAATAACACAATCAAAACACAATTAAAACATATAACACTTAAAGTTATTATTAATTTTATTATTTTAAATATATTAAAATAATAAAACTAATAAAATCTAGACATCATAAAAACATAACCAAACAGCAACCAACCAATGGGTTGTTGTAGGTTTTTCAGGCTATATAGCCATGTTCTAGAAGCATTCTCTCCTGACGTTTCACCTGCATCTCTGGCAGGCAACCTCAGAGGTTGTGAGGTCTGTTGGAAACTCGGAAAATTGGGTTTATATATCTGTGGAATGTCCAGGGCGGGAGAAAGAACTCTTGTCTGTTTGAGCTAAGTGTGAATGTTTCAATTGGTCACCTTGAGTAGTATTTGATGGCCTGGCAGTTATTAGGTGTGGCTTGTTACTGCTTGGGGGAATCCTTTGTTGAGAGGTGATTAGCTGCCCCTGATTGTTTCTTGTCTGGAGTTCCCCTGTGTTTCAGTGTTGATCTTTATTTATTGTTAAAATTTTAGAATTTTGTTAAAATACTGGTAGCCAGATTTTGTTCATTTTCATTGTTTTTTCCTTTCTGTTGAAATTGTTCACATGCTTGTGACCAAGCAACCAATGGCCAAGAAAAATGCGCATGTGCAGATTTGGGACTAATAGGGCAGGACAGGACTAGTGTAAGCCTGGGCGCTGGAAATAAAGTGCTGGAGATCCTACCAAAAGATGAGGGCTAGGCAGACTTGATCAGTAATTCAACCATTATTCGAAGACACATTGGAACATCAAAGTCTTTGGATATTTCCGAAAGGTGGACAAGGTTTGGGCTAATCTAATCTCCCTGGGGAGAGAGTTCCAGAGCCAGAGGGCCACCGCTGAGAAGGCTCTCTCTCTCATCCCTGCTAACTGAGCTTGCGACGGAGGTGGAAGTGAGAGAAGGGCCTCTCCAGCAGATCTTAGCACTCGTGCTGGTTCATAGAAGGAGATATGCTCACAAAGATAAGCAGGACACAATATGAATGATGACTGCCCCTGCCAATCCAGAACAGTTAAAGGAAGGTATGAGGGTTGCCAGATTGGATCTGGAACAAGTTTCCTATAACTTTTATCTTTAGCAGATCTTTGAGCAGGATGACATTCTTGACTTCTTTCACCCTTCAAACTCTAACCTTCAACCACTGGGTTCCCTTCCCCAAACGACAATTGGAAACATGTGGAAACTGTCCTATGTGACATAGCTTTATGGTATCTTATCCTGCTCCAAGATCTTGTTATTGTGTATTGTTGAGTGAGACATGCTAAGTCTCATGAGCCAACAATGTGATGTGGCGGCAAAAAAAGCCAATGGGATTTTGGCCTGCATCAATAGGAGCATAGTGTCTAGATCTAGGGAAGTAATGCTACCCCTCTATTCAGCTTTGGTTAGACCACACCTGGAATATTGTGTCCAATTCTGTGCACCACAATTCAAGAGAGATATTGACAAGCTGGAATGTGTCCAGAGGAGGGCGACTAAAATGATCAAGGGTCTAGAGAACAAGCCCTATGAGGAGAAGCTTAAGGAGCTGGGCATGTTTAGCCTGAAGAAGAGAAGCCCGAGAGGAGATATGATAGCCATGTATAAATATGTGAGAGGAAGCCACAGGGAGGAGGGAGCAAGCTTGTTTACTGCTTCCATGGAGACTAGGACGCAATGGAACAATGGCTTTAAACTACAAGAGAGGAGATTCCATCTGAACATGAGGAAGAACTTCCTGACTGTGAGAGCCGTTCAGCAGTGGAACTCTCTGCCCCAGAGTGTGGTGGAGGCTCCTTCTTTGGAAGCTTTTAAACAGAGGCTGGATGGCCATCTGTCAGGGGTGATTTGAATGCAATATTCCTGCTTCTTGGCAGGGGGTTGGACTGGATGGTCCATGAGGTCTCTTCCAACTCTTTGATTCTATGATTCTAAGTGTTGGATTCTAATAAAGTTTGGAGAACTCCTGGATGCTCACTCCAATTTAAAGCCCCTCACTTACAGAAACTAGCATTTGTTATCCATCAGTACTACTCATTCTAAATTTGTCTCACTGTATAGATTTCTCTAAGATTCTAAATAGCACCCTGACACCTGGAAGATGTGAGTGTCTGGGTCCATGCCTACACATCCATAGCAGATTACTGGGTGATCACTGGTCCTAAACACAGGCACCAGATCCCATCTGATCCGAATAGGGTCAGCCCTAGTTAGTACTTGGATAGGCAACTGCCAATGAAAAGCAGGTGCTGTAGTCTACATTTGAGAGGAGGGGACTGGCAAAACTACCTTTGAGGCGACCTTGTCTAAGAAAACCCCATGGTGGGTAACTTGAACACACACAGACACACTGCTGCGTAGGGCTTCTCAGAATTACAGTCTAACAACATCTGGGAAAGCAAGTTTGGGAATCTTTAACAGAATAATCCACATCTGGTCCTTGTGGTTTCTTCCAACTCCACCATGGCCTAACTTTTCCTATCCCAGAGACTTCACAACCTTAATCATTTTGCGTCAAAAGGTATTTCAACAGCTGAAGAAGTGGTACATGACTTTCCACACAGAGATTTTCTCTTCATCACAGACTGATATTATTTCTTGGATATACGGATGGCCCATTTTCTTGGTCCAACCTCATGGTTTGGACACTGTTAGTGATGGCATGATTTCTTGGAGTTTCCATATGTTAGTTGCATAAATAATATAATTTTTCTACCCCCTCTTTTAGAAAATAACAAGCCCAATAAAGTGGAGGCTTAGATGTGTACATTCATGCTCTATTGAGTTTTCCATCATTTTCCAGTTACACAAGGATCGTTCTGGTTTTAAGGCATGAAAAAACAAAAGCAAAACAGATTTTCAAGATTATTCATCCTTTAAAAATACAAGTAGGCATAAACTTATTTTTGTTAAGATAGCATCTAAGATTTTTCTGTTGGCTTATACTAGAAAAATATACAAAATTAACTTGGACATAATGAAAATAAGTGCCTTATGTTGGTGCATGGCATGAACCTGAAGCACTGGGCTACTTGGAGTAAAGCCATCTGTTTCTCACTGGGCTGGGAAACATGCAGCCTTTGGATACTGCTGACCACCAGCATCCAGATGCATTGACTAGCATGACTTTTGGTCAGAACTGATGGGATATGGAGTCCAGTAACATCTGGAAAGCAATAGCTTCACCATCCCAATTTCTAACTTAACTGTCATGGGCTAAATGAATTTGTTATGAAATTCAAAGCAAACAAAAAAAGGAATTGAAAAACTCAACCAATTTGTATTGGTCCCAAAAGAAAAGAAAACCTCTCCTTAATCTAAAGTCCAACAATTCCTTCATTGTTGTAGGTTTTTTCTGGGCTATATGGCCATGTTCTAGAGGCATTCTCTCCTGACGTTTCGCCTGCATCTATGGCAAGCATCCTCAGAGGTAGTGAGGTCTGTTGGAACTAGGCGTGTGTCTTGGGAAAGTTTCTCCCCGTAGAGATGTTCAATGTATTGTTGAAGGCTTTCATGGCCAGAATTACTGGGTTGTTGTAGGTTGAACATCTCTATGGGGAGAAATTGTTTCGACAATACATTGAACATCTCTATGGGGAGAAACTGTTCCCAGACACACACCTAGTTCCAACAGACCTCATTACCTCTGAGGATGCTTGCCATAGATGCAGGCGAAATGTCAGGAGAGAATGCCTCTAGAACATGGCCATATAGCCTGAAAAACCTACAACAATCTAGTGATTCTGGCCATGAAAGTCTTCGACAATTCATTCATTGTGAGCCACCAAAATGACAGAAAATAGTAGGCAAGTGTTTAGGTTCATCAAAACTTTCTTCTCAGCAGAGGAAGTTCTAATGTACCATTGGACATGAGATTTGTACCGTTGGTCTGGGCTTTAGAAAATCCAGGATAGATTCCTCACACAGCCATGAATCTACCAGGTGACATTAGGCAACTCTCTCTTTCTGAGCCTCCTTTGCCAGACTGTTGTGAGGATACATTGTGAAGCAAGAGAATTGTGCATACTGCGTTCAATTCTTGGGTGGAAACGTAGGCTGCAAATAAACTAAATGAAATAAGATGATATGGAAATTATGAAGAATCATGGGATCATGGAGTTGGAAGAGACCACCAGGGTCATCCAGTCTAATCCCTTGCCATGCAGTAATATACAATTAAAGCATTCTCAACAAATGACCATCCAACCTCTATTTAAAACTTCCAGAGTAGAAGACTCCACCACAATCAAACTCATATTGATTAAGTCTAGGATTACACTGAAATAACAATTTCTTCTGCATGTATTTCCCCAAGTGTTGAGAATTTTTTTCCGAACCCATTCTGCAAGTGTCTCTGACCATTGTGTTGTGATTGTTTGTAGTAGGGACAACTCTTGTTCATAGTGGCATCACACTTACGGATTGTTCCACTTTCCTTGGGTTTTGCCTGAGTCTTTTATTTCAGGTGAGGACATGTGTGTTTCATCAGACGATTTAGTAAGAAACACTTTTGAATTTTAATAATGCTTTATATCATCTGTTCTGAGAGTTTTCCTTGCTCCTTTTATCACTTTTTTTATGTTATTGGTTGTTGATTGATATGGATATCCATGTATTAAGCAGCCCAAAGAACATTCTTCGTGAGCACTTCATAATTTTACTTCATAATGAAACTAAACTGCAAGGCTCAAATTGATTGACTGTTCCTGGAATTTTTCAAATTTCAGTTCTCAGACAATTTGAGAGGGTCCCAGCTTCCAAGCTTTCCTTCTCAACAGAAGAGGTGAAGATAGTTGGATCTGTAACCATCCCAGGAGGACCTGAGAGTGCACTCCAACAGTGCATTGCAGGTAATAATGTTGGCTTCCATTTCTTCTCTGCCAAAGAGGATAGAGTGGACACCAAAGATGGTAATTCTCAGTTCTTAAAGGTCTGGGGTACAGCTCCTATGTATTCAAATGTGATAATGCTGAATTAAGGGTGCCATAATGTTGTTTTTTAATAGCCCCTCATTTTAACAGACTTCTGGGGGACAGGTAGAACAAGTAGAATGGAAATATATTCCTTACCTCTTTAATTTGGAAAGTGTTTACTAATATTCATGAATGTATACACATTTCTAACAAATGAGGTTTGAGTTTACAAACGGTTAAGGCCAGGAGAAGCAAAACTTTCCAATCCCATGAAAAACAATAGGGATACCATATTTTTGCTGTGTTTCTTTGATAGATCATCACATTGCCACTAACTGTATTTGCTCTTATTGATTGTTGGAGCAGCTCTTGCCAGAGTGTCTGGTGTTGAATGTAGGACTTACACCATGTATCCTTTTGTACTTTCAGAGTGTGCGAAGGATGAAGCATGTGGATTTCTCACATTGTCTACTGCAAGGACAGACATCCTGTGTGAGCTGTACAGTGCGATGGAGAGCAATTACAACTGTTCTGCTTCTGGACTGGTAATCAAATGCAGTTGTTTTGTGACAAATCTGGTATATGTTGAATATCCTTTCTCTGGAATTTTGAAATCCAAAATCCTCCAAAATTCAAAGTTGTCCACTTTGGTAGCTGGGATAGCAACACTTTTGCTTTCCTATGGTTCGCTCTGCACAAACTTGGTTTCATGTCCCAAATGATTAAGATATTATATACTAAATTAAAGATTTGGACAAGGTTACAAATCCTATCATGGCCTCTTTCTTCATTTTTCTGTATGAGTGGAAATCCCATATATTTGGACTGTGTCAGCTTTGCAAAACAAACAAACAAACAAAGAAAAACCAGCACATAAAATGGGTAAACACTCTTGTGATATCACCTGGCCTAGAATTATTCATTCTTGCATGTAAAAKTGAAAACAAAGAATATTTACATCAGTAGAGGTGAACTGCATTTCTAACCTTCAGAGRACTGTTGTGAAAAGTAATTCATATTAAATAAAAACAACAGCACCCATATGTTGGCCACCTATTCCATCTGTTTATCTAGTGTTCATGCTGCTTTTTAAGTATCAGCCACGGATATTATGTTTATATATATAAGCTTACATCTCCTGTAATGATAATGTTAAGAAGTCGGAGACATCTATAGGCTGTGTTTCTTTGGTAATACATATTAGCAGACTATGCATGCAATTCTTTCTGATTCAGGTTCAGGGGACTTGGGATAATGCCGCCACCACTAGTGTTTCTCGTCTCAGCTGCATGTTTAAAGTAAGAACCCAAGACCAGAATGCTGTAAGAGTCTATCTGAAAAAAGGTACGGACTAAATAACTTTAGTTACCTGTGTTGGTGATAGAAAGCACCAAATAATACATTTATTATACATTTGCTGGTTTAACTTTTGCAGATTTGATTATTCATGAATTTGATTAATGTATTCTCTCTATGAATCTTTAAATCTTCCAGCATGACTCTTAGGTTCTCCCCTGCCAGAGACAGACCAAAGAGTCATACTGAAGGACCTAGGGCAGTAGTTCTCAGCCTGTGGGTCCCCAAGTGTTTTGGCTTACAACTCCCAGAAATCCCAGCCAGTTTACCAGCTGTTAGGATTTCTGGGAGTTGAAGGCCAAAACATCTGGGGACCCACAGGTTGAAAACCACTGACCAGGGGGTTCCCAAAGAGAATACTTTCCTAAGCATTTGTATGTCCTCCAGCTCAATTCCGTCATCAAAGAGATGTGCTGGAGGATTCCTTTCTTAAGTTAACAAATAAGAGATATTTTTAATTTGCAGCTTTTGTAGTTTTGTAGGAGTTTTGTACTCTTGTGGGAGTCTTGTACTCTTGACCTAGTAATAAAACAAGCAGGTTAAGTGTGCAAAACTCCCACAAAAGTACAGAAACTGCAGATCAAAAATATACTGGGTTTTGGGTATCACACATCCCTCCTCAACTCCCCTCAGAGCTGCACTCTCTTGCTGAAGTGGTGCTTTCCCCCCTCCTATTTGTCCCAATAGAACATCCGAGTCTTAGCAAACCTGGTGTCTGTTTGCAGCGGGAGGTACAGATTTTCAGTGGCAATCATGGTAAATGACATTGAACTAGGCTGAAAAGGGGGTTATACGTTAGCTCATCTGTACCTTAGAAGAAGTCTGGGTCATTGCAGTTTGGACAAAGGCCATTTCAATGCCCACTTGTTGAGCTCCACCAGTGTTTTTTGAGTGTACCAGAAGAAATGTAACATGAATTCCACCCGCCGTTTGGATCATTTGTCATTGATTTTTTATTTGTTCCACATTTTGTAAGAACTTGGGGGGGGGGGGGGGGAGGAGATTTGAGTGATTGTGGTCTGGTTTAAGCACATACTTCACTAAAATTGTCTGTAGTTTTGGAGACTTCAGCGACTTATGGGTACAGAAGGACTGTACTTTGCCCATCCCTTCTTAGAAAGCAGAAAAGTAGCTCAGCTAATTTAGTGGCATCCCCAGATTTTGTTTTTTGTGTGTCAGGAGTGACTTGAGAATCTGCAGGTTGCTTCTGATGTGAGAGAATTGGCCATCTGCAAGGACGTTACCCAAGGGACACCCAAATGTTTTACCATCCTGTGGGAGGCTTCTCTCACATGAGAAGCTGGAATTGACAGATAAAAGCTCACCTTGCTCCCTGGATATGAATCACCGACCTTTCAGTCAGGAGTCCTACTGGCACAAGGGTTTAACCCATTGCGCCACCTATGGCTCCGTCCCTGAGTTAACCCATAACTTACTTGGTGATGGTATTGGCAGTATCTTATTTCTAGGGACTTAGACAGCAATTAGTTAGAATCCAGAAGTGTCCTTCCATGAGCAAAGAAATTCGTCTTACCTTTCTGTCATAATATACAACTTTCAGTGTTATGGCTTGAATAAAATGCCCTTCTTAAAATCTTGATGAAATCAACCTGATGTTTTTCTCCTGTCATTTTCATATAAACTTTGAGTTTACACTTCAGCTCAGTTCACATTCTGTGACATTCTCTGTCCCGCCTCACTTCTTTCAAGGACAAGAATTCACAACAGCTGGAGTGAAGACCTTTGAGATGACCGATTTCCAGGATGTTGTTTCTGGCGTGTACCGCAACCTGGTCCTCTCAGCAGCTGGTACATCTTTGACTGATGCTCATCTCTTCTGCCGCCAGGCCTGCAGCCAAGACGCTTGCTGTGACGGATTTATCTTGAGCCAGATTGTACTCGGTGAAGGTAACTGTGTTCAGGCTACAGATGTGAAAGAAAAAGAGAAATATATCCCATATCTTCGCACTTATCCCTTTCAATGGAAATGTTCTTAAGAAGTACACGAAGTAGAGAAACCCATGTGTTATTGATCATGGCTTTGTAAAACTTGGATTTTAAAGCCTTACTTGATAAATCTTTACTTGGGAGAACATGATTTTATTCAATGATACTACATATCTATTGGGCACAAGTTGGTTTGTCAGTAGGGGCTGCAAAAAATGAAAGCAGGGCTGGGGAACTTGTGGTCCTCTGGCCTTCGCTGAACTCTGCCTCCTATCAATTCTTATCAATAGCATGGTGGGAGCAAGCTTGTTTTCTGCTTCCTTGGAGACTAGGACGCGGAACAATGGCTTCAAACTACAAGAGAGGAGATTCCATCTGAACATGAGGAAGAACTTCCTGACTGTGAGAGCCATTCAGCAGTGGAACTCTCTGCCCCGGAGTGTGGTAGAGGCTCCTTCTTTGGAAGCTTTTAAACAGAGGCTGGATGGCCATCTGTCAGGGGTGATTTGAATGCAACATTCCTGCTTCTTGGCAGGGGGTTGGACTGGATGGCCCATGAGGTCTCTTCCAACTCTTTGATTCTATGATTCTTTGATTCTATGATTCTATAGTCCAGCAACATCTATATTACTGTATTCACAGGTTTTTTGTCTGTGAATACAGTAATTGGAAGAATTAGAGGTGAACTAGAAGAATTGTCTCTTCCCAGCCCAATTTTGAAATGGCATTCATTCACTTACATAACTTATGTCCAGTCTTTCTACTCTTCCAATGTATTTACGATGACCTATAACAGAGACAGAAAACCCTTTTGATTTAAAAATAATTTTATCTTATATCAAAAGCATTGCATAAATTAGTATAAAACAGATAAAGATAGAAGGAGCGCAAGCGGCTAAATACCTTTTGATCAAAAACGGGCAACAGCAATGACATTGTCTGTGTTGTTGTTCATTCGTTCAGTCGTCTCCGACTCTTCGTGACCTCATGGACCAGCCCACGCCAGAGCTCCCTGTCGGCCGTTACCACCCCCAGCTCCCTCAAGGTCAGTCCAGTCACATTGTCTGTAGCCTCCAACAATTCTTTCTCTGTACATGAAGCAGGGCATAGTGGACAAGCATACAGATGTGGAGTTGTCTGTTATGATCCAAGTCACACAAGGTGTGGGATTTTTTTAGGTAGTGCCATTTTGCCAGGTTGTCTTTTGATCTGCCCACTCCACTTCTGAGTCTGTTCAGGGATTTCCAAGTTGCCCATTCTTGGTTTGTCCCTGGAGACAGACCCTCATGGGGGGCCATCCAGTTGGGATTTCCTGGTTTAGCTGCCCAGAGGGATACCCTTGCTGTTGCAAAATGCTGTTGGTACCCAAAAACATTGCTTTTTAAAAATAATAATAATGTAAACTCAATATTAATATTAAAGTTTAATATTAAATTAAAATATCAAAGTTAAAGAAGATAGAAATAAATGACAGAGCTAGCACCCATACGATTAGATCTTCATTAACAACAGAGTAGTCTAAAAAAAAAAAGCCAATGGGATTTGGGCCAGCATAAATATAGTGTCTAGATCCAGGGAAGTCATGCTTCCTGTCTATTCTGCCTTGGCTAGACCACACCTGGAATTCTGTGTCCAGTTTTGGGCACCACAATTGAAGGGAGATCTTGGCAAGCTGGAATGTGTCCAGAGGAGGGTGGCTGAAATGGTCAAAGGTCTGGAGAACAAGCCCTATGAGGAGCAGCTTAAAGAGCTGGGCATATTTAGCCTGAAGAAGAGAAGGCTGAGAGGAGACAAGATGAGGGCTGTGTATAAATATGTGAAAGGAAGAAATAGGGAGGATGGAGCAAGCTTGTTTTCTGCTGCCTTCAAGACTAGGATGCGGAACAATGGCTTCAGACTACAGGAAAGGAGATTCCACCTGAATATTAGGAAGAACTGGGAGAGCTGTTCAGCAGTGGAACTCTCTGCCCCAGAGTGTGGTGGAGGCTCCTTCTTTGGAGGCTTTTAAACAGAGGCTGGATGGCCATTTGTCGGGCTTTGAATGCCATTTTCCTGCTTCTTGGTAGGGGGTTGGACTGGATGGCCCACAAAGTCTCTTCCAACTCTATGTTTCTATGCTTCTAATTCTATGAATTAAATAGAAATCAAGTCTATGCATTGGTCCCCAAATTTTGGTTATGATTCTGATTTCTGATCTAGATCCTGAATACAATCAAGATCGCCATTCATCAAAGTCAGTTTGATGATAAATAATATTTGTTGACATTTCAGTTGCATTTTCACTCTTAAATTACAGCCATTTTTTGGTATCACAATGTCTATTTTCAGGTAGTGTCTTCTGTGCTCTCATGAGCTACCCGGATGCATTAATCTGCAATGTTAAGAACTGGGATGGAAGCTCTACACGAGGACAAGGAAATATGTGCCAAAGTGTAAAGTACAGCGAAGAAAAGAAAAAGTACAGATTTATCTTAGGAGGCCAAGTGCTCTCAACAAGTAAGTTGAACAGTCTTCCCTTGGTATGGAACAACTCTATTGTTGATTGGAAGTGACATTTTTGCTAGTTCACCCCAACCCAAACTGCTCCAAAATGGAAACCAGAAGTGATGTTAGTCCAGCAAAAGCACGACAGTGTGGCCTGATGGAGGAATCATGAGTGTGAAAATTATGTCTAGCATAATTGTTTACAATTGAGGGAAATGTTGGTTATTGTGCTGATTGTGTTGTGTTCCTCCTTTGCATTAGCACCTGAGCTCATAGAAGATACTGAAGCTTCTCTTACCACATTTCAGCGTGTTTATCTATGGAAAGGTATGTTTTGGGATATCCCCGCCCATTTGTTTCTGGTATCAGTCTGAAATTAAGATATATTTGTTCCTTCCTGGCAGAATGGATTTGGATTGGATGGTCCTTGTGGTTTCTTCCGTCTCCATGATTCTTTTTTCTGCAATCATAGCCCAGAAAATAATGACACCAGCAGTGTATCATCGACTGGATTTTGTTTGCCTTTTAGATTCCGATATGATGACCCGAACAAGATCTACTTCATGTGACAGTGTTGTTCCTCCAACAGAGATCAAACCATTGCAGCCAGGTATTTATCCAGAACTGTGTACATGTTATGAACTTGGATTTTCAGTGGTTTTTTAAAAAAACATATTTTATTATGCTGTAAACACAAATCAGCAAGCCATATTCCAAGTGTTACCAGCATAAATCCTGAATAATTCAACAAATATTAATGAAATTATGCTAATTTACACTGGTGTAGATTATATTTTTTCCTCCCTCCCCCTCCCTCCCCCTTCTCAACTGCAATATATTTCTACTAATTTTGCAGATCCAGCCACTGGTAAAGCCTTGTATTTTTTCTTTGATGTGATCGTTAGCTCGTCCATTTTTCACCCAGCTGAAGTAGACCTTCCATCTATTTGTAATGACCTTTGTTTGTCCATTCTTGTTGCTTGCTTAGTCATAATTCCCGTAATGTCTAACAGCACTTGATCATACATACGAGGGGTATTTTTTAAGTAAGGTCCATTGGAACATAAGTACACAACGAAAGTTTATTTCAAAAAAGTAAATTTATTTTCAGAAAGTACATACTTCACTCTATTTTTTGACATAGTTGCCAAGTTTGTTCAAACACTTATCATACCTCTGAACCAATTTTAAAATACCCTCTTCATAAATCCTCGCTTCAACTGAAGCCACCAAATTGTCTGTAATCAAAGAAGGGTGACCGGAGCGGTCCTCATCATGGACGTTGTCTTGGCCATCTTTGAATTGTCGTACCCACTTAGGCAACTTTGCTTTCACTCATAACAGTATCACCGTACACTTCACAAATCTGTCGATGAATTTCTGCAGCAGGCAGGTTCCTTGCTGACAAAAACCGTATCACTGAGCGAATCTCACATGTGACGGGTGAGTTGATAGTCTTAAACATTTTTAAAGCACAGAACAGAACCGTACAGGTTAGCTACAGAGCGGAAACTGAGCACAGTTGTTCCCGAGGCATGCCGGTACACGACACATGTGCTCGTTGCGGTATGCACGCGAACTACTAGTGTCTACAACAAAACGGACCTTACTTAAAAAATAACCCTCGTATGATCATTCCAATTGCTTAACATCCATTTCGATTTGTCTTTCCATCCTCTGGCGATCACCACATGTGCTGCTCTTATTGTTACTTTAAATAACTCCTGGCAATTGATTTTTATACTCGAATGTTCCAACACTCCCCATAGTAGCAAATCATTATTAATTTGAATTTTTATCTGGAATATCTCCTGTATTTTTCCTTGTATCAATTGCCAGATTTTTTATTTCAGAACACTTCCACCATATATGTGAATAAGTACTTTTTTCTTTATTACAATGCCAACACTTTGAATTATTTCCTTTTACCACATAATCCAACTGGATTTTCAGTGTGAATATATGATTCCTTTTTAAGCTTTCCCATGGCTTGTATTGCAAATGAGCTTCTTCATATTATTTGGGCCAAGACCCAGAGAATAATCCCTTTAGCAGCAAGAGGGAAGCATTTTTCCCCAATTCCCAGGAATCTCATAGCCCTCCAGAGCAGGGTTTCAGGGGGCACAAGGCATTGCAAGAAGTGGGAGTTTCTGGATTTTGCCTCTTATGTTTTCTCTGATTGGTATCATGGACTGCATAGGTTGTTTAGGACTTCTACTTTAATGTTCTAAGCTTTAGTCCTACATTCAGTGAACTAACTAGTCCTACATTCAGTGAACTTTAAGGAGCTCCATTGGCTGCCGTTCATTTTCCGTTCCCAATTCAAGGTGCAGGTGCTTACCTACAAAGCCCTAAACGATTTGGGACCCGCCAACCTGTGTGACCGCATCTCCGTATATGAACCCACATCATCTCTCCGATCATCTGGAGAGGCCCTGCTCACGATCCCACCTGCATCGCAGGCACGATTGGTGGGGACGAGGGACAGGGCCTTCCCCGTGGTGGCCCCTCGACTCTGGAACTCTCTCCCCAAGGACATCAGACAAGTATTTGTTATGCTGTTGTTTTATTGATGTGTTGCGCCTTGGCCTCTTGTAAGCCGCACTGAGTCCTTCGGGAGATGTTAGCAGGGTATAAATAAAGGTTTATTATTATTATTATTATTATTATTATTATTATTATTATTATCATTATCCATGGTGCTGAGTCCTATCTCAAAAACATCTTCAGCATTTGGATGTCTCCTTTAAAGCTTAGACTCGAAATCCAAAGCAGACTCACTGTCCATCGGCTGCCATGGAACATGCCATGTATGGAGTTCTGCTCACAGAATGCTTCCATCACTGGGTTCCAAGGCTTTTTCAATAATGTGATGCATATGGCTTCATCGTTATAGCATCTGACTTCTGCCATTTATTATTGTTAGCTTCTATGTTTTGAAATGTTGGGATTTAACAAATTTTCAAGTTATATGGAAAGCTTTGCATTTGTTTCTCTTCTCTATATTGATAAGATTCAGCCATGGAACTCTTTTCTCTGATGGAAAGCAGCCAAATACAGATCGACCAGAGTCGTTCTCTACCATCCCAAGAATACTGGCTTTTCCAGCCCAGATTCTCAGCAGAGGAGGCCCGTCTCTGGTGTCTTGCACGTAAGACATTTTGGGTCATGGGGGCATGTTCATACCACTCATTACTCGACATTCGAATCCTTGTAGAATGTTTGCAACATTCCATTAGTAGGCCAAGAGATAAATGTAAAGCAAAAAGCAGAATTTAGTAAAGATAACCTCTAAAAAGAATGCAGAAAGATCGCCATAAATCCGATGCTTGGTGAACTTGAGATATTTGTTCCCACACTTTCATTCTGCGGTTGACAGAAAACTGCATTTTTTATATGAACAAATTGTACGCCTTATGCTCTTTATGCACAATTGATGTTCAAGAGTGAGGGAGATTTGACATTTCTTTTCAGCAGAAAGAAAGAGAAAAATATTATGGGTTGGAACCTAAGTTAAGAAAAGCATGCCAACACATCCAAAGCCTCCAAGATTTGACAGATGAAACTGTGATCTGTGTGTCCAATCAACAGCAGAGCATTTTTCAAGGTGCCATAAGTTACTCAGAGGAAAGAACACAACAAGCTAAGAGAGTCTGCAGCTGTTTGCTTTTGCCTGAGCCATTTGGGAAGGGCAAGATTTCCCACCACATCTTCTTCTCACACTACTGCTAACTACTGTTATTAGAATCATAGAATCAAAGCGTTGTAAGAGACCTCATGGGCCATCCAGTCCAACCCTCTGCCAAGAAGCAGGAATGTTGCATTCAAATCACCCCTGACAGATGGCCATCCAGCCTCTGTTTAAAAGCTTCCAAAGAAGGAGCCTCCACCACGCTCCAGGGCAGAGAGTTCCACTGCTGAACAGCTCTCACAGCCAGGAAGTTCTTCCTCATGTTGAGGTGGAATCTCCTCTCTTGTAGTTTGAAGCCATTGTTCCTCGTCCTAGTCTCCAGGGAAGCAGAAAACAAGCTTGCTCCCTCCTCCCTGTGGCTTCCTCTCACATATTTATACATGGCTATCATATCTTCTCTCAGCCTTCTCTTCTTTAGGCTAAACATGCCCAGCTCCTTAAGCCGCTCCTCATAGGGCTTGTTCTCCAGACCCTTGATCATTTTAGTCATCCTCCTCTGGACACATTCCAGCTTGTCAACATCTCTCTTGAATTGTGGTGCCCAGAATTGGACACAATATTCCAGGTGTGGTCTAACCAAAGGGGTAGCATTACTTCACTAGATCTAGACACTATGCTCCTATTGATACAGGCCAAAATCCTTATGTTATTAAAAAATACTGCATTTTTTAATTCTTTATTTGTGAATTAAAAAAAGAGTGGCTTGAAGGCTTACATACAGAGAATGATTAGTACTACTGAAAGCATTATTATTATTACTACTTACAATTCTAAATTATACCAATAGTACTAAAATACTACTAGCACTAGTGGTTTTAATACTATACGTATGATTGAAAATGACTTTGCTAAGGTAGATTTTCCCTTTCTAGGTTGTGTAGAGGATGCCTTCTGTCAATTGGCAGACATCCCAAACATCGCAGCTTCGGTGTTCTTCCCCTGCACCCTTTTCCCAGTGGCCCAAGTCTGTGACAATCCCATAAACAACATCCCTGAGAACTGTAACATCGTGTTGCCCCAGAAACCCAACATCTTGTATCAGAAAACAGGTGAGTTGGGTCGACATTTCTGGGATTTATTTTTTTGCAATATCTTTATTTATTTATTTATTTATTTATTTGCAGTATTTATATCCCGTCCTCCTCACCCTGAAGAGGACTCAGGGCAGATCACAATGCACACATACACGACAAACATTTAGTGCCATTTTTTAGACATACAGGACAGACAAAGAGAGGTATTTTGACATTTTTCCAGCTTCAGCTCCTGGAGGTTATGCTCGATTCTGGCCACAGGGGGGTGCTGTCACTTCATCCACTATGCCGCTGAGTCATTTTGATCATACTTCCTCCTTGTTCTTTGATTGCCAGCATTTTTGGGGTGGAGTAAAATACCTCCCTGCTTTATTTATTTAGTTACGATATTTCTACCTCACCTTTCCCAAACTCAAAGGTGACTCAAGGCGGCTTTACAAAATAAGCAGTGGAAAGTCAAGAGGAAAGGGGTTGATCTAATATCCCTAGGGAGGGAGTTCCACAGCTGAGGGGCCACCACTGAGAAGGCCCTGTCTTTCACCAGTTTTGCCTGCAAAGTAGGCGGGACCGAGAGCAGGGCCTCCCCAGGTGATCTTAAACTCCTAGATGGTTCATAGGGAGAGATACGTTCGGACAAGTAAGCTGGGCCAGAACTGTTTAGGGCTTTATAGGCTACTCGGTAGCAAACGGGAAGCCAGTGGAGCTTGCATATCAAGGAATCTTGGTGCCGCCTGTTTGACCATTTGAAGCTTCCAAACAGTCTTCAAAGGCAACCTCAAACTTTAAGCAGGATCTGATTTCTCTACACACTGCCCAGATGTTTTTGAACTGCTTAGGTGGACACTAAGCTAGGCCTAACAGTTGGGTGTTCAATCCTACTTGGGCTTCAAACTTGCCACCTTCCAGTCGGCAGTGATCTATTGCTGCTGGTGATTAACCAGCTGTGCTACAGCCTGGCCCTAAGTAATTCTAATTAGTTAGAATTAATTCTGTGTTTTTGTTGTATTTTGAATTTTTTTTAAATACTGTCTACTGCTTAGAAAACTCTGATCTACAGATGCAGTACATAAATATGAATGGATCAATAACTCGACTTTAAAAGAAAAATATCATAGTAGAGTAATAGATTGCTTCTTCCTGAAATGCCATTCAACTATGAGAGGCAGAGAGTGCATCATCTACACTGTAGTGTATTTTGACACCACTTTAAATGGGATTTGAAGTTTAGTGTAGCATCAGCACTCTTTAGCAGAGAAGATTAAAAACCATGTAAACCTGATAATAGTCATGATCCCATATCACTGAGCCATGGCTGTTAACGTAGTATCAATCTGCATTCATTCTACTATGTAGATGCACCCAAATACATCAGTTGGACATGGAATAGGCCTGGGATACTTTCTCAGTCTCTCGTTCTGTTTACTTTTCAGTCTCTCTGGAAGGGAGTGTGAAGAATTTTTACACCCGCTTACCATTCCGAAAAATGTCACAAATTTCTGTGATCAGCAAGACGGATGTGTCTGGGAAAACTGTCTCCAATGGGTATGGCTCTGCACTCTTGCGTTCTGTGTGCATTGATTTTTGGCTCCATAAGAGGAACAAGAGATCCCTCTTGCAAAAAGAAAAAAAGATAAAATCTGGGGGTTTAAAGGGTCCTTGAACGGTCTCTTGTTCTTGTCCAAATCTAGAGTAATGGTTTTGCAATACGGTTAGTCTAGAGTCCAGTGCAACACATAATAATTCCACCATCCAAGAATAGTATGCAACAAACACAGAGAGCAGTAACATACAAGGAAGTTGGATGTAAAAGCTACCTTCAGCTAAGGTAGAAAAGGCATCACATCTCAGAATTGCCTTCAGAGTGGATTTTAAAGAAGATTTTGTTTATTTTAATCATAATTTTTTATAAATATAGTCTGAGTATCTCTTATCTGAAGTGCTTGGGAGTGTTTTGGATTTTATTTTTTCAGTTTTTCAAATGTCTGTTGTGCTGTTGCGCACTGGGCCTATGACAATGTCTGTTTACAGGACGCGGTTTCTGTATGCCCAACGGGACGCCGGGGTGCCTCAGCTAAAGGGTCCCATAGGTTTCCCAACACAAAGTTCTGTAGAGGCTCAAAATAGGTTCAACAAAGTTATTTATTAAGGCTTAAATCTTCGAACAATTAAATGCTATATAATCTTGAAAAACTGGTAGCTTCCTCAATCTGCCAACAAGGGACAGGCAACTGCTTGATAAGCTGTTCCTATCTTCTTTAGGGAAACCTTCCAACCCCTCCTTGGGCAATCTTTCTTTACCCTGCTGGCGTGAGGCCCCAATTCCCGGCTCCAAGCTGCATTATGGATAGCCCAAGTGGTCTCTTACCAGGCAATGGTTGCTATAGATCTGCCAAGCTGGTGTCCTGTAGATTTGCCCCACGAAGGCTGTGGAACTATTCCTTTATTTTCCAGCAAAGCTGGCTATATTCCCCCAGCAAAGCTGTGGAACTATAACTTTACTCCCCAGCAAAGCTGTAGAGGTTTTCCTTTCCCCCCAGCAAAAGCTGTAAGAAGTGAAGCTTTTTACACGTGGGACAGAGAAAGCCCACACGTCCTGCTGTAAGGCTCCAAATTGTGAGACTGAACTAAAAGTCCAATTTTCCCCACAAACCTGGGGAAAGGAGCAGATCTAAAGGCTCTAACGATGATTGATAGGTTGTTGGCCCTATGATTGCAACCTGGGGAAAGCTACCCAATTGCAAAATGCATGGCCCAGATGAATTCAAACAAACTAACAGTACAAGAAAAGGAATTCAAATCTCCTGGCACAGCCGTGCCAGCACACGTTTGTATATGCAATATATAATGAGATATCATAGAGGTAGGACCTAAGGCTACACATGAAATTAATTTGTATTTAGGTTACACCTTATGCAGATAGCCTGTAGGCAATTTTATGTGCATTTAAAAAAAATATTTTTGCGAGTGAAACAAAGTCTGCATACATTGAACCTGCAGAATGCAAAGGTGTAACTCATCTAAGCCAACCTTGTGTACAGCTTTGGATTTTGAAGTATTTTGGATTTGGGGATTCTGGAAAAGGTTGCTCAACTTGTACATCTTTTCACACCCAGTCTCCATATAAATATAAATGGAAGCAGATTTATTTTGTAAAGGGAGTTATTTCAGATGGAAAGACTAGGATGCTTTCTGGGTTATAGGAATACTTAAGATATGCAAATGTATGTGGGGAGTATTAAGATAAAGATAACATATTGTTGGGCAAGGCTCTTCTTCATCTCTTCTTCTCCCTCTCCTTCTACACCTTCCTCTTCTTCTCTAACCTAAAATCATGTATGTCACTTTAGCTGGGCAAGGAATAGCTTAATATAGAGATTTACTAATAATAGACTAATACAAACTTCTTCTTCTTGTTGTTGTTGTTCATTCATTCAGTCGTTTCTGACTCTTCGTGAACTCATGGACCAGCCCATGCCAGAGCTCCCTGTTAGCCGTCACCACCCCCAGCTCCTTCAAGGTCAATCCAGTCACTTCAAGGATCCCATCCATCCATCTTGCCCTTGTTCGGCCCCTCTTCCTTTTACCTTCCATTTTCCCCAGCATAATTGTTTTCTCTAAGCTTTCCTGTCTTTTCATGGTGTGGCCAAAGTACTTCATCTTGGCCTCTACTATCCTTATACAAGATTTTGCAATGATAAATTAATCAGCATCTATTTTACCCTTTAGCAAATAACAGCAGTGAACCACAGCCATGTCAGGATTTAAGATATGAAATGCTCTCTGTGGTGGTTTTCTTCCAAATACATTGTGTTTTTGTACAGGTTCTTTGACTGTGAACGCCTCTGTGATGCTGATCCTTGCTGTTCAGGCTTTGGACTCTTAAATGCTTCTCAAGAGACAGGTATTAATTCTTTATCATATAGATCAGAGCTTCCCAAACTGTATGTCATGGCATTTGGCATGGAACACTAATATCTGCAGTGTGTAGGTGTGTTGTGTAAATGTAACAAGAAAACATTATGTGAAATAAGCAATAAATCATATATCTATCTATCTATCGGAAAGGTTTTCATGAGGTATGTAGTGTCTCCATATTTTTGTTATTACAATTTTTGTATGCTTTCATATTTCTTATAAGGGGTTAGTTTACTCTCTGGTTTGCTAGTAAAAAATGAATCACTGTGTCGCAAAATGATGCATGTTTTAAAAAAGTGTAGAAAGCCCTGGTGTAGATGCTCTTGTCTCTAAGCAAAACACCAATGTTATATAAAGAGTGACAGAGAGTGAATTCCATGTTAGTGATGGTGGTTTAGTGTGAATCTACTTCAGCTTTTAGTCTAGACTTTAAAGGATCTATCCAAAGCTCTGAATCTACCCTTCACCAAAGAGCTCCTTTAAGTTTTAAACTAAAATCTGGGGTGGATTCTCAGTGCAGCTACTTGCAAACTACTATCTGATTTCACAGTGTTTGTTGTAGCCAGTAGTGGAAAACAGCATCCACCCCTCCCCCCCCCAATATAGCATGGTTAGGTACCGTCGGAATCTTTGTAATTTGGAATAAAGTTGGGAAAATTACCTTTTTGAAGCAATTTCAAAGTTTTTAAGAAAACCGGAAGTCCCTTTGCCCTTCCAAAGCTTCTCTCGCCATTTTTCTTCCAACTCAGGAAGTGAGTCGGAAGTGACTCAGAATTTGGAGGCATGCAGCTTGCATGCTGGGATGAGGGGAGAAGTTTTGGGGAGGGGAGTGGAGGGGCGGTGTTTTGGCACAGCCGCCATCACACTATATAAAGGGCAACACATGGCTCAGAGGCTCATTGTGAGCCCAGGAAGGGAAAGGGAAAGAAAAGGGGAAGGGAGGTTGTGAAGAGAGGTTCAAAGAAGAGCGTTTGGAAGAGTAGGGCAAGCGGAGAAGGGCTGGGAGCAAAGCTGTTGCCTGCCTGCCTGCCTTGCAGCTGCTTGGGTGTTGTTGCTGTTGGAGGAGGATGGGTGGGTGGATGGGAGAAGAGTTGGGCAGCAGAGAACCAGGACAGGGAGAAGGGCTGCTGCGCAATTGCATCCGCCATTAATGAAACGATTCGGAAATTTCTGCAAGTTCCAAAAAAAAAAAAAATTCGGAAAAATTTGGAATTATTTTCTGAATCGAACCACCAGCACCCCCTAGATCCAAAACTAGTTTTGTACCATTTTTTGATCAACCAAGCCATATGTGTGTGTGTGTGTGAGAGAGAGAGAGAGAGAGAAAAATAAAATTGTATTTATGTATTGTGTCTCTATACTACACAATATTCCTATTTCCATTACAGAAGTTCCTGTCATAAAACTAGAATGGAATATCTATACTCGGATGAGTACTCCACTTTTTGAGTACATGCAGGGCATGCAAAAGGCCTAGCAATCCTGATTAGTTTCTCTTTGCATCTTTTTCATACCCCAAATATTTTGACGATTTGTTTCTTCTAGATTTATATATTCATATGGATTGTGTTATTCATGACCTACTTTAAAGCAAAGTGAGAAGGTCACCTCTGGTGACATTATGCAAGGGGACCTTAGAGCAGCTCTGAGATTAACTGAAAGAAAGAAATTGCAGCATAAGCATGTATAGCATTAGGGTACATCTACCACTGTAGAACAGAGGTTCTCAGCCTGTGGGTCACCAGATGTTTTGGCCTTCAATTCCTAGAAATCCTAACAGCTGGCAAACTGGCTGGGATTTTTGGGAGTTGTGGGCCAAAACACCTGGGGACCCACTGGTTGCAAACCACAGCTGTAGAAGGAATACAGTTTGGTATCATTTGAATTGCCATGGCTCAATGTTATGGAATCATGGGAGTTGTAGTTTTTAACAAGCTTTTTAGCCTTCTCTGCCAAATTGTGCTGGTGCCTTACCAAACTACACTCTCATGATTCCATAACATTGAGACATGGGTGCTGAAATGGTGGCATTCACTCTACACTGGAGATGCAGTCTCACACCACTGATAGGAACCTATTTTTAGAGCTTCAGACTTCTGACTTGGTCACCAATTGCCATCTTCTGTATTTATTTATCAAATTCCTGTAGAGAATGTGAGCATGGTTCCATAATGTCCTATCCTCTATACAGGTGGCAAGGTCTTGTGCTTGACCCTGAACAGTTTGGGAATCCAGGCTTGCAGCGAGGAACTCAGAAGCGACTGGCAGGTTTCAAATTGTACGTCTCCGGATACAGAAATCAAGATCCACCCCTTTGGCTGGTATCAGAAATCAGGTTTGTCACATTTTTAGTGTTTAGCTAGTATCTGAAAAATGTAGTAATATTTTATTTCAGATGTACATGTTGATGGTAGAAGGCGGGTCCAACCTGGCATTGGAGAAGTATTTTCTGGATCAAGACTATTAAAGAATTCAGCGAAGAAGGTTGGACTCACATAAAAGGTTCACTACAGAGAAGTTAGCTCTTGTGTATCTTCAAGTTGGTTCTAAATTAAGGCAACCCTAAGATGATCTTACAATGGTGTTTACTTGACAAGATTTGTTCAGAAGGAGTTTGCCCTTGCCATATTCTGTGACTGAGCGAGTGTGACTTGCCCAAGGCCAACCAGTAGGTTTCCATGGATGAGCAGTGACTCAAATCCTGATCTCCCAGCATCCTTGTCTAAAACTCAACCGACTGGTTTTAATTCCTAGTTGTTACGGAAATGAGAAATACTGTGGTATGTCTAAACCCACCTCAGTGTGGGTACAGAACTTAAGAACTTGGAGGTTACTTTTTAGATTGTAATGCCCAGAATCCCCCATGAAAATAATTATCTTCAGCCTCTGGGTTATTGTAGGTTTTTTGGGCTATATGGGCATGTTCTAGAAGCATTCTCTCCTGACGTTTCACCTGCATCTATGGCAAGCACCCTCAGAGGTTGTGAGGTCACTTGCCATAGATGCAGGTGAAATGTCAGGAGATAATGCTTTTAGAACATGGCCATATAGCCCGAAAAACCTACAACAACCCAGTGATTCCAGCCATGAAAGCCTTCAACAATACATCTTCAGTCTCTGTTCAGTCCAAAAAGTCTCTGTTGAAATAGATAGTGTGAGAATGATAATGATGAGGATTGATATAGACATTGCACAGATAGAATGATAAAATGCAGACTTGAGACAAATGTGACTCATGGAAAAGAGGGAAAAGAAGGAAGTAGAGAATGAGTGAATTGCTTCAGTCAGGGAAACTGTGGCTCTGAATTTGCAGGGCAATTGATGAAAAGAGGTGCATCTAGACAATGGAATTAATGCAGTTCGACACTACTTTAACTTCAAAGGCTCAATGTTCTGAAATTGGGGGAGTTGTTGTTTTGCAAGCCCTTTAATCTTCTCTGCCAAAGAAGGCTGGTGCTACACCAAACTACAATGCCCAAAATTCCAGAGCATTGGACCATGGCAGTTATTTGATTTTTTTCACGCAAAGACAAATCATTTTGGAAATTTTCTTCAAATGGAAGAGAAAATTTATTGTCAAAGGCTTTCATGATCAGAATCACTGGTTTGTTGTAAGTTTTTTTAGAAATCTTTGTTGAGAATTTTTCCTTTAAAAACAATATGAAATATGTACATAAAAGACTCTAAATAGCAAGGGGAAAAGAAAAAAGAAAAGAAGGGGGAAAAACAGCCAAAAGGCAAATACACAACACAATTATATCAACTAGGTGTGGGCAAAGAAAGGAACAAGGAAAGAAAGGAAAAGATAAGAGGAAAAAAGAAAAGGAAAAGGAAAAAGATAAAAAAAATGTTCAGGCTGTATGGCCATGTTTCAGAAGCATTCTCTCACAACCTCTGAGGATGCCTGCCATAGATGCAGGCAAAACTTCAGGAGAGAATGCTTCTGGAACATGACCATATAGCCAGAAAAACTTGCAACAATCCTGGAGGAGAGAATAATCTCCCCCTGCAGTATTAATGCAGTTTGATACCACTTTTACTGACATGGCTCATTGTAATGGAATCCTGGAATTTGTAGTTTGGTGGGGCACCAGTACTCTTTGGCCGAGAAGAAACGACAACTCCCATGATTCCATAGAATTGAGCCATGGCAGTTTAAACATTGTCAAACTGCATTAATTCCATCATGTCGATGCACTCACTGGGTCAACCATGCTTCTGAGTAGGAAACAGCATTCTGTTGAACACTATATGTTGTAGAGGAAACATATTTTCTGTGCAAAGACTGAAAGTCTTTTTTGTTCTGGGTCAGAAAAGTAATGTATTATGTGGAATATTTCCCCATAACACCTCAAGATGTGTGGAAATCAGTATCAAATTGTGCATAAATCTCACAGCTGTGTTATGGTTTTGCATTGGGTTCTTTTTTTTGAAAGTAAAGAAACTTTATAAGTCAGGAAGACAAATAACAAAAAAAATCTCCATCTGTAAAATATACCACACACAAATAGATAAGGGCCATTGTGTTGTCTTTGGATCTTCCTAGAAAATGGAGATGAAGCCAAATGGAGCATGGCCTCACTTTCCCCATGCCTGTTTCATACCGCCTTGAGTGCACATGTGCAAATGATTATTTAAGGCAAAGACAGTAAAGCTTGCCTTTGTACAACTTAAAATCCCAAAGGGAGAGGCAATCTGGAACTTAAATAGGATTTGGATCTGAACTCTTCTGAACTTCAGGCCTCCTGCATTAAAATAAATAAATAATGTGGGATGGTTAATTAGAATCCAGCCTGCAGGTGGCTCTTTTTGTAGGCACACGTTTTACAACTTAAACAGTGTTTTCTCCATCTTCCCACTGGCCATTAAGCTATATTGAGCAACAAAATCTGCTCGTGTATAACTAGTTGACCACAGCAGTATCCTGTCTCTATGGGTGGAGCTCCTCATGTTTTCTTTAAACATGTGAAAAGCACAAGCCAAATTGAAAGGGAGGAATGTATTCATTTTATAAGCTTGATCAATATGCAGGGTTCGTTTCCCCAAACCATGAGCAAAATCAAATCTAGGGCAGATCCTCACCCAAAGCAACATGCATATACATCAGCAGGTGAAGGGAAGGAAAAGGCAGGGAAGAAAGAAGCAACTCTTCCAGATATGGAAGGTACATCTATCCTGTGGAATTAATTGTAGTTCGATACTAGAGCCCCCGGTGGTGCAGTGGGTTAAACCCCTGTGCCAGCAGGACTGAAGACTGACAGGTCGCAGGTTCGAA